TTCATAAAACTGAAAAGCTTCTGTTCATGAAAAGAAATGGTCTCTAAACTGAAGAGAACACCCACAGAGTGGGAGAAAATATTTTCCAGCTATACATCAGACAAAGGACTGATAACCAGAATATATAGGGAACTTAAAAAACTAAATTCTCCCAAAACTAATGAACCAATAAAGAAATGGGCAAGTGAACTAAACAGAACTTTCTCAAAAGAAGAAATTCAAATGGCCAAAAAACACATGAAAAATGCTCACCATCTCTAGCAATAAAGGAAATGCAAATTAAAACCACGCTAAGATTCCACCTCACCCGTTAGAATAGCCATCATCAGCAACACCACCACAACAGGTGTTGGCGAGGATGTGGGGAAAAAGGAACCCTCTACACTGTTGGTGGGAATGTAAACTAGTACAACCACTCAGGAAAAAAATTTGGAGGCTACTTAAAAAGCTAAACATTGATCTACCATTTGATCCAGCAATACCACTCTTGGGGATATACCCAAAAGATGTGACACAGGTTACTCCAGAGGCACCTGCACACCCATGTTTATTGCGCACTATTCACAATAGCCAAGTTATGGAAAAGCCAAGATGCCCCACACTGACGAATGGATTAAGAAAATGTGGTATCTATACACAATGGAATTTTATGCAGCCATGAAGAAGAATGAAATGTTATCATTTGCTGGTAAATGGATGGAATTGGAGAACATCATTCTGAGTGAGGTTAGCCTGGCCCAAAAGACCAAAAATCGTATGTTCTCCCTCATATGTGGACATTAGTCAAGGGCAAACACAACAATGGGATTGGACTTTGAGCACATGATAAAAGCGAGAGCACACAAGGGAGGGGTGAGGATAGGTAAGACACCTAAAAAATTAGCTAGCGTTTGTTGCCCTTAATGCAGAGAAACTAAAGCAGATACCTTAAAAGCAACTGAGGCCAATAGGAGAAGGGGACCAGGAACTAGAGAAAAGGTTAGATCAGAAAGAACCTAGAAGGTAACACCCACGCACAGGAAATTAATGTGAGTCAACTCCCTGTATAGCTATCCTTATCTCAACCAGCAAAAGCCCTCGTTCCTTCCTATTATTGCTTATACTCTCTCTACAACAAAATTAGAAATAAGGGCAAAATAGTTTCTGCTGGGTATTGAGGGGGGGGGAGAGGGAGGGGGCGGAGTGGGTGGTAAGGGAGGGGGTGGGGGCAGGGGGGAGAAATGAACCAAGCCTTGTATGCACATATGAATAATAAAATAATAATAATAATAATAAAAAGACACAGTTAGTTAGAGGGTACCTATCAGTGACTACTTGGAATGCAGACGGACTGACTCTCCAATTAAAAGACAGAGTGAGTGGGCGGGTTAAAGCACAAGCCCTAACTGTATGCTGCTTATAAGAAACCCACTTCATCTCTAAAGACACAGAGACTCAAGTGAAGCGATGGAATGAGATAGTCCTTGAGAATGGAATCCAAGAACCCAAGAGTAGTCATATTTACATCAGACAAAATAGATTTTAATTCAAAAGCATCTTATAAAAAGAGACAAGAAGGTCACTATGTAATGAAATAATAATTTCATTTCCCAATACCAGAGCACCCAAGTATATAAAGCAGACCTAAAGGGAGAGATTATATTCTAACGCAGTAATAGCACAATTGTAACATGTCACTTTCAGCAACGAACAGATCATTCAGACAGAAAGCCAATACAGGAACACCAGAATTAAACTTCGCGCTAGCCCAAATGGGCCCATGTAGATAGTTACTCCAAGACAGACAAAACAAGTGTGAACAGATTAAAAACAAAACAAATCATAACAAAAAAAACTCTGGAAACTATACAAATACTTGGGAATTAATTTTTTTGTTGTTGCTGTTGCTGAGATTAAATCCAGGGCTTCATGCAGGCTGAGCTACACCTTTTCCCCAACAACTTACTCTTAAATAACTAACAGATCAACGAAGAAATCAAGAAGGAAATGAAAATATTTCTTGAAACAAATGAAAATGGAATCACAGTACACCAGAACCTATATGATACAATAAAAGCAGTTCTAAGAGAGAAGTTCACAGGGATCAACGCACCATCAAAAAAGCAAAAAGATGTGAAATAAACCATCACTGCAAACCTAGATTTAGGGAAACAAGAACCAAACCCCAAGTTAGAATAAATAAATTAATGAAGATCAGAGAAAAAATAAATACAAAGAAAAACAAAATGTAAAAGACCAGCCAGTGTAGTGGGACATGCCTGTAATCAATCCCAGCATGCAAGAGGCTGAGGCAGAAGGAGCCGGAGTTTGAGGCCAGCCTGAGCTACACAGCCAAACTGTCTCAAAAAGCTAAAAAGCAAGAAAGCAAGCAAACAAAATCAAAAAAGTGAAGGTTCTCGTCAAGGTTCTTTGAAAAGAAACGGAACTGATAATCTCCTGGCTAAACTAAGCAAGGAAAAAAGCATGAAGACTCCATTCAGGGATCAAGAGGGAGACATCTCAACCTGAGCCTCAGAAGCAAAGGACCCTTAGAGTGCACTACACAGAACTATATGGCAAGAAGTTTGATAAGCTGAACACAAATACCTCACCAAGAATAAATCATTAAGAAACAGAAAACCTGAACAGATCAAGAATAATGAGATTAAAAGGCTCTCATTAAAGAAAGGCTGAGTTCTACCATTTGAAGAACTAACACCGACTATATTCTTAAAAGCAAAGAGGAAGAAATGCTTCCAACTAACTCTATGAGGCCAACGTCACCCTGAAATGAAAAGCAAATAAGAATGTGATGACAAGCAGCTGCAGGCCCTGGGTTAGAGATGTGGCTCAGGCGGCAGAGTGTTCACTTTGCGAGTGCAAAGCCCTGAGTTCAAACCTCAGTCCTACCAAAACAAACAAAAAAGCTACAGGCTAATATCCATAATGAACATAGACACAAAAATGCTGAACAAAATGCTTGTATACTGAATTCAAAAGCACATGGAAGAGATTATTTGCCATGATCAATTGGGATTTATCCTAGGGATTCAAGGATAGTTCAACACCTACAAATCAAAACGTGATGTGCAACATGAATAGAAGGACAAGAACCACACGAAGTTTCAAAATTCAACAACACCCCACAATACAAACACTGACCAAATAAGCTATACAAGGCTTGTATGTGCAGTTAATAAACGTCACAAATAATAACCGACAGCCAACATCTTACAGCGGGACGGACGGACGGACACACACACACACACACACACACACACACACACACACACACACACACACACACACACACTGTAGATGGGGACCTGAAAACTGCCTCTCAGAACCAAGACAATGATGCCGACTTTTATCACTATTTTTCATCCTAGCAGTAGGAGCCCTAGCTAGAACAATTATGCAAGAGGGAGGGAGGGAGGGAGGGAGACAGAAGAAAGGAAGAGAGAAGGGCATTCCAATTGGAAAGAAGTCAGACTTACTCTTGCAAATGACCTGACCTTATATGCAGAACCCAACAATAAGTGTGAGCAAGTCAGCAGAGGAGCAGAGCACAAAGCTACAGAGACGCAGGAGGTGCATGGCATGTCCACAATAGTCCCCAGTACGGCAAGTCCAGCAGTGTTGCTGAACACCGGGAGCTGGTTATCTGAAATAGAAATCAGGAAAACAGCAGCCCCATCTACACTAGCTACAAGAATGGCTGTTATCAGTAAGACAAAAGACAAGTGTCAGCAGGATGTAGAGGTAAGGGGCCCTTGCACTGCCATGGGAATGTGATGTAGTTCAGCCATTATGGAAAACTAGATAGAGGTGCCTCAAAAGACAGACAACAGTGCTGTACGTGGTGGTGTACACCTGTAATCCCAGCAAATGGTAGGCTGAGACAGGAGGATTACGGGTTCCAGGCCAGCCTGGGCTACATAGTGAGACTCTTTCTCAAAAAGTAACAACGACAATAAAAATACACCAAGCTGGTGGTTGGCTCAAGTGGTTTGCCTAACTAGCAAACACAGGCCCTGAGTTTAAGCCTCAGTCCTGTAAAACAAACAAACGCTAAAACAAATAGATCAAAAGAATTATTAAGCAATTCACTGCTGCTTGTACCCAAAGTACATGAAATCAGGATGTCAGAGAGGTCTGTATTCCTGTGTTTACTGTATCACTATTCACAATAGCTAAGATATGAAACAATCTAGATGTCTATTGACTGATGAATGAATAAAGCAAATGTGGTCTAACACACAGAATACTATGCAGCTATAAAAAGGAGAAATGTCACTTGCAACAACACAGATGAAACCAGACCTCATTGTGTTACATGAAATAAACAAGGCACAGAAGATAAGTACTGCATGATCTCTCTCAAATGGAGTCCTAAAAAGTTGATCTCACAAAAATTGAGATTACCAGCAGCCAGGCACAGTAGTGGGGAGAGAGGATGGGAGGTGACCAATGGGCACTAACTTACAGTTAGACAGGATCAGAACTTCTGCTGGTGCTGTTAGTGGGACACAGGTGGCTCACACCTGTAACCCTTGCTACTCGGGAGGCAGAGATTAGGAAGATGTAGGCTGAGGCCAGCCTGGGTCACAAGTGAGACCCTATTGGTAAGCCTAAGGCCCTGAGTTCAAACCCCAGTGTTGCCTAAATAAATAAATAAGTAAATAGCAGTTCTGGTGTTATCACACAGGAAGGTGTCTGAAGGTTTTCATAAAGAAACGTCAGTGTCTGAGAAGTTAGGTTTTACGTGATTTAAGCATTATACATGCATCAAAACATCACAAAATAAAAATGTAATTTTTGTTTTTAATGATCATTAGCAATTAATTTTTTTTAAAGTGGGTTTCTATGCCACATTAACAGAGGAGGAAAAGACCCGGCCTTTGCAGTAGCCACAGACAAGTTTTTATCAAGTGTTCAGAACAACCCATGCCACAAACTCATGGCGCTGTAAAACCCGAGCAAAGCAAGCCTGCCCTCCCTGAAGATGGAGCGAGAGCCCCAGACCTTGTGGGGTTCACATCCAGACCTGCCATCGAGGCCTCATTACCTTGTCCCGCTCCTTCTCCTGCAACTTGTCCATGGATCGCTTTAGTCCTTCTTCCAGAAGGTCTATGAGGCGCACGGTCTCACCTGAACGTGTTTTAAATTTCTTCCTGTAAACATTCAAAAGTCCCAATCAAATAGACTCTGCAATAGATCTTCTGACTTAGAAATCTTTGAAAATGAAGGTTTGGGGGAACTGCCACAAAATGTTGCATGAGACCGTTTCAAATCACAGGCTGACGTTCCCGTAATGGTGCCCACTCCAGTGGCAAAGAAGCAGGTCCTTCCAAGTGCCTTATGGCTCCCTCAGCTCAGAGCACCCTGTGCTCAGCCCTGAACGTACTACACCTTGAACACATCCTCTAGCAGGGAATTATCTGCTCCCTTTCCTGGAATACATGGCTCAGCTTAGTTGTTTTCCTCCTTCAGAAAAATTACTAATAAAACCTGTATTTGCTTTTGGAATAGTTTAGTAGACCAGCAAATTCCTTACTAAAATCTTATTTACATTTCTTGTATAGTAGTCTCTCTTATTTAGTGGTAATTGATGTGTCTGAAGCAGCACACATCTGGGATGTTTACAAAAGAATCACTGAGAACAGCCTGGTGCGGCAGTGTGTGCCCATCATCCCTGCACTGGGGAGGCTGATTTCTAGGTCAGCCTGGGCTACTTGGCAAAACCTGTCTCAGAAAAACAAAAAGCAGAAATCTCTAAGGAGTGGGGCACAATACTAATAAGCCCTGATAAGGCAGCTGAGAAAATGGATCTTATCTATTGAACAGAGAAGCTGCATGACATCAACTGTAACCGTGGTAAAATGATGAAGCATGCTTTCCTTTGCAACACGAAGCCTCTCTTCAGAGCTGACTCAGAAAGAACCCATGTGCCCAGGGACATGGGAGCTGGAATGCCTTTATCACCTTCGTACCCAAGGACTGCCTTATGCTGCTCCCTCCTGCCTGAGTGTCCAGTGATCAAATCTCCAATGAACTCAGCTCATAAGGCCTAGTCAATGCTGAGGGAAGCCTTCCTTAACATCTCTACTTTACAATGGCTGGTCTCTTCCACCACTGCCTACACATACTTGCCTTCTCTCCTTCTTCCCTCCCTCCTTTTTTTTTTGCTGGTCTACTCTGACCAGCAATTCTACAATGAGGGATGCATAACTGAGAAAGCACAGACGACCAATAGCAACAACTTAGACTTAAGTTGTGGACTAGCATGCCTATCTGCCCAGGCTCCACCACAGCCCACGTTTGATGTGTCTTTGTGTAGCAGGTGCTCAATAAATAGGTGCCAAAGGAACACTGGGAAGATGATGAACTGAAAGGAGAACCTGTGTATCATACAAACACCTAAAACTGGAAATGTCACTAAAAAAACAGACAGCAGCATCTGAGAGCATTTTGCATGCATGTATATAAAATGTGGTGTGCTGCCACCAGTACAGTACCATTTAAATTACTCATTTTTAATGGGCGAGGATACTGTATATGATTCTGGGTGAAGAAGCATTAAAAAAGAGTTTATCTTTAACCCTTCAGTCGTTACATGATAAATGAACTAAAACCCAAAACATGAATACCGAGACAAATATAAAAAGAAAACTTGCTAATTCTACCAATTCTAGGAAAATCACTGAAACATCTGTCTACATAAAACGCCAACATATAATGAAGTAGGGTGGTGTGAAACCATCCCATGTCCTGACTTCCACAAACAAAGCTCCCTGGAGAAACCACACGTTGCGTCACAAAGTCACCTGGCCTGGCACACCCAATGTGTCTTCTAGATATCATCAGGGACTTTTTTTTCGGTGGTGAGGCTTGAACTCAGGGCCTACACTTTAGGCCACTCCACTAGCCCTATGTTTGTGATGGTTTTTTTTTTTTTGCGATAGTCTTGTGAACTCCTTTCCTGCGCTGACTTCAACCTCAATCCTCTTGTATTCTGTGCAATCACATGGCCAACACTCTGGAGCCGCCTGTGGCTTTCCAGAAGTATCAACTCCAGTGTGAGCTGGGAATACACGGGTACCGCCACCAAATACAGATGCCACAGATTTTAAGAGAAATACAGATCAAACAGAAGTGATCTTCTGACACTGGTAAATTAATATAGAAATTATTATAGACTTAAAAAACGTGAAAAAGTCTGTGCTCTTGAATTGCTGAGTTCAGAATGTACGTATCTGATCCTACTTACCTCTTTAATTAGAAAATAGGAAAGTGGAAGTATTTTTGAGATAAAGGTAAAACAAAAGCGGTGAACTTAAACCTCAACTGGAATCTCAGTTAACTGAGGCCTTCTGACCAAGTGTGCAACTGTGATGCCAAGGCAAAGACACTGAACAAAATGCTGTGGAGTCTGAGGATGCATCGCGGTTCGTAACTTAGAGCTTACAGCCTAGTTTTCATTCACCTTTGTGCAGAAGTCCCTCAGAGGCCACACACTCTGGCTGTGATAGGCACAGGTAAAAATGGCTCAGGTGAGTTCACCATTACCTCTGCAGACTAAAGAAAGACACGCACTTTCTCAGTTCTGACAAAGGGTCACATAGAATGCAGCCTCTTCAAAGGACCAGGCATGTCATTCCCATCTTCAGGCTTTCCACTTACTTGTCTTCCCCTAGCACCACACCAAATCCAGCGTGGAACACCCGGGTTACTTTAGGGTCATACCAGCCTATCATTTGAGCAGCAGCAAACACTGCCTGGAAGTGCACAGCCTACAAAAAAACGGAAACAGGAGGTTAGGTGGTAAGGGCCGGGGGTGTGCCTTGAGTGCTAGAGGGCCTGGTTAAAGTTACTTGCTAGTTCTAATACTAAAAGTTAAAAAAAAAAAAAGTCTTCATCCTCCTGCGAAGTCTTTTTGATAAAATTCAAACCACACATCTTGTGAGGCAAGCGTTACCATACCAGCTGCTCTTTTACTCAAATGTGAAAGCAGTAAGAGCAGACTATCACTTCACCTCTGGGACCAAAACAAATGAGGGCTGAGGGTATGGCTCAGTGGCAAAGCACCTGCCTCACAATCTCAAGGCCCTAGGTTCAATTCTGAGCACACCAACAACAAAAAGAATTAATAACTGAAACAACTCATTAAGAGCAAGATCACACGCAAAAACTTCCATTAAGTTTTAGCTCTCAGCTGTGCATGGTGACACACACTTATAATTTCAGCATGGGAAGGCTAAAGTTCAAGGCCCAGGCGGGACTTCATCAGCATGTTCCAGACTAACTGAGCTACAGAGTGAGAGCCCATCTCAGAAAACCAAAAAACTCTTTGGTCTTTCCACCACTCTAATGATAGGGACAACTGCTGACAGATGGAAAGTTGGGACAATCCCTGCTCATTCTACAGCGAGCACTACTGTTCCAAATCTTAGCAGCTGGGAAAAACTAAGTCTTCCAAATGCCAGCAACCTCACCACACTGTCTGTCTTCAACCAGACAGGACAGAAACAGCCAAATCACAAACTTACTTGTCCATTATCCACCACATAGATGATCATATCTGCTTTCTCCTCAAATAGCCTCTGTTTGAGAGCAGCCAGGTCAGATGTATCGTAGGTGTAACCTCCATCTGATTTCACTATGGTCAATGGGATGGAACACTCAGAGACAAACACAATCTTCCTGCCATCATCCACTTGCACGAGTCCTAGCAAAAAGGAAAATTTTATTCATAATGCTAAAAGGAATCTCAAGGAACAAGAAGGCTTGCTTGTTCTATAAGTGTGAGTACTTGGGCATTTTATGAGTACTTTAGAGAGCATGTGTTATAGTTGATGAAATTATGTAATCCTTGTCTCCCCATGATCTACTAGGAGACCTGGAAATGGCCACTGTCAAGGCAGTGTGGGCTCACACTGTGCTGCTCAGGTTCAGTCAGACATCCCGCAGTGTTCTGGGCTCACACCACACTTGGCTCCCAAACTCTTTACACTGGAGCCCACCCACTCTGCAGGCCCAAAACATGAACATCTGTGCTTTGTTTCTCAGCTGGAACCAAAACCTCCATATGGGAGATACCAGCAGGATATTGCATTTGGAATGAGAAGTGGAAAAAATGAAATCATGTTCATATACTCTTGATGACACAGAAGGAACTGAGAAGAACAAGATGATAATAACAACAGCTCTGAGTGTTACTATGTGTCTTAACCTTCACAATAACTATGACTCCACAGAGTCATGTATGACACTACACTTTCTTACAGCTCAGGAACTGAGGCAGGTAAGGTAAACCAGGTATCAGTGGTCCCAAATGTAAGCGCTCAACTGCACACCTGTAATCCTAGCCACTTGGGAGGCTGTGTATGCTGGGGGATGAGGGGGAGCTGGGAGCAGTGGCGCACACACACCTATAATCCTAAATTCGTGAGGCTGAGGTGGGAGGATTGCCAGTTCAAAGCCAGCTTGGGTTCTATTAAGAAACACTGTCTCGAGGAAAAAAAAAAAAAAAAAGCAGCAGCTGAGTTTGGCAGTGTGTGCTTCTAACTGCAGCACACAGGAAGATGACCATGAGACTGAGTGCCTCCTCGAAAGCACAGGCCCTGAGTTCAACTCCCCACTAGTGACCGGAGAACAATAGTCACCGGGTGCCGGGGGCTCACACCTGTAATCCTAGCTACTCAGAGGCAGAGATCAGGACTGCAGTTCAAGGCCGGTTCAAGCACATAGTTCACAAGACCCTAGCTCAAAAATTCCTAACACAAAAAAAGGTTGCCAGAGTGGCTCAAGTGGCAGAGGATCTATCTGCTTACCATGTGTGAGGCCCTGAGTTCAAACCTCACTGTGACCAAAAAAAAAGAAAAAAAGAAAAAAAGAAAGCCCACACAAAACATGAAAAACTATAGTGCCTACCTTTATCTTCAAATTCCTTTACAACAGCATTCATTCTATCTTGATAGAAAGACTCCCCTCTCTCTATTAAAGAGATGTCCAAGGCGTCATAGATTTTATTGAACTCTGGAAGAAAAAATGGTACCAAATAAAGAAAATGATAAAAAATGTAAACAGGAAGCACGCATGTAACATGAAATTTTATTATTTGAGACATACAGAAAGAAATCAATCACATTTTAAAAAGACACAGAACTTTATACACATGATGCTGTTTTGGGAAAGTAGAAAAAATACAAGTCACGCACCACCAACATCAGGTCATTATGCGTGGGACTGCAGACCCCACTCTTTTCTTCTTGTCTGTACTTACCTTCTTGTACAAGGAATGTACACTTCTTGTGTAACTTAAAAAAATTCATTCGGGGGCAAGAAGAAAACAATGGAGGGGGTGAATTCAACTATGATATAATGTAACATTTGTAAATGTCACAATGTACCCCAGTACAACAATATAACTAAAACAAAAAAATAAAAAAATTCATTCTGACAAAAACATTAATGAGGAATTAGGGATGTAGCTCAGTGGTAGAGCACATTTTTTTTTTTTCATTTTTCTTTTATTATTCATATGTGCATACAAGGCTTGGTTCATTTCTCCCCCCCTGCCCCTTACCCCCTCCCTTACCACCCACTCTGCCCCCTCCCTCTCCCCCCCCCCCAATACCCAGCAGAAACTATTTTGCCCTTATTTCTAATTTTGTTGTAGAGAGAGTATAAGCAATAATAGGAAGGAACAAGGGTTTTTGCTGGTTGAGATAAGGATAGCTATACAGGGCATTGACTCACATTGATTTCCTGTGCGTGGGTGTTACCTTCTAGGTTAATTCTTTTTGATCTAACCTTTTCTCTAGTACCTGTTCCCCTTTTCCTATTAGCCTCAGTTGCTTTAAGGTATCTGCTTTAGTTTCTCTGCTTTAAGGGCAACAAATGCTAGCTAGTTTTTTAGGTGTCTTACCTATCCTCACCCCTCCCTGTGTGCTCTCGCTTTTATCATGTGCTCAAAGTCCAATCCCCTTGTTGTGTTTGCCCTTGATCTAATGTCCACATATGAGGGAGAACATACGATTTTTGGTCTTTTGAGCCAGGCTAACCTCACTCAGAATGATGTTCTCCAATTCCATCCATTTACCAGCGAATGATAACATTTCGTTCTTCTTCATGGCTGCATAAAATTCCATTGTGTATAGATACATTTTCTTAATCCATTCGTCAGTGCTGGGGCATCTTGGCTGTTTCCATAACTTGGCTATTGTGAATAGTGCCGCAATAAACATGGATGTGCAGGTGCCTCTGGAGTAACAGTCTTTTGGGTATATCCCCAAGAGTGGTATTGCTGGATCAAATGGTAGATCGATGTCCAGCTTTTTAAGTAGCCTACAAATTTTTTTCCAGAGTGGTTGTACTAGTCTACATTCCCACCAACAGTGTAAGAGGGTTCCTTTTTCCCCGCATCCTCGCCAACACCTGTTGTTGGTGGTGTTGCTGATGATGGCTATTCTAACAGGGGTGAGGTGGAATCTTAGCGTGGTTTTAATTTGCATTTCCTTTATTGCTAGAGATGGTGAGCATTTTTTCATGTGTTTTCTGGCCATTTGAATTTCTTCTTTTGAGAAAGTTCTGTTTAGTTCACGTGCCCGTTTCTTTATTGGTTCATTAGTTTTGGGAGAATTTAGTTTTTTAAGTTCCCTGTATATTCTGGTTATCAGTCCTTCGTCTGATGTATAGTTGGCAAATATTTTCTCCCACTCTGTGGGTGTTCTCTTCAGTTTAGAGACCATTTCTTTTGATGAACAGAAGCTTTTTAGTTTTATGAGGTCCCATTTATCTATGCTATCTCTTAGTTGCTGTGCTGTTGGGGTTTCATTGAGAAAGTTCTTACCTATACCTACTAACTCCAGAGTATTTCCTACTCTTTCTTGTATCAACTTAAGAGTCTGGGGTCTGATATTAAGATCCTTGATCCATTTTGAGTTAATCTTGGTATAGGGTGATATACATGGATCTAGTTTCAGTTTTTTGCAGACTGCTAACCAGTTTTCCCAGCAGTTTTTGTTGAAGAGGCTGCTATTTCTCCATCGTGTATTTTTAGCTCCTTTGTCAAAGATAAGTTGCTTATAGTTGTGTGGCTTCATATCTGGATCCTCTATTCTGTTCCACTGGTCTTCATGTCTGTTTTTGTGCCAGTACCATGCTGTTTTTATTGTTATTGCTTTGTAATATAGTTTGAAGTCAGGTATTGTGATACCTCCTGCATTGTTCTTTTGACTGAGTACTGCCTTGGCATTCGTGGCCTCTTGTTTTTCCATATAAATTTAACAGTAGATTTTTCAATCTCTTTAATGAATGTCATTGGAATTTTGATGGGAATTGCATTAAACATGTAGATTACTTTGGGGAGTATCGACATTTTTACTATGTTGATTGGTAGAGCACATTTATAAGGCCCTGGGTTCAATTCCCAGAACTTGGGGGAAAATGTAAAGGAGGCCAGCTAGGACCTAAAGTCAGGGAAGCCAGAGGAGGAGGGATGCTTGAGCATAAGAACTAACAACCATCCTGGGCAACACAGGGATACTCTTTGTCTCAAAAAAACCCCCAAAAAAACAAACCTCCAAAACAACAACAAAACAGTCATGTTGTTACATGCCTGTACTCACAGCACTCTAGAGGCTGAGTCAGGAGATTGAGGCCAGACTGGACTACTTAGCAAGACTGTCTCAAAAACAAAACAAAAAACCCTCACAAAAATGATGAATGCATCTGAAGAAATAGGAAGTGTGGGGTGGCAATCTTCAAGCTTTCGAGTACATCTTGCGCCTATTTTTCTTTATTTTGGTCCTACACCTTTCTGGATAAATTCACTCCTTCATTACATAGCTCTGGCTGCTACTGTGAATAGGATTTTTCTTTTCTGCTTTATTTTCAAATTAATTTCTCTGTTCACTTTTAAGTTAAACTTTGTATATGTCTCATAAGCTTTCTTTGTAGTTGTTCATTTAAGTTAAAGGTAAAAAAAAATCTTGTCCACAAACAGTTTAGGGGCTGTGGATTCAGCTCGATGGTAAAGTGTATACACAGCACCCACTAGGCCCTAGGTTCAATCTCCAACACCATGCTAAAAAAAAAGCTTAACATGTCACTGAACATCAGTCCCAAATGAAGACTCAAGACGTGAGGAAACGTCCAGTATAGTATCTAGCTGGACGAACAAATGAAGTTCAGAAACTCACCTTGTCGGGAGACATCACAGATAAGCTTCCAAGCTTTTATAATGTCTGGATCTTTACCCTGGAGCAGAACGACGCACTGGTACGCTCGTTTCTTAAATTCCTCTTCAGTATCAAACCTCTTCTTCGATTCCTGTATTTTTTAAAACAACAAGGATTATAAGATCCAATCCTCAATTTCTAGATAAACAATTTGTATCAGGTGCCTGTGGCTCACGCATGGAATCCTAACTACTCAGGAGGCAAAGATCAAGAGGACTGAGGTTCGAAGCCAGGACAGGGAAATAGTTTGAGACACCCTATCTCGAAAAAACTCATCACAAATACAGAGTTGGTGGAGTGGTTCAAGGTGTAAGCCTGAGTTCAAACCCCAATCACAAAAGAAAGATGAGATCAGGAAGATCTCAGTAAAAAATAAGGCCTGACAAGATTTCGTGGGACTCTATCTCAACCAACAGAAGCTGGGTATGGGTGTGCACACCAGTCATCCCAGTTAAGCGGAAGGCATAAATAGGAGACCATGGTCTAGACTGGCTGGGTACAACTCAAGCAGTAGAGCACTGACCTAGTGAGGTCTACAAATTTTAGCAATGCATTACAAATATTTGCTTATGTCAACAGTTTTGCCTCATTACATTCAGAAGACTAAGTTCCAACAGATGATTAAGACATTACTCGTTTTATGCTGAGCATGGTGGCTCACACCTAATTGCAGCTACTTGGGAGGCTGAGGCAGGAGGATCACAAACTTAGTAAGACTGTCTCAAAATAAAAATTTTAGAAAGGAGGATATAGCTCAGTGGTAGAACCTGTACTTAGCATGTGTCAGGGTTAAAAACTTACCACCCAAAACAAAACACACATAAAAAACACATCCATAAACAGCTATTTTACCAGTTTCACATAAATAAACATTCAGCTTATTTTAATATTTTCATTAGAAAACACCAAAAGACAAACAAAAATAAACCCCCCAATGTTTTATAGGTAAAATATCGCTAAAATAGGAAGAATATTTTGGGTACTGAAATTTATTCCATGAACTCTTACATTTACTTTTACTTAAAACAGGCAGCGTGGTAGAATTCAATTGTACCACACACCAATACACAAAGCAAAGGTGGGTGGGTGGGGACAGCCACTCTGTGCATGTGACACAACACAGCGGGTTCCACTGTGCCTCTTTGCACATTATCAGACACGAGGGACCCAGAGATGGCTTTTTCTTAGAACACACTGAATGCAATGGATCCAGGATCAGAAAGAAGCAATTTTTCAAGCAGAAGTCTTCATCCATATGGCACAGTCCCACTGTGGCTAGGCCAGTGTGTGAATGACAGAGACTCAGCCTTCAAGAGGATTAGCTTTCACTAACTGTGCAGCTCCATGGTAACTTCATGGCACTGTGAGCTTCCTAAGGAGAGCGGGTAATTATGACGAGTGCTAGACATGCAAACAAAACAACAATAAATGTCTCAAACCTTATAAAAGGCCTGAAGATCCCCGATGGGAGGTGAGACTGTCAGGTAGTCTGGGAACTGATCCTGCAGGTGAGCAATGAGCATGCCAAACTGCGTTCCCCAGTCTCCCACGTGGTTTAACCTGACACCAATCAGAGGATGAAAGATAAGATGTTTGGATTAAATGAGGACATTCCATTAGAAGCCACTAGCACATCACCTGTAGTAACACTGTTTACTTGGCTGTTTGCTCAGCTGCAATGGACTCAGCCTAGTGCCTTCAGCTCTGCACCTGGTAACAGAGGCTTCATAATGCAGACATCTTGGATTTTCTGAATGAATAAATTTATTTTCGATGGATTGCAGCATTTACCACACAGCTTATTAGCACAATGACAAATGAGCAACAGTGGTTGTTTTCATAACTTTATGAAACTTTTTTTTTTTTTGTGGTACTAGGGCTTGAACTCAGGGCCTATACCTTGAGTCACTCCACCGACCCTTTTTTGTGATGGTTTTCTTCAAGACAGGGTCTCAAGAACTATTAACCCGGGGCTGGCTTTGAACTGCGATCCTCCTGATCGCTGCCTCTTAAGTAGCTAGAATTACAGGTGTGAGCCACCAGCCTGAAAATTTAATTTTCTTTATTGCAGTACTGGAGATTGAACTCAGGGCCTTATGCAACCACACTGCCACTTAAGCCATGCCTTTTAGCTCTTTTGCCTGGTCCAGGCTCCAACCATGATCCTCCTACCTATGTCTCCTGTGTAGCTGGGATTACAGAAATATGTCACCATGTCCAGCTTGCTCTTTGAGATAAAATTCTCAGATTTGCCTGGGTTGGTCTCAAACCATGGTTCTCCTATCTTTATCCTCTAAGTAGCTGGGACAACATGCATAGGCCACTGGTCTCAGCCTAAAATCTGACTGTGAACACATTCTTGTAGTGTAATTTAGATCAATGGTTCTCAGGTATCAATGGATGGATAGGTTGGTAGTGTGCTCACTTATTACTACAGCTTTCCTGGCTTCTTCACTGTTGCCAGAGCAATCTTTATTAGGATCATGCTGCTCCACTAATCAGAATAAAATTCCCAATTTCCCAGCATGGCCTACAAAGCCCAACATAACCTATTTCTTGCCTAACCTTCCTCCTACTAGAATATAAAGCCTTGGTCTACAGGAGGTACTCATGAATGACCTGTGGGGTGAAGAGATTTATCCTTTATGCCAACCAAGAGCTTTAAAAAGTAGAAACCACTCTGAAGAGTGACTTTCCTGGGTGACAGTCAAGCACAGCTAAGCTCATGAACCACTAGTTTTTCAGATTTCTATAAGGTTTTTCAAACAGAGGCAAGAGCACGCACCTGAGCACGTCATATCCTGCGAACTCAAAGAGTCGGCACATGCTTTCCCCTATGATGGTTGACCTGAGGTGGCCCACGTGCATCTCCTTGGCTATGTTGGGAGAGGAAAAGTCCACCACAACCTGAGACAGGCGAGAGAGAGAGCTCTCATGCACATCTCATTCTGCTGATGTAAATAAACTAGACTTAAACATTAGTTTGGATGTAATTCACCTGTGCCACATTTCCTTATAGATCTGCTTGAACATTATTAACTGAAAAAAGTCAAATTCATGTATACAAATTACTGTTTTAGCAATGTCTACATAAGTATCAGTTATCTACCTCAAATGCCCTGTGGAACAAAGCCCATTAAAAATGCTACCTCACGTTCCATTTGTAACTTTAAGTATTACCAACTACGTGTCAGCATAAAAGGTGAATTCCACACCCTTCTCAGATGCTGACAGGACACCGTCATGTACCTTTTTATGCTGTCCAAGGGCAGGGAGTCGAACTCCATTTATGAGGAGATTGCTCAGCTGCTCTGATACAAAATCCTTTCGTAAGTGGACATTAATGAATCCTAAGGGACGGAACAGAAAAAAAAATCACATAGTCTCCCCATCTTGAGTGACAACCGAGCCACAGGACTGTCTCAAGTTCACTTGTGCTGACTCCAGAAAGGGGATCTAGCTCTGGTGAAACTCTCTAGGACTCCACTCCCACTTGAGGCCTTCCTTCACTTATCCCTCTTGTAAGCTCTGGTCTCAGCAACTAGTTTATTTAAACCTGTATATCGCTCTAAACCTGTATCGCTCCTGGAAAAACTTCCTACTTGTTTCAAGGCCCATTCACTATCTATCTGCTTTTTTGCTAAGAGAAAACCTGAAATCAGGCTGGTAGAGTGGCTAAATGGTAGAGTGCCTGGCCTATGCAAGTGGAGGTCCTGAGTTCAAATCCCAGTACTCGCCAAAAATAAAGAAAAAGAAAAAAAAATTGAATCAAAAGGTGGCAAAGTAATTGACCCCAAATCAGGCAGCTGAGCCCAGAGAAACTTGAATTCCTAACTTACAACCCAAACGTGTTCACCATCTGGGTTCATGTTCATTACACACAGGGTTTTCCTGTGAACACCAGGCCCCTGCAGCTAGGCATGCTGTCTTAAAACTCTTGAGACAGGATCTCATTAAATTCCCTGGGCTGGCCTCGAACTTGCAATCTTCCTGCTTCCCCAGGTGGTGCTGGGGATCAAAACCCAGGACCTGCACTAGCCGGGAAGCAGTTTTTTGTTGTTTTTGGTAGGATTGGACAAGCACTCTACGGCTTGACCTGTACCTCCAGCCCATTTTGCTCTGGTTATTTTGGAGAGAGTGTCTCGAGAACTATTTGCCAGGGCTGGCCTCGAACCTCAATCCTCCTGATCTCAGTCTCCCAGGTAGCTTGGATTACAGCCATGAGCCACTGGTGTCCAGCTTCTTGATAAGCATTTTACCATAAGCTGTATTTCCAGCCCAGTATTTAAATTTTAACCCTGTTCACCTTTTTTTCCCCCCCCCTTTTTTTTGTGACTTGGTCTGAACTCAGGTCTTGTGCTTACTAGGCAGACGCTCTATCACTTGGCCACACCTCCAGCCCTGCTCCTTTTTTTCGGTACTGGCTTGGACTCTGCCTTGCCCCATCCTAGGCAGGTATCCACAACCTCCTTTTAATCTCAAAAGCACTGTCATCAATACAACTCACAAGGCCACCATGCCACTGGACCAAGCAATTCCCACTTTCTCAATGCATTCATTGCTTGGCAGTGTTGCGTGATCTCTCGGACGATTTCTCTTGGATTAACTTTCTGTTCCTTGCTTTGAGCAACTACAATAGTGTAAATGATTCACTACACAACATCACTTGGAAATACATACTTGACAAACATGAGGTGTGTTTTTGTAAGATGCATCAAAAACAGAGGCTGAGTCCAATCAGCACCTTGTGAACAGACACAGTGTCGAGAGGAACAGATAAATGGCAAAGCTACACCACCTCCTTTCAAAATGAGCTGTTCACACAAATCTGGAACTTTCTAAGGAAGACATAACAAAGTCTACAGCTATGAACTTTCAAGAAATAAAAGTATCCATTATTTGGATTTAGTAATAACTCTCACAGAAAACAGATCTGGACTTAGGTTAAACCTTTCCCACTCAACATAGAAAAGAAAGCAAAAAAGCCCAAGCCAGGTGAAGTCTACCACAGACATGGCAGAAAATGTAGCTATTGAAAATGGGGAGCTCCCCATTTGAGGCTTAAAAATGCCTCGCAAATACCACAGCAGCATCAAATGTCTGATGGAATTGCTTGCTGGTTAGTATTGTCTGGCTTCATTTTTTGATTTCCAATATCATTAACCCCCAGCAATCCTGGATGCAGCAAGAAACACCAAACAAGGCAGTGCCAAATATTTGTAAAACTGAAGTGGAAAGTTAAATCTGTGCTTAAAAAAAAAAAAACTCAAAACACATCTTCTGTCAAGTTTTTCAGGCTGTGGAAAATGTCCTTTTCATTAAAGATACAACTTGTTATTATTCACATACAAGGTGAGAGAATCAAATTGCCCAGAGTGAGTCCTATTAAGTAATACCATACCTGAGAAATCCCCATGGCACTGTTGCATTGGTAGTCCCCAAACCTGGGCTGCTGGCTTGGTGTTACGACCAAAGGGGGGCTTTCCAAGTCTGGGTACGCAGCCTTGATGGCATGGCCAAAGACTTCTTGGAGGCGGCTATTGATGTTAATCATGTTTTTAGTCGGTCTGCCCCTCTCTGCCTGAAGACTCTGCAGGGAGAAGAGTGGGCGTGCAGGTGAATAGCCACACCATCATCAAAACACCTCCAAGTATTCTGAGACAAGCCACGGGGTCCATGTACTCAGTGTGAGGCTCTCATATCTGCAATTTGTTGAGAACATGGACATCTAAGACATTCCTGGGAAATGCTACGCTTCTTTTATAAGAACAGAAACTAGGAGGACAGAGTAAAAAGGGCTTCTCCAAAGCTCTGAGAAAATGAAGCATAAATCAGCTCTCAGCCTGGCATGGTACACACACCTGTAACCCCAGCTCTTGGTGGCTGAGGAAGGAGAATCAAAAGTTCCAAGCCAGCTGGGGCTATATAGCAAGATCCTGTTCAAAAAATCAACCTCGCCATAACAAGTCCTAAATTATTTCACATTAACAGTGGCCGTGAAAGCTCAATGGACAAAAAAATAAATAAAAAATGCAATCTCTGAATCAAAATCCTGACCCCATGAAGACATGAAATGAACAGGGATGCAGAGGGAATATCACTGCACCACAAACACGAAGGTGTGAGGGAGTGGTGTTTGTTTTTTGTTTTTGAGACAGTCTCACTACATATTCTAGGCTGGTGTTGAACTTTGCATCCTTCTGCCTCAGCCTCCTGAGTGCTGAGGAGATGTACACCACACCACCAGCATAGCAGGTAGCTTTGTTTTACTTTCTTCACTATCACCTCATTTTCATCGTTAAGACAGCGTATAACTACTTCTACTACTGCACTTACCACACCTTTACAAAGTCTCCACTACTAATGCAGGAAAATGTCTCATTAATGGTTCTAATCCAACAACCAACACTGTACCTGCCACACAGCAGGCTAACAAAAAATGGTGACTAAACTGGCAAAGTGGCATACCCCTGTAATTCCAGCTACTTGGGAGGCTGAGGTAGAAGGGTCACTTGAGCATAGGAGTCCCAGGCCAGCCTAGGCAAAATAGTGAGGACCCCCTCAGCCCCCCAAGAAAGGGCACCAGTGGCAGAGTGCTTGCCTAGCATATAAAAGGCCCTGGGTTCAATTTCCAGCAGTGTAAAAAAAGGTGCGTAAACACAAATGCTTTTAATGGAATGCAAATGAAAATGCAGCACAGTTTTATGTTAATCAAAAGATCAGGGTGTGTAGTATTAATGGTGACAATAACAGCAGTTAATGCCTGAGCTAAGTGTTTTATTACAGGCATCACCACCTTATCACTCCACCCACACAACAAAATTGTCACGTCATCACTTTTCCATGTGGACCAGTGATTAACTTGCTAAAGAGAACAAATAACAGAGCCAGTACTCAAATCAGGGCTACTGGAAAGTCCAAAGTCTATGTTCCTCCTCATCCTCTCTACCGGATGAGTTATATTCTTAAACACACTAGAAAACCTCCCCTCTGTGATAACTCACTAAAAAATAAGAGACATCCCTCACAATCTAAAGATTTTAAATAGCAAATGAAAGTTATTCAGATATCATCTTACATCCACCCCCAAATCTACAGAAACAAAGCTCAAGTATTTTGTTTTAGAGACAGGGGAGTGTAACTATGTACTCCTGATTCCTGCCTCCACCTCCTGAGTACTGGGATTAATGGCGTGTACCACAATGCCTGGCTCAATTTTTAACTTTTTAAAAGAATTTACAGACTTTATTCTGGTGGCACTGAGGTTTGAACTCAGGGCCTCAGGCTTGCTAGGCAGGTGGTCTTACCACTTGAGCCACTTTGCCAGTCATAATTTAACTTTTTTGACACTATTTATAGCCCAGGCTGAAACTGAACTCACTACGCAATCCAGGCTGGCCTCAATCTTGTGATCGTCCTGCCTCTACCTCCCAAATCCTGGGACAATTTTTAGTTTTTAAAGGATAGGGATACTAGTATGATATGTCTTTGTGTTTCTACACATATGTGTACACATACACACAAAATTTACTCTACTTGATTTCTGCACCATGCAAATTAATATTCAATCATAATCAATTTAACATTTTTTCTCTACTTTGATAGGATCTTTTTCTTTCCAAAAAAAAAATCAAGCCTCACAAGGGTAAGAAATTATACTACGAGCATCTCTGCTATCAGTTGATATAAGCATTGTGAAAGCCTACAGTATGCAAAAAAATCACATACTAAAAAAAGTTTGAGGAAATTAAGATTACAGGCAGATTACTCAAAAATCTTTGTGATTCTGAGGCTGGTGGAGTGGCTCAAGTGGTAGACCGCCTATATAGCAAGAGAGAGGCCCCAAGTCAAGCTGTAGTGCTCCGAAAAACAACAAACAGCAAAAACCTATGTGATTCTGTGAGGATGGGCACAGTGGCATACCTGCAATTTGACACTCAGGACTGCAGCAGAAGGATGAGAAGTTCCAGTCCAGCCTAGGCTACATAGGGAACCTCTGGCTCAAAAAAACCAAGGGGATGAAGCTCAGTGGAAGAGCACTTCCCTATTAGCACAGGCAAGGCCCTAGGTTCTACCCTCAGCACCAAGGGAAAAAAAAAAAAATCAGCAGGAGAAAACAATTTCCTATGTACCGAATAAATCAATACTAAATTAATGTAAGTCCTTATCTTAAAAAAAGATAAGACAGCTCAATAGAAGGCGTTTTAAAGAAAACCGAGGCTGCTGAGTTAATGAGAACAAAAGTAAAATGTTTCCCAGACAACCGCCCAGTAGGTGCTACCAAGCCACAGCAGTTGGGCAAGTGAGTCAGGGGAGGGAAGCAGAGAGTGCCCACTGCACAGTCAAGTCCCTTAGTCCTCTGTGGCTTGCTCTTTGTAGTTGTGCTTATACCTGGTCTTCAGCCAACTTTTTGGTAGGACAAAGTACTTGTGACACAATGCACCTTCCTCATTATAAGGACAGCATGCTCCTACCTACACGAGAGCCAATTCGCATCAGAGACACATGTATCAGAATACTCGGTTCTTGTTGTATTTCCCCTCCTCGTCTTTAGCACATAAAAGGCACTTACTAATACCTGTAAAATGCAACATAGACTTCAGTACACAGAATAAATCATCTAACCAAAACGTTGAGACTCTTTAGGGAAGCTGCCATGAAAAAGGAATTTTGTTATTTTCAAAGACTCAAAGACAAAGCCAGTTCAAGCACAGCAGGTCACAGGCCATACAAGACTTTGTGGGAGACTGGAGTCAGTGGTGGGAGTGTGCAGCCTGCCTGAAAGTAACAGATACTCAGAGAACAATTATGGGAATGAGGTCATACTGAGGATGTGTCATTAGCAAACCTGAAAGTCAGGCAAAAAAAAAAAAAAAAAAAAGAGAGAAAGAAAACAATCGAAGCAAGCTCATTTTTACTTGACAAAACTGATGACCATCATTGTATTATGAAGCCATTAAACGAACAGAACACAGGGTCATGGGAAAAATGCTTTACAATATTTAGTGGAACCCTCTCACATGATGCTCCAAAGTATAAAACACAAAAACAGAATTGTAAAATAACCAACTTAAGGCAGAGAAGGTGTATGGTGTATTTAAAATATCTCCTTTGGAATGGCGGTGTGGCTCAAGGGTAGAGCACCTGCTTTGCAAGCACAGAGCCCTGAGTTCAAACCCCAGTTCCACCAAAAAAAAAAAAAAAAGTAAATAATTAAAGAGAGTCCTTTATGATAGTGACAATCACCTAAAAACAAAACAAAATTTAAAAAACAGGTTGTAGGGGAACTGTGGTATACATCTGTAATCGAGAGCCCGAGGCTAGCCTTGCTACATAGTGAGACCACGTCTCAAAAAACAAGGAAAACAAAAAACCAAAAAAGCCCGCCAAAAACCCCAACCAACAACAACAAAAAAAAAACAACAGAAGACAAAGGGTCTTCCAGGGCCATCAACCAAGAACCATTCTAAGTTCCAACTCACTCAGCCCTAACTGCAGACAGAAGGACAGGGTTTCTACTCCTCTTTCCAAATTCCGTAACAAAGGCTTTGGAAAAGGTACCAGGAATACTCACCTTTCGAAGAATATTCAGTCGATACTTTAATTTTAAATTTTCTTCTCGTAACTGCTCCAAATTTGGTGACGTTTCTAAATAGCCACAGCTTTTCAAGCGGTTGATTTCGGCAGTCAGAGACTTAATTTCTTTTTCCTGTAAAAGGCAAAGCTCTTTTCAGTCTAGTGTAACTGAGTCCCTCCCCTGTACAATATATGCTAAGATGAATTACACCATAAACTGACTTTGTTTCTTCTCTCTGCAAGAGTGGTCCAGGTGACAAATGGATTTTCATTTTGATAAGCTGCTGACCTCAGCACGTGATTTTTGATAAAAGTGTGTGTGTGTGTGTGTGTGTGTTTGGAGAGAGAAAGAGACAGAGAGCGAGGTTAGGCAATGGCATAAGCCCCACATTCCTAGTTTCATGCTTCAGCTCAAACAAGCCATGGTGATTTAGGGGGGTTTCAGGCTGACCAACGTGGCTTTGTCCCAATCTTCCATCTTGGGGGTCATTCTCATTTTCTCTGGAGACCACCCCCTTCAGTCTGTTCAAAGTGTATAAAAACTTCATCGCTTTCACGACAACCTCCCCCGCCAAAAAACACCACCGCCACCACCAAAACACCAAAGCCGGGCGCTCGTGGCTCACAGCTGTGAACCAAGCAGCTGGGATCACCTACTGGGGAGGCTGAGACAGAGAGGATGAAGGCTCGAGGCCAACCTGAGCAAACTGCTCAAGACCCCCCCATCTCCAAAATAACCAGAGCAAAATGGCTGGAAGCGTAAATCACGCAGTAGAGCCCTTGGTTTGCAAGTGTGAAACCCTGAGTTCAAACCTCAGTCCCACCAAAATGAAAAACCCGGCACGCCTGGGATGGGCGTGACTCCGTGACAGCGCGCCTGGCTTTGATTCCCAACACCGCAAAAGCACTCAACAAACAGCTGTGCTATTTGAATGGAATGGGCCCTCCCTGAGACTAAGTGTCCCCAACCCTCTCTCTCTCGCCAGGGCCACGCCGGGCGACACGTGGCCTGGGTCACTCTGCCCGACGGCCCCGGATCCCTCCCGCTCTTCCTACCGGACGGGCCTGGTGGCCCTCGCGACCCCCACGGATGCCCAGGTTCCGTCTGTGGGGACCTCCTGAGCCACAGCCATGCGAGCTGGGAGGGCCCTAGAGGGCGGGAGGCGGACTTGACGCCCCCGTCGCCGCTCCGGGCCTGGGTCCCCTCCACGCTTTTCCTCCCGTCCCCGGTGTCATACCTGCCGCAGCAGTCGCGCAGAGTACTGAGCTACTAACCCGTCCATCCTCCCGTCGGCGTTTTACACGCCAAGTGGCCGGAAACGGAAGTAGCCGGTTACGCCCGGAAGCGGAAACCCCTCCCCCTGTCTCCTGACGTTCTGGGCGCCGCCATGTCTGCTGCCCCCTGGCGGGATTCAGGCAACACTGCAAGGAGAGAACCTGCGGAGGGCAATGCAGCCCTTGGGATATGGGGCGAGATTAGATTATAGGCGACCAGGACCCGAGCTTCTCCGTGCTTGGACTGGCTTAGAGATGCGTATCTAGACCCAAAGCCTCATTTTGCCCGCCCGTGAAATCACAGAACGAGAAAATCTATGCATTTGTTTCATAAGCATTTTTGTGCCAGATGCTATCCCAGGTTCTGAGGATGCAGAGAAAACAAGGCAGGACGGCCCTCGTTCGCTCTCATGGAGTTTATGTATTGTAATTATTTATTTTTGATGGTACTGGGGTTTGAATTCATGGCCCCAGGCTTGCTAGGCAGGCGCCTTATCACTTGAGCCCTGTTTGTGAAGGGTTTTTTTGAGATAGGATCTGGGCAACTGTTTGCCTGGGGCTGGCCTTGAACCTTGATCCTCCTGATCTCTGCGTCCTCGGAAGCTAGGATTACAGGCGTGATCTCCCCCGCCTGTAATTTAGAGTGGAGAGATAAAGGCAAAAAAGTTAACAACAGTCCCGGTTTCATTTGCCAGGAAGGTAATGTGACTGGGGGCACTTGGTTCAGAAAACCTCTAAGCAGGTGACCTGTGAGTTACAATGGTTCTCCTGCATTTATTTTCCCAGATTTACTGAGCCATAATGAACAAGTAAAAAGGTGTACACACATACTCACTAATGTATATATGCAACATTAATGGTGTACACGTGATTTTTTTTTTCTTTTATGTGGCACTGGGGTTTGAACTTAGCACCTACACCCTGAGCCACTCCAGCAGCCCTTTTCTGTGATGGTTTTTTTTCGAGATAGGGTTTTGTGAATCATTTGACCCGGCTGGCTTCAAACTGTGATCCTCCTGATCTCTGTCTCCTGAGTAGCTAGGATCATAGGCGTGAGCCCCCAGTGGCAGACACAGGTGATGTTTTTGATGCCTGTGTAGGTTGTGAAATAAATGATCACCTCGTGGCCATTGTGCTGAGCACATTCCTAGTACACAATACAGTATAGTTTGGAGTCACTATGCTAAAGCCAGGCGTGATGGCCTGCTGAGGCAGGAGGGTCATTTAAGCCCAGGAGTTTGAAGGCCAGCCTGGGCAACACAGCAAGTCACCTTCACAGTAAATGAGTAACAAACAAATGAACAAATAAAGTCAAAGTCACTGTGCTATTCATTAGGTGTTTTTTTTAAACTTGGGGTTTGAACTTAGGGCCTTTTTAGGCAGGTCTCTACCGCTTGAGCCGTTTAGATCTCCAGATGACAAACATCTGCCACTGAGCCATTGTTTGGTAATGTGCCCTGGCACAGGGGTTAGAATGGAGAATGAGACATGCATGGTGCCTCACCCGTCTCCAACATCCTGAGAAGGCAGATCAAACACAATCAAGTGGTGGGAGACAGGGCAACAGGACGACAAGCTTGTGTCCTTTCATTGTATCTGATTAGCTTCATTTATCATCTGCTGAGGTCAGTCACACACTTGTTCCTGTGCTGACCGTATTCTCCTTAATGCATTTATCCGGCCCCAAGAGCCCTGTAAGAAGCATGGAGTCAGCGGTATAAAGAAGCCACAATGGTGGCAGAAGATGGACAGATTCATGGTAGATGTTGGAGGTGCAGACAGAATTTACTGTGGGACTGGGTCCAAAACTGAAGACATGGCCAAAAAGGAATAGTGCTAAATGTGACCAGAAATACATGACGAGAGCTGCAGGGAAGGAGACAGTGACTGGATCCTTGGCTTTTCCTTCCAGTGACAAGTTTTAACAGCACACTACTTGTACCCAGAGGAACTAATATGTACCTTACCATATACTACTGATGACTTTTTAACTTCGGATCAACTCAAGCAAAGCAAGCTGTATGGTCACATAATTCTGGAACAATATGCAATTGTGATACAATTTAAATTGTATAAAAATAGTGATGTGACTATTAAAAGTTTTTATTTCTTGGGGGTGGTAGTAGGGTTTGAACTCTGGGCTTCATGCTTGCAAAGCAGGCGCACTACCACTTGAGCCACACCTCCAGTCCATTTTGCTTTGGTTATTTTGGAGTTGGGGTCTTGTGAACTATTTGCTCAGGCTGACCTAGAACAGTGATCCTCCCAATCTTAGTGATTACCAGCAAAACAGCACTGATAAATTCCTCAGTTCTTGCATCTGGCAGGAGAAAAATCCAAGCAAGAGGCAAAGATTATAGTAAAAATAATAGTAAATTTTATTAGGAAAGGAGACACTTTGAGCAGACTGAAAGCTGGTTGCCTCAAGGGAGAGAAGATGGGTCAGGTTTTAAAGTTGAAATACTTATTGAGAAACTCTTAGCTTTAGGTCCTTTTGGCTCCTGGCATGATTTCCTGGGTTGGGTCACTGTCTTGCTAAGAGAGACATCCAGGCCTCTACAAGTTCCTGCTCTAATTGATAGACAATTTCTGTTTGAAATTCCTGACCTTTGCTCCATCTAGCTCTCAGGTCTGGGTCTTTGTTTTGTTAAATTTACTTGTGAAAACCTCCCTTCTCCAGACTTAGCTGATGTTTCGGGTGTGGATTATGCATGGGTAGAGTGGGTAAAGCTTTGGGCGAGTGGCAGATATCAAAGCATCCTGTGATAACCCCTGGGCTCTGGTGCCTGATCTTAAGTAGAGACTAGTGGAGTTGGGAAGCGGAATTAAGATGACCCGCCCCCCTTTTTTCCTCTTGGAGCCACCACTCATGTCTAATTGCTACCTATCAGTTAGCAGTTGCAATCCCACACAGCTGGGATTACAGGTATGAGCCATCGGCATGAGGTGAGGCTGCAAAGAGAAAGAGAAAGTGCGGGAAAGTTAAGAGTGGCCTTATCTGGCCTGAAGACTGTAAATAAGGAATAAAGGTTATATTATACGGAAAACAGTAATTCCTAGGGGTGGTAGACTCCAGAAGTTAGGTGCGTTCTTTATTTTATATCTTAAATTCCTGGTGCTCTGAGTTCTTAAAGATGTGTTTTATTTATCTCATAATAGCCCCAAGCACAGGCACTCTTTAGAGAGGGTTCAGGCTGAGATCCCACTCCCTGGAATCCCCCACCTGTCCCCCTCCCTGATGTAAGAAGGGTGGTGGGCAAGCTACCGATGTGTCAGGGTCCCTGCCCCTCATCCCTCATCTGGTCCAGTATCACACCAGCCTGGGTTCTCACACTGGGGCAGGAGGAAGCCACAGAAAGCCCAGGAGCTGAGTGAGGCAGCCTTCCCGACACCTCTGTCAGCTGGGTCAGGCAGCCTGGGGACTCAGGGTTAAAGGGCAGAGGTGGTGCAGGTAAACTAGACAGGAGTCCTGCCCCACGGAGCCGGCCGTCCCAACCTGTCCTGTCTAGTGGGAGAGCTCACATTAAAAAAAATGTTTGGGAACGGGGAGAAAACGTGTGCAGTTGGTGGTGGCTGGTAGGTGTGAGGAAGGAGGGTGTCGCTGTAGGGGACAAGCACAGCATGGGGAAGGACATTAAAGAGGGAGTGGCTCAAGTGGAAGAACGCCCACCAGTACTGCAACAACCAAACCAAACCAAACCAAAACCAAAAACAGGCTCACGCCTATAACCCTAATATTCTGGAGGCCGAGATCAGAAGGACTGCAGTTCGAAGCCAGCCCCAGAGCAAATAGTTTGTGAGACTATCTTGAAAAAACTCACCCCCAAAAAGGGCCAGGGGAATGGGTCGAGGGTTAGAGCACCAGCCCAGCAAGATACACGCGTGTGTGTGCGTGTGCATGGATGGACAAACACAAATCAGGCTGTTGATAAAAGCAAGGTCAGCCACAGTGCACAGGCTCACCAATTTTGTCTCCATTCTTTGGACTGTGGGTGTGGGAAAAGAATGAGGGGGTTTACAGATGTCTTACTGAGAAAGGACAAGGTGCAAGACAGCATTATTTATTGGTGGTACCAGAGTTTTTGGCAGTGCTGGAGTTTGAACTCAAGACCTCATTGTTGCTAGGCAGGTGCTGTCACTTGAGCCATGTCCCCAGCCCTTTATCCTTTAGCTGTTTTTCAAATTCGGTCTCACTTTTTGCCAGCTGCATTCAGACACGTGTGTGCCGCCACGCCTGGCTTTTTTATATCAGTTGATAGGGTCTCGAGAACTTTTGCTTGGGGTGGCCTTGAACCGTGATTCTCCCTCTCTCGGGTTCTGGAGTAGCTGTGGTTACAGCCATGAGCCACTGCCCCCAGTCATGACAGTGTGTATTATGAACTTATAGGTGGAAAACGAAAAAAAAGAACGCATATATTGCCTCTCTAGAAGGACATGGAAAAAACTGGCAACACGGGATGTTCTTAGGGAGTGACCTGGATGGGTGGGGACAGATGGCGAAGATGACTTCTCCTGTCTTAAAAAGCACACTGGGTTTAACCCAGTTCCTATCGCTTAGCTGTGTGTTTTGGGTGGGTGATGTAGCCTCTCTGCTCAGTTTTCTCAAGTGCAAATCGAGGAATATTACTAGAACCTAGCTTACAGGATATTGAAAGTTAAATGAGTTAAAAATAAGTAAACTCTTAGGACAGCGCCTGGGTCTGCGGTGAGTACAAAGACTTGTACCTGTCTTTGGATTTGCTGCAGTATGGATTGGTTCTTTAAATAACAAAACCAGTTTTTCTTTTTGAGATAGGGTCATGCTGTGTTGTCCATGCTGGTCTTAAAACTCTTGGGCTCAAGCAATCCTTTGGCCTCAGCCTCCTGAGCAGCTGGCACTACAGGATTGGACCACCAGGCCTAGTATCTAGAAAAATCTGTTGGCCTACTTGGGAGGCAAGGAGCGCAGACCGTCAGTGTGCACCCCATAAAAGCTCTGTGCTCAGAAAGGGAAGAGATGGGTTGGGACAGGGCAGTCAGGCCCCACCAGGGTTCTCCAGACCTGTAGCCTTGTACCCTGGCCCCCAGCATCCACAGGATCTCATGACTTTGTTCTTCAAAACCATAATGCTCTATGTTCCCAAACTAGCAGGAAGAGGACAGAGATTTGGGACACCCTCTCCTCCCCAGCCTTCTCTGTGACCTGGAGCTCGTCTCTCCACTTTTCTGGACTTGCTTCCTGGATTCCAGACAAGGCGCAGGCATGACTCTGCGTGGACATTTCTTACACGTTCTTCCATTACCCTCCAGGCAAACAACTGGACGAATTGGTGACTTTTCTGTAGGGATTTCAGCAGCATGGTTGAAAGAGGGTCTTCTGCCCACCACAGAAGTGCTCTGGCTCCTCCCACAGCCCTCCGTCCTGAGTGACAAACGCACACGCTTCTCCTGGCAGGAGTTGCTCCCCATGGCTTTTCCCCCTCAAGGTTGAGAGGATGACCCTCGATGGGAGAGCTGGACACAGGCAGAGGTGTAACCCAAGATGAGGTTCCATCACGACTTCAAGGTTTGTACTGAGTCCTCTTCATTTGGCTCTCCACTGTCAGTGAATTCGGGCCCCAGGTCCCCAAGGACATCCCCATTCCTCCCACCTCCTGCAGATTGGCTCATTTCTCTAATTGCTTTGGCCCCATGAGGCTGGACCACAGGCAAAGGCAGCATTGGAAGGAGAGAATGGTCACTGTTGGTTTTTTTGGTTTTTTTTCGGGTATCCATTCCCTCTTTCTTTTCTTTTTTTTTTTATTGTTTTATTATTCATATGTGCATACAAGGCTTGGTTCATTTCTCCCCCCTGCCCCCACCCCCTCCCTTACCACCCACTCCGCCCCCTCCCTCTCCCCCCCACCAATACCCAGCAGAAACTATTTTGCCCTTATTTCTAATTTTGTTGTAGAGAGAGTATAAGCAATAATAGGAAGGAACAAGGGTTTTTGCTGGTTGAGATAAGTATAGCTATACAGGGCATTGACTCACATTGATTTCCAGTGTGTGTGTGTTACCTTCTAGGTTAATTCTTGTCACTGTTGTTCAGGTGGAAGTGCTGGGGAACAGCTGTGACTGGTCCAGCTGGCGTCCCCTGCCTATCCTGGGTCTCGTCATAGAAGCCAAAGGATGAGTCACTCTTGGGTCATCTGCATCATTGCTGGCAGGGCCCTTAACAGAACAGGCCAGGGAAGGGTACAGGGTGTGCAAGAACCATGGCCTCCTTAAAGCTGTGAATGATGTAGGCCAAGGGGCCCCAGAAACAGAAGGCCACACAATCCTTGTGCTCCAGGACTTCCCACAACAGAGTTGGGGTGATGCTGACTGACACTCGGCCCTTAAACGCCTCCTCACAGCAGGAAAGTGAGGGAGCACACGTGTCCAGAGATATGAAGCCAGGGAAGGAGGAAGCCCTGGGTCAGTGTGAGAAATCAGGCAGGACACTGACTCTCCTGGCAGGCCTGCTTTCTTAGTCTCTATTCTCTTGCTGTAACAAAACACAGGAGGCTGGGTATTCGATAAGGAAAAGAGGTTTGTTTAGCTCCCAGTTCTGGAGGTTTAAGAGCAAGGCCACAGCGTCTGCTCAGGTCTGGGGAGGGCCACACTGCAGATGGCCCTGCAATGGTGGGGGTGTGTCAGGGGTAAGCACGTCTGAGAGGGGTCAGTGGTGCATGCAAAACAGGGACTCAGGGAGGGGCCAGGCTCCATTATAACAACCACGCCACCCTGAGAGACAAGCATTAATCCCTTCTGAAGGTGGAGTTTCCCCCCTGCAAACTACTTACCTTCCACCAGGTCCCACCCCCTCAACATCGCCTCACTGGGGACCAAGAATCCAGCATATGAGCCTTTGAGAGGCACACTCAAACCTCATCCAAACCATAGCGTCGAGCTACAGAAAGAGCTGGGGGCCAGCCGGGTGCGGAGGCTCACGTCTGTAGCCCCAGCTACTTGGGAGGCCAAAGTTGGGAGGATCCCATCAAGACCAGCCTGGGCAAAAAAAAGTTCAGGAGACCACATCTCAACAAAAAAGCCAGGCATGGTTGCGCGCGCCCGTGACCCCCGCTAGGGAGGAGCACACGTACAAAGATCGTGGTGTGAGACCCTACAGAAAAATAACCAAAGGAAAAAAGGGCTGGAGGAGTGGCTCAAGTGACAAGAGCGCCTGCCTAGCTGCCCAAGGCCTTGAGCTCAAACTTTAGTACAGCGAAAACTAAGAAATAAGTAAATAAAAAAAAAATTTAAAACAAGCCCAGAGAGCAGATTCTGTGCCAGGACAGTTTCCGTGTACACACTGGGACAAACAGCCAGGCAACAGGGGCAGGGCAGGGCCTCAGCAGAAAGCAACAGGGCTCCACTGCCTCCACGGGCCCCCAAGTCCTGGGTGGCCGTGCACATGAGTGTTCCTGTGGGATGCTCCAACAGGACGTGGGCTGCTCATCTTGCCTCCTTCATGTACGGGGTTTTTTTGGCTGCACTGAGGCTTGAACTCAGGACCTCGTGCTTGCCAGGTAGGCACTCTACCCTTTGAGTCACTTTGCCAGCCCTGTTTTGCATTGGGTATTTTTCAGATTGAGTCTTGCCAAGTATTTGCCCAGAGCTGGCCTCAAACTGCAATCCTCCTGATCTCTGCCTCCTGAGTAGTAGGATTACAGGTGTGAGCCACTGGTGCCTGGCATGCCTGGGTGTCCTTGATACTGTGGTAATGGGTCCCTAAACCACAGTGCGCATAAGACCCACAGTGGGGACGTGGGGAAAATGCAGGTGTTTGGGCCCTTGCTACAGTGGGTAGGGGTGGTTCAGTGGATCGAGGGAAGGGGCCAAGAGCCTGGGTTTCTTTTTTGCTTATTTGGACTTTTTTTGAGACCAGGTCTCACTGTGTTGTCCAGGTTGACCTCAAGCTCAGGTTCCTCCTGCTTCAGGCTTGTCAGGGCTGGGATTACAGGTGTGCCTGAAGGTCTGCATTTCCACCCAGCTGTCCCTGGATGCTTCTGCTACAACTGGGTGCAAGACACGTGGGGAGAAGTTGCACGGGACCATGCTGGCAGGAGGAGGAGGAAAGAGGGCTTGTGGTTGCTGTTTTGAGTCCGATTGTCTGCAGGAGCCTCTGCAGAGGTCTGAGCCTCGCGGGCTTCAAGGACTCCAGAGCAGCACAAGACGCAACCCTCGCACTCAGGACCCACTGCAATGGCTTCAGACACCTCGCATCGATACTCACGCGAAGAAACTGCTCTCACTATGTGGGGTAATTCTGAGGGAGGAAAGAGCACAGAGAATATTTTCCCAATCTCAACTGGGAATTTGGAGTCCTGAACAGCAGAAATGTCATTTTCATGTCATGAACCAATGAGCACAGAAGGCAAAAGAACAAGAAAATCCCCCCCAGATTCCAGGATTGGGGATGGAGGAGGAGGAGGTGATGGGAAGTGGAGAGCCAAGAATCAGGGAAAGCCAGAAGCCAGGGGTGGGGAGAAAGAGCGAGCAAGAGGGAGTCTTTCCAGAAGGTCACTTTATTGATGGAGACAGAACCGGATGGCGTTCCCCATAGCCCTCCCCTCACTCCGTCGGTGGCTTCACTGGGCATCTGAGATGGGAGTGACCTGCCGCCCGCTAGGCCAGCTCCACGACAGGCGGCCACAGAGAAATACACCAGGGCTCATGGAGACTCACGATGACATCGGGGACCCCCTACGGTTTCTGTGCGTTTTTTTAAAATATTGTACAAAATCTGTGAACTAGCAAGGGTTAGCTGTGCTGTGTGTCTGCCGGATGTCCTTTGAGGATTACCATCCCCCACACAGGACTTATTGCAGGACACCCTCTAAAAGGTGTGGCTGTATAAAAAAAGAAAAATCTCGATGATTTTAAGGAGAGCAGCAACATAACACTGCTTTAGTTCATTTAAGTTTTCTTTCCCAAAAATACATTCCTAAATATACAAACTATACAATCTTGTCATTTTGTATTTGTTTTTTTAGTGGCTTTTTTTTTTTTTTTTAATAATCATAGAACCTGAACTAAAAAAAAAAAAAAAATCTGTCCATCTTTGAACCAAGGAGAGTGCTAGAGGACTCGAACTCAGTACCTTCATGTGACACCACACAAATAACCTTGGGCACAGTCACAGTTCACAGCGCGCTTGTGGAACAAAAGGAATACTTTTCTGGCGATTAGACGTCGTCTGCACACAGGGTTGACACATTCATCCGAGGACGGGTGAAAAACGCCATCTTCTCCCTGTGAAAGACAGCAGGGGCGGGAGAAACCTTGTTCCGGTCATAGGGCTGGAACTCAGGGCCTCGCGAGTGTGCGAGGCTGCACAGCACACGCTCCGCCACTGAGCTGCACCCCAGTCACGGGGGTTGGGGGGTGGGGGGTGGGGGCAGGTCTTTGTTTGGGGGGCCTGTCCATGGCGGGATGGTTAGCAGTGGTCCAACTGCTTCCTGTTAAGATTCCTGCAGCACTCTAGTTGTGACAGTCAAAAATGTACAGACACTGGGCACAGTGGCACATACCTGTAGTCACAGAACTTTGGGAGGCTGGGGCAGAAAGATCACTTCTTGAGGTCACAAGTTTGAGACCAGCCTGGGCTACATACCGAGACCCATCTCAAAGAAAAGAAAAAGAAAAAAATGGACGCTACCAAATGTCCCCTGTAGGGGAGTGGGGGACAGAATCACCCCGATTGAGAATCGCTGCTTTTGGGGACCTGTTAAGATGACTAACAACCCTCAGTTCAAAGCAGGGCCCGTCTCAGAGTTTGTAAGGCTCTTGGACCACTCGCAGTGTTTTCTTATTTCAATTTCCTAATCTTGGAATTAAAAAAAAAGAAAGAAATAGATTCTTAGTCTGGTAAACAGAGATCCCCACACACAGTGATACACAAACTACAGTATATTTTAAATGCTTAAGCTCCACAAAGGGACCTCTCTCCCCTCCCCCCCTTGTTTTATACAGTTTTCTTTTGCTTCTGAGTCAGGGTGTCACTATGGAACCCAGGCTGGCCTGGAACTGCTGAGCCTCCTGCTCCAGCTTCCCCTGTGCTGGTATTACAGGGATGAACCGCCACACCACCTGGCTTCAAAGGGACCTTTTTTCTCTCCTCCTTCCCTCCCTCCTCCCTTTTTTCTTTCTAGTGGTACTAGAGTTTGAATTCCGGGCCTCGCACTTGCTAGGCAGGCGTTCTTCCATTATTCCACTTAAGCCGCTCCACCAGCCCCTTTTTGTGTTGGCTACTTTTTTGAGATAGGGTCTCTCCAACTATTTTCCTGGGCTGGCTTCCAACTGTGATCCTCCTGATCTTTGCCTCCTGAGTAGCTAGGATTACAGGTGTGAGCCACTGGTACCTGGCCCCTGGGATCTTTTTTCTTACACACACACATACATGTACCTTGTCTGGAAGCCATCACACGTCTAAACACAAGACCCTCTGTGAGGAGAGGCCTGGGCCACATGGCAGTTGGGACCCTCCTCTGATGGCAAGATACAACTCCCTGAGATCCTGGCAGGCAGCGGGCACAGCCAGGGAAGCTGGGGCCCATCTGCCCCCTGACCCCAGCTTAGTCAGTCCTTAGCAGTTACACTACAGGGAAGGCCAGAGCAGGTGACCCAGTCACCACACAGTTAGCTCCTGCTGCATGGGGACCGATGAAGACAGGTGAGAAGACTGCCACAGCGGTGAGGACCAGGGACATCCTGACAGAGGGTGAACGTGGGCACATGACCACCAGCGCCAGGTGCGGGGATGGGAGCGGTGAGGCTGGGCAGAGATGGCGAGGGCCAGGAGGCCGGGGACATTGACTTACCTGAAAGACTGCACTTCCGGGGGCTCCTTACAGCTCTGGCCCTGAAGCCTGTGCACGTCCTTGGCGGCTGCTCTCACCATCTTCTCTGCCTGCAGCTCACCCTTGTGCTCGGCACGATCCATCTGTAGAGACGCCAGGGGCTCAGCTGAGGTCACCTTTCAGGGACGATGAGCCCCGGGGAGTAAGCGGCACCCTTGCCCTTCCTACTCCTCTGTGGGGTTCACCGTAGTCACAACGACACAGGCTGTGTTCACATCATCGACCCTGGAGGGCGACTGTGGGGCCAGGGGACCTGTCACATTCTTTTTTTTTTTTTTCTTTTATTATTCATTATGTGCAACAAGGCCTTGGCGTCATTTTTCTCCCCCCTGCCCCCACCCCCTCCCTTACCAACCCACTCCGCCCCTCCCTCGCCCCCCTACCCCCTCAATACCCAGCAGAAACTATTTTGCCCTTATTTCTAATTTTGTTGAAGAGGAGTATAAGCAATAATAGGAAGGAACAAGGGTTTTTGCTGGTTGAGATAAGGATAAGCTATACAGGGAGTGATCACATTAATTTCCTGTGCATGTGTGTTACCTTTACCTTCTAAGTTAATTCTTTTTTGATTCTCACCTTTTCTCTAGTTCCTGGTCCCCTTCTCCTAATTGGCCTCAGTTGCTTTTAAGGTATCTGCTTTAGTTTCTCTGCGTTGAGGGGAACAAATGCTAGCTAATTTTTTAGGTGTCTTACCTATCCTCACCCCTCCCTTGTGTGCTCTCGCTTTTATCATGTGCTCAAAGTCCAATCCCCTTGTTGTGTTTGCCCTTGATCTAATGTCCACATATGAGGGAGAACATACGATTTTTACGAGACCCTCATCTTAATGGCACATTGCTGGGCATGGTGGTGCACGCCTGGAACCTCAGCTACGTTGGGAAGCATGAAGTAGGAGAATGATGGTCCAGGTGAGACCCCATCTCCAAAATAACCAGAGCAAAAAGGGCTGGAGGAGTGGCTCAAGTGGGAGAGCGCCTGCTTTGTAAGCAATGAGGTTATCATGTGAACCGTTTGTTAGTCCATTAATGAAAGGTCAAGGTCAAGTTTTCTTACTTTCTGTTTTCTTTTCTTAAGGGAGGACACATAAAAGCCACTCTTCTCATGTCTTTTTTGCCTTGGTTACCAGGAAGCTCAAAGACAAATATAATTGCCAACTATAATTAGATTCCTTTGGTTTGGATTGGGATGTATGGAATCTTTCTTCTCCTTATGGCTAATTTCCTATTTTTCCCTTAATGCTCTTATTATAACTTTATTTATATTGCATCAATTAGGAATTCTCTAACTTCTTGCCAGTCCATCTGATGCTTCCTGCCCTGAGAGCCAGGATTTCAGCTGAGGCCTCCGAGACAGACAATCCAGGCAGACACCTCTGTGAGGTGCCCTCCATGTCGGTGAGCAGAGGAAACTAGCAAGGGCTTTTTTGTCATGGGTAGCACCCAGGAAGTGGCAAGTTACTCACTATAAATGAGCCAAATATGGCCTTATCATCTCTCCCTCTTTTTTTTTTTTTTGTGGTACCCAGGACACTGAGCATGCTAGGCAAGTGCTGTACCACTGAGCTACATCCTCAGCCCTGTTTATTTCTTCATGCTAGGCTGGAAGCTGTTGGCTCAGAGCCTGCTGGCACCAATTTCCAACTTTTGCACATTCAATTATTTGACAGTACTGGGGTTTGAACTCAGGGCCTCACACTTGCTAGGCAGGCGCTTTACCACTTTGAGGCACTCCACCAACACTTTTTCCTCTTTTTTTTATACTGGGTATTTTCAAGATACGGTCTCTTGAACCATTTGCCTGGGCTGGCCTCGAACCACCATCCTCTTCATCTCTGCCTCTCAAGTAGCTAGGAATACAGGAGTGAACCACTGGCACCAGCTCCTTTCAATTATTTTGAATCTGGCTCAGGGAGCAGCTTTGTAGCCAGTTAGAACCTTCCTGATTTGCATGCATGTGAGACTGCACCCACCATCTGGTGGCAGGAGGTAAGATGAATCCCAGGACTCTGGGACCCTAAGCTGCTGTTGTGTAAGCCACTCCTCAAGCCGCCTGCATATCCTGAGGGGTAGTTCGCCCCACTTTTGGAAGGCCTCATCCTAGGAGGATTTCCTGTGACCAAACCTATGAAAGCCCTACTCAGGTCAGACTCTTCGTGGGCTGCTTCTTCCTTCGGGTTACATCTGTCCATGGTCAACCCAGAAATTGCATGCTTGCTTCAACTCGGCAAGTCAGAGATGCCAGCGGCAATACTGCAGGGCATCATGGGAGCACCCGGCCCTGTCCTTAGGTGACGGCTGCTCTGTGGGGCTGGGCAAATGTCCTCGGTTACATGCCCACCCGTGCGTGAACAAGGCTCACAGTGAGTGGGTAGCACTTTGTGGTGACTTGCCGTGTGACTCATATGCACTGGCTTCCTGGGGCCCTGTGCTGAGGGGCAGGAGGGCCCCGGATGGGACCCCAGGACCCGATGGTGGCTCAGCTCTTCCCGCCACACTCACCCTCCACTCCAGCATCCTCAGCAGCAGACGGAAGCGCTCGTCCTCCCGCAGCCTCGCTGGCAGCTCCTGCTCGCCCTGCTTCCTGGCCTGTTCCAGCTGCTCCTTCAGCTCCTTCAGTACCGAGATCTCCTGGGTCAGCTGGCTGTGCCAGGTCCTCGTTGCCTGCAGGTCTAGTTCAAGGTCCAGTGAGGTGCGGATCAGGCGCTCTGAGTGCAGGGATTTGACAGATGAAGGCTGCAGGGGGGAAGGGGGGACACGGCTCCCATGGTTAGAAGAGGGGCTGCATGCAGGGAGTCCACACTGTTGGGCCCCTGTTCCTGGCCCCAAAGACCCTCGGATTATCAGCAGACACCCGCTCCTTCTGAACAGGGCTCCACTTACACAGCCCCGGTTCACTCGGCATCAGCTGCATCCCCGGCACAGGGCTAAGCGAAGTCCTTCACTGTGGTCACGCCATTTCATTTGCACGACGACCCTAAGACAACCCAACTGTTCCCCACACACCCGAGGCTTGATTTAAGTCACATGGAGTAGGAGTGGGAAAGCTGAGGTTGCAGGCAGGTGGCGGTGAGCTCTCTTTCTGAGGAGTAAAGGCCTCTCCATAACAGGTGCCAGCCATGACCCTGTCCTGGAATTTTTTTTGCAGCACTGGTGACTGAACTCAGGGCCTCACCCTTGCTAGGCAGCTGCTCTTACCGCTTGAGCCACTGCGATGGCTTTTTTTTTGAGTTAGGGTCTCATGTACTATTTGCTCCTGATCTCTGCTTCCTTGATAGACAGGCACCCTACCACATCCCCACCCTTGATTTCTGCCTCCTGAGTAGCTAGGATTACAGGTATGAGCCACCAGAGTCTGGCAGTCCTGGAGTTCTTAAGCTTCTCCCTGTGACAGCAGAAGTCCTTTCTTTTTGACTCAGTAGGCCTGGGAAGGCCACCTGTCACTCCTGCTTGTCCAATATTCACCTTCCCTGGAGGATCCACTCCACCAGGCAGTCCACCTGGCTTGTGGGCCACAGGCACATGACCTGCTTCTGCCAATCAGCACATATGTTATCTGCAGCCCAGCCAATCGCCTTCAACTTTGGCATGTGCTCACTCACTTGGAAAGACAGCGATGTCTCTCACCAGAGACTGCTGGGCAGCAAGATGCAAACCTGGAGCCGTCCATGGTCAGCTTTCACCATCACAGGGGACCCCGCTTAAGAGTCAAGCTCTGTGGCAGGAGTAGGGCCCAAGGAGGGGGATGAAGCCTGATGACACTGCTTCAGCCTGGGCCAAGCCATGCCTCAGGCTATTTTCACAGCCTTTTTCTTTCCTCCCCCCCTCTCTCCCTCCCTCCCTAACATAGTAGTCTTCACAGATTTGCATGTCATCCTTGTACAGGGACCATACTAATCTCTTCTGTAATCATTTCAATTTTAGGTTATATGCTGCTGAAGTGAGCATAAGGTTTCCTTTTTTTTGGTGGTGGTGGTACTTGGGTTTGAACTCAGGGCCTCATGCTTTCTAGGTAGGTGTTCTACCACTTCAGTCACTCTGCCAAGCCCTTTCTTTTCTTGGAAGCGCTGGGGCTTGAACTCAGGGTCATGTGCATGCTAGGCAAGTGCTCTGTCACTGATCCAAAGAGTTATGTTTGGATCTTCAATGTCCCCAAAGGCCCGTGTGTTAACGGCCTGGTCACTAGTCTGTGGCCCTTCTGGGAGGCTGTGGGACCTCTAGGAGGTGGGGCTATGTGGAAGGAAGTTAGGTCATTAGGGGTGTGACCTTGAAGTGGATATTACTGGGACCCAGGCCTCTTCCTGTGTCTCTCTTGCTTCCGTCACTATGAGGCGAGCAGCCTTCACCCCACACTCCTGCCAGGATGTACCCAAAGCCATAGGGCCAAGTGACCATGATGGAGACCTCTGCACCCATGAGTCAAAACCCAGCCTTCTTCCTCTGAAGTTCTTTGTCCCAGTGATGGGAGTCTGGCCAACAGTTAGCCGGAGTTCTCCATCACACGGGTCAATAAATTCCTTTTCATTTTTAAGCTGAATTAGAGTCGGGTTCTCATGTTACCTGTACGTAAAAGATCCTGAGTAATGTAATCGTTGACGCTCCTTGTATCAAAACCCATTAATGATTACAAAATAACTAGAGACAGATTTCTAAGGTGACTGGTAAGAATCCACCCCTCATACACACGCCCTGTATAATTGCCTGTCCTTCCCTTTCGTGCAGATGGGACCTGTGAGCTTGGAGGGATATTGCTCCTGTGACTAGGTTACTTAAGTTGACTTTGAGTTAATCAAAAGGAGTGTCCTTGGTGGGCCTGGCCCAATCAGAAGAGCCCTTAAGCGACAGATGGACTGGGCTCTTCCTGGCTGGGTTACGTTGCTGGCCTTGAAGAAGCAATACCTGGGATAGAGAGGGTCACATGACAAGGACCTAAGCATGACCTCTAGGAGCTGAGAGAGGCTTGTAGGTAGCAGAAGCATAAGGAAATGAATTCTTCCTCCTCCTCCAGTCAAACCTCCAGATGAGGATGCGTCCACTCAATGCCGAGACCTCAGCCTACAGAGACACTGAGCAGAGGACTCGGCTCCCCTGTGCCCACTCCTGACCTGCAGAAGCCGAGGTTATGAACCATTTTAAGCTGCTAAGTTTGTGGTACATCGTTGTGCCTTACAGAACAAATACAGTGAGCAAAGCAGGGGTGTAAGGCCTAAGAAATGTCCCTAACCCTCACTCTGTAAGGCTGATGTGCTAATTCGAGGGACATAAAATAATACCTCAATGCAGAAGTTCTAGAGTGTCCTTCCAGGGGGAGCTTTGGCCTGTGCTAAGTGGCCCAGCTGAGAGGTCGCAGGCTGCAGCGCCTTGCTCTTCCCATCAGCCAGACTTAGGTGCTCACGTGGGCGGCTGAGGCAGAGGCCCAGCTCCGGCCACCAGGGGAAGCAAGAGCAAGGGCCTGCCCAGCCTCTGCCTCTCCTGCTCTCCGGGGCCAAGGGAAATGTGCCTTCAGATCCCCATCACAGCGCGCTCCCCCGAGAGTCGGCCCCCGGCTAGGAGGAGGTCTAAGGGCTTAAACTGTACACTGGCCCGAGCCGCCTGATTCACACTGTGTGGGGGCATGGCCTTGAAATGTGCACTGCCAACCAGCTACAGGTGCCTCTCGGGGTTCCAGAAAACACCAAGCAATACAGTCACCTGCAGCAAACGGCACAGGGGCCCAGAGTGGACACTCATGTCCCCTCAGCCAGCATGTTCTCCCTTCCCTGTGTGCCCCCTTGTGCAATGCTTTTCTCTCCTGCTCTCTCTGGGGTCCTCTGCAGACCTGCAGGGGCAGAGAGAGGGGTGGCATGAGGCAGAGGACCAGCTGCTTTTGGGTTGTTTTTTTGGAAGAGTTGAGGTCTAACCTGGGGTCTCGCACAAGCCAGGCAAGAGTATAAGTGCTGACCCCAGTTGAGGACCAGCCCTGACGGCTGTCAGAGGGCAGGCCTGCAGCAGAGGCGACAGCTGCCCCCTTGTGCTGCCTCTCCTGTCTCTTTCTGATATCCTGATTCCTGCTTTTTTCTGGTTCTCCAAATGCACCAGACAGAATGAGTTAATAGCCACGTTCAAAGTTCAAAGTGGCATGCTCTCTCTGCACCTCCTACAGCCTTGACTGGTCTCAATCCTAAAATGGGGCTGCTCCATGGCTCGGGGCCACCCCACCCCAATCCGTCAGCCCAGGCCCACTAGGAAAGGTGCTACCTCTTACAGGATGGCCTGTGGCCTCTTCCTTGTGTCTCTAATGGCTCACACAGAAGCCCACCTGCTTCCCACACGTGTTGGGCAGGCTCCCACCAGCTCATATCCTGACTGCTGACCAGGACATCGTGGGCTGGACAATCCCTCCTGACACTGATTTTCCACCTGGGAGGACATGACCACGTGAGTACACTCCTGACCTCACCTGTGTGTCACCATGGTAAGGTTCAATTTGCCCTTTGGGCACTGCTCTATGTCTACACGGACTGCAGAGTCCACGAAATTCTCTTCATAGATACCATCAGCCTGCAGGAGCAACTCCCCTCATACCAGAGGCGGAGGAGGAATGGCCAGACATCAGGGTACATGTGCTTGGGCACAGGCCTTCCAGAAGCTGAGGAGGAACAGGTACACAGATAGCTTCGAGGTGACTCTTACCCGCTTCATCCGGACACTGCGTCGCTCCAGGGAGTTTCGAACAAAAGGTGGCTTTTTGGACAGAGTGGAGCTGTCACTGTCACTCCGGTTCAGCTGCAAGAGAAAAGCCAAGGGAAGTCAGGCAGGGTAAGAATGTACCCTGGAATGTGTGCTGGTTCAGGAAGGGGGTCTCCTTCCTTCTCAGCCTGGTCCTCCATCTCCTTCTGCAAACATCCAGACTGTCCTGTTCCAGGCTTCATCCTGACTGTTTGCTTTTGTGTTTGGACATTTACTGAGCACATACTATGGGTGATGTCCGCTGCTCTAGTCTCTGCCTGAAGCTTAATGAGATGGGGTGTCACTGCCTCCTGCCAATTGCCAAGTGCCAACAACTCCATGGGACAGGATTCTCCCTGTTTTACAAATGAGGACACAGAGGCTCAGGAGTCACTGAGTTTGCCCGAGGTTGACGAGCTGATGAGCCTCCCAGCAGGGCTGACAACAGCAGCGTCACAGAAGGAGACACTGTCTCCTTGGCCTACACACAAAGAGCTGTTTGTATGGACTCTCCCCTCACACCCACAGAGTCCACCTTTACCGGTTCAAAAAGAGCTATTAAGCCGGTCATTGTGGCTCACGCCTGTAATCCTAGCTAATCGGGAGGATCGAAGTTCAAGGACAGCATAGGCAAAAAAATCTGCAAGGCCTCACTTCAACCAATAAAGAGCTGAGCTTGGTGGCATGAGTCTGTCATCCCAGCTGCGCAGGGGGCATAAATAGAAGGTCCGGTCCAGGCCAGCTTCGGCATAAAAGTGAGACCCTATTTGAAAAATAACGAAAGCATAAAGGGCTGGAGGCATGGTTCAAGCAGCAGAGCGCTAGCCTGGCAAGCGTAAGGGCCTGAGTTCAAACCCCAGAAGTGCAAAGCAAGCAAACAAACAAACACCCACAAAAAAATCCAACCAGAACCACTGGCAAGACTGCCAGCTGCCATACCATACACACCATGTACCAAACCCCAAGCCCTGGGTTCAATCCCCAGTACTAGCAAAAAAACAAATGAGGGCGGGGAGGAGGGGAGGGACCATATCCCCGGAGAGGATGGGGCAGACAGCTTTGTAAGGGCCGAGCTCGTGCCGACTCTCCCACACCCGAATCCCTTCTGGGGAGTTATCCTTATTCTCCCAGAGGACGCACATCTCCTACATGAACGGAAATCAGCCGATGGTCAACATGGGATGCTTGTCTCTCTCTTTTTTTTTCTTCACTTTTTTTCTGGTTTGTAAGTTTTGCACATACCAGACAAGAGCTCCATCACTGAGCTACATCCTGACAACAATGGATGCTTTTCTACTGAGGAGGGGCCCAGCCTCCACAGAGCAGGAGAAATGCCGGGGCTATGCCATCTGGGGAGGCAAGGGAGCATGGGAACACCTTTCTCAAGCAATTCTCCAAAGTCGGCGAGGTTGACAGGGCCCATGCCACTTTGCCTGTCCACCTGGCAGCTGCCCATCCCTGCAGCGGTCTCTCCTCAGAAGTTATTAGCGTTGTCATTTCTGTGGTTATTAATCATTATTACTGATAATGACGTTAACAGTCCTGGAAGCTGATGAACACAGTGACTTGGGGACAGAAGGAGTGAAGTACTCCTGTACGCAGCAGAGGCTCAAGCAGACCAGAAACAGGGTCATAGACAGTGGCATGAATGACAGCTGTGTGGATGGGTACCTAACGCATGCCATATGGTACAGTCCCCAGACTCTCTGGCGGTGACCCAAGGAGATGACAGCACTTTCACAGGTCATGGTTTATTATTTTTATTTTGGTGGCACTGGGGTTTGAACTCAGGGCTTACACCTTGAGCCACTCCACCAACTCTTTTTTGTGATGGGCTTTTTCAAGATAGGCTCTTGAGAACTACTTGTTGGGGCTGGCTTTCCTGGATTATAGGCATGAGGCACAGGTGCCTGGCTAAGAAGTCATTGTGGTCTATGTGCTAAAGATAGGGGTATAAAAGAGTGCTGAAAGCTACCTTTATTTCTTCAGCTTTACCTTTTCCTATTTCAAGATATGTTAGCATCTAGGGACACTGAAGTGGAGCTTGTTCAGGGGAGAAAATTTGGGAAGGCTGGGTCCATTTGGTCAAAGAGGGTCACATGACAAATGGCTCAGCACTGCTGTTGAGTACTGGGGACTGTGGAGGGCTTAGGAAGGGTAACTCACTGTCCCTGTCTTCAGGGACTTCAAAGGTCAGCAGGGGTCCCAAGCTGGGGAAATGAACTACAGGACACAGGCCATACTGAAAAGCAGAGAAGGGAGTCACCCAGCAGAGGACAGTGTGTGCAGAGGGGTGAAATGGGCTACTGGAAGGAGCCAGCGGGAGCCTGGCAGGAGGGGCTCTGAGGGACACAAAGGCTGCAAGCCGAGGAGCAGGCTCTTACTTTGCACCTGGTATCTGTGTACTGGAAGGTTCACTGTGGCTCTCTGATGTCACTGTGCATCTTTGAAGAGTGCAAACACAGGGGCCTTGTGGGTTAGGGTTAGAGGTAAGTCAAATAACAAGAAAATGATTTATTTTTTGCAGGGCGGGAGAGGATGAAGTCTTGTCCACTAGCATTTGAAACCTGCCCTACAAGAAGGGGAAAAACTCCAGTGGGAAGCGAAGCCCATCTCTCGCCAGGGAAGCTGAGAGGCCCCAGTCCTGCTTGCACGGCCCCCTTGCACCTGGAGGCAGGCACAGGACTAGACTGGCAATTGCATGCAACTGCCTGCTGGACTCACTTCTCTGTCACTGTGCCTTTGGGACTGACCAGCCAACTCTCTATTATGCCATAATCCTTTCATGTTTGTCTGTATCTCGGGAGGGAGTCATTAGTGGTGAGTAGTGGTGACAGAGCAGCTTTCACAGGTCCTGGGGCCAGTGGTGGCAGGACCAGGTGGAGGAGTCAGAACAGCAGTCCCTCCTTAAACATGGAAGATACACTGCCTGACTCCAGGGGATGCCTGAAACCTCAGAAAGCCCTATGAAACTATGTGTTCCTTATACATATGCACCTAGGATAAAGTTTGATTTATAAGTTAGGCACGGTAAGAGCTCAACAAGAACAACTTACTAAAGATCTTAGCAACCACAGTCTATGTTTGCTTATTAAGTCGAGAACTTTCACCTTTCCATTTTAGGACAGGAGCACTTCACAGCTTCTCCTCAGCATGTCTGAATTGCCATCCACACTAATGGCTTTGGGGACCATTAGGTCAAATAAGGGTTACTGATCACTGCAGTATCATGACAGTGTTCCTGATAATAGAGGTGGCCACCAAGTGACTAATGGGAGGGTAGCATCTGCAGTGTGGATACGGTGGACACAGGTGTGGTATGGTTCAAGTTCTGAGGGAGACAGCTTGAAAGTTCATCACGCTACTCACAGTGACATGCAATTTAAAACTTATGAGTTAGCTGGGTGCCACTGGCTTGCACCTGTAATCCTATCTACACAGAGGCTGAGATCATGGGGATTGTGGTTCAAGGCCAGCCTGGGAAAATAGTTTGTGAGACCCCCAGGTCCAAAATAACTAGTGCAAAATGCACTGGAGGTGTGGCTCAAGCCATAAGAGTACCTGCTTTGCAAGTGCAAAGCCCTTGGTTCAAACCCCAGTCCCATCAAAAATAAATAAGTAAAACCTGTGAGTTGATTTTTTTTTTCTGGAACTAGTTAATACTTTCAGATTAGCTGATCACAGGTAAATGGAACTGTAGCAAGCAAAAAGTGCAGAGGACTGAACGCTGTGGTGGGACTGGCAACAGCCCCGGTGGCATCCTCATCTGATTAGCTCCGTGGTCTGCATTTGGTTGTGGTCTGGCCTGCTTAATTCCAGCCGTGATTTTTCATGCTGATCCTGCAAGCTCACAATAAATACATGCACTACTTAATTTTCTCTGTGAAAGTACCTTTCCTGGATATACTGCTCACAGTCTCTTTCTGTGGCTTATGATTAGGGACCCTGACCAGCACATGGCTGGGCAGCAGGAGGTGGAGTGGTATCAAGTCACAGACTGGAAAACAGCTGGCTGAGGGGTGGGGGAAGGCTGGGCACAGGGCACCCCTGACATGCCCTGCCGGGAATTCAGTAATATGCATTTTGTGAGTGCAAAACAGGGAGTTAAGCTGTTACCTGTTGTACCTTGGAAGACAGACGGCATGCCGTCAAGAGTAGGGGAAATGACACGAAAATATTCGGGATGTTGAACTGTTTGGTGCTTCTTGTAGCCTTCGGTAAGATTCTGCATGAGACTGGGCACTGGAGGCTCACACCTGTAATCCTAGCTACTTGGGATCAAGAAGATTGCTCTACCAAGATCAAGAAGATTTGGTGAGGCCAGAGGGAGTGAGACCCCATGTCAACCAGTAGCTGGGTGCAATGATGCTCGACTGTCCTCCTAGCGATGGCTGGAAGCTTAAGTAGGAGGATTGTGATTCAGGCTGGCCTGGGCAAAAAAGCGAGGTTCTATTTCCAAAAGAGCCAGCGCAGAAGGGCTGGCGGCATGGCTCTCCTGGAAGAGCTCCTGCCTAGCAAGCCTAAATCCCTGAGTTCAAATCCCAGTGCTGCTAATCAATCAGTCAACACTGATTTCTTCTGTGTGACCTTTCTGAGAAGTGACACTCCTCTATTTGACTTTTGGTGCACATTCATGACTGTGGTAAACTGGCAAAAAGCGAAGGATGTGATCTGTTATCCTTTGGGAGCTCAATAATTCACTTGAGACTTGCCCAGAAGGAAGGGGTCGCCGTCACTGCCAGGAAGGAATGCTGGGAAGGTTTACTGGTTACGTATCAATTAGGGCTGATTTGATACGTAACCAGTAAACTAGTGAAGTTTCCATGTGATAAAGAAATTAATTTCTTGGGAGAAATGGCCCAAGCACTGTATGCACATATGGATAATAAAACAATAAGAAAAAAAAAAGAAATTAATTTCTTGCTGGGTGTGTGGTACACGTCTGTCATCCCGGCAGGAAGCAGAGACTGGGAGGATGGTGGTTTCAGCCAGCCTGGGTAAATGAGTTTTTGAGACCCCATCTCAACCAATAAGAAAGTGGGTGTGGTGGTGTGCACCTGTCATCCCAGCTATGCAGGAAGTGTAAACAAAAGGATGGTGGTCCAGGCTGGCCAGGCATAAGTTGGAGACACTATTTGAAAGATAAAGTATAAGGGCTGGGGGCGTGGCTCAAGTGCTAGCTCACCTCCCCGGCAAGCACGAGGTCCTGAGTTCAAACCCTGCTACCCATCTCCCCCCACCCAAAAAAATAACTTCTCTACTCAACCTTCTAGAAGGCAGGTCCTGTTTAGGCTTCCACTTACTGTTCGAGGGGTCTGTATGCTGAGGAGCGGCACATCCTCAGAGCCCAGAACTCAGGTAAGGAAGGTATGCACGTCAGTTATGGGTATCATGTGCATGGAAGGGTGGGAGCCGTGGCTGGTTCTATAGCCCCAGCAACCAGCATGGCCCCTTAGATGTGGGAGGGCCAGGACTCAGTAGACTGAGGGAAAGTGTACTGTCACAGGTAAGGACAGAAGAGCTGATAGCAGGGAAGAGGAGTGAAGGCACAGAAGTCACAGGGCTTGGGAACTCCACTGGGGTCTCTACAGCAGGTCAGCCCCTGGAATAGGCAGAGGGTCAGGTCCCATCGTCCAGGGGCAGCTGCTGGCTGTCAACTCCAGCCAACTGCCACCATGCAGGGGACTGGGGGGACAGTCCCAGAGGGTTGCTTTTCACTTTTTCAAAGGGAACTGGAAATGTATGCCCAACTTCTTTGTTTTTGATTGTATTTTGAATTTTCTTTCCTAAGTTGAAGATGTCAGCAACAGGTTCAATTAAAAAACAAACAGGGCTGGAGATGGAGTTCAGTGGAAGAGGGCCTGCCTCCCATGTGCAAGGCTCCCTCCCCAGCACACAGAGCAAAGGGACAAAGTCCCCACACAACCTGGAGCTAATCCTAGACCAGGCAGGTGGGCGTTTTGCACCCTGCCCACCCTCCATTGGACTGGCCTGGAGGGAAGAGATGCCGAAGGCTACCGAGCACAGAGGGGTCCATACATCTTCACAGGACAGAGGCGCAGGTGGAAGAGATTAGTCAGGAACTTTCCCCTTTTTTCTTTCTTTTTTGAGGTGGGGAAAACAGGGTCTTGCTATATAGAACAGCCTGGCCTGGAACTCCTGATTCTCTTGCCTTAGCCTCCAGTGTGCTGAGATTACAGGCATGTACCACCATGCCCAGCTGGAGCACTGGATTTCTGTTGTGTTTTCTGTGGTATATTGTTACACTTTTGTAGCAATTCAAATTCAAAGTTGCAAGTATCATTTTGCTATCCTGCCACTCAATCTTTGCAGAGTCTCTTAAATATAACTACACAGAGAACAACAAATGCAGAAGAAACAGCTGGATAAAATACCATTTAAGAAGAGAAAAGAAACCAGATGCAAGTTTGTAATCCTAGCTATTAGGGAGGCAGAGATCAGGAGGATTATGGTTCGAGGCCAGCCTGTGCCACACACAAAAAAATACCTTGAAATACCCAACACATAAAAAAAGAGGTGGTGGAGTGGCTCAAGTGGTAGAGCACCTGCTTGGCACGCATGAGGTCCTGAGTTCAAACCCCAGTACTGCCAAAAATAGAAAAGAACAGTTCTCTACCTTTAGTTTTGGCTGGGCCTTCCAGGTTTCAGACCTTGGCTGTTGGGTGCCTGGCGTGGCTTCTTGGATTCCTGACTCCTAGCATTTAATAACTCCTTCTAGTACCTTTTATTTTTGTTTTAGATATAATCACGTTTCAAAAAGAAGTGTACACGAAAGAAAAGGGAAGAATATTCAATTACTGAACGGAAGTAAACAGAGCTGACAGTTGGTCTGTAACCTTCCAGTTTTCTGTATGCATGTTTGCACTTTTACATTTTTTAATAAAAAGCGAATTCATCCTCTCCCTACCACTGTCACCAGCTCACTTCATGACATGTTATTTTCCTTCATTAAATAATTGCATCAACCAACCAATCAGCAAGCCCAATCCTATGAAGTGGGCTCAGAGGAACGGAGAGGGCTGGGGACTCGCACCCAGAGCCGGGCGAGGTCCCAGGGCAGCAGGAAGCCACCATTTGCTCACTTACCCGGCACACATACTGGCTCTGGGGCCCCGGGGAGAAGGTCTTGGAACGGATAATGGTGCTCCCTCGAAGAAACGGCCCTGGCGACGGGGTGCCCACTCGCCGGTCCTTGGGCCGCACCACTGTGGGGGACAAGGCTACTGTGTCCGTGTTGGTCTCTTTATCCACCTGAGAAAGAAGTCACAGCCTTGAGGCCACCAGCAGCCATGCTGAGTCTACTCAGTCACACTCCAGTCCTGTCACCTTGCTCTTGGCCTGCAGGCACAGCCAGGCTTCTGTTGGGTTAATCAGCCCTGTTCTGCTCAGAAGGCGAACAGGCCGAGAGTGCCCAGGCCTGAGGACAGTCAGTCCCCTAACTAGGTCACTTGAGCAGCAGTGGTACCTCTAGTCACAGTGTCCTGGACTTCCCATCCTCAAGACACAGAGGTACAGTGACAAAGCCACACCCATGGTCTCAACTGTCCTGGTTGAGAATTACTGGGGCCTCTTGGAATTACAGAGCAACCAACAAGTCTTGCTTTTAAAACAAGACCATCAGGTTTCCTCATCCATTAAATAAAGAAACAAACCCCACTAAACCCAGGGACCTTCTTAGCCTGAATGGCCCGTTTGCGTGAGTGTGCAAAGGGCGCCCTCTAGCTGAGGAGCTGCAGATCCCCTTGATGTGCTGGCTCTTAAGGGGAGGATGGGGTGCTGGCTTCTGCCCCAGCCCCCTTGGCCAGGTCCCGCTCAAGTGCACGGGGCCCTAGCTGTAGGCTTCAGCCCATGGGTGCAGAGAACACAGAGGTCTCCACGGAAGTGAATCCTGGACCTCACTCTGAGCACATCCATCCCAAGGGCCTTGGTCCATTGAGAGCCCAGCCCCGAAAATCCAAAATAGAGACAGAACAAGACACAAAAAAGAGAGAGCCCGTTCCCAGTGCTGGAGATGAGACTTGGCCCTGAACCTGTCCTCTTAGCCCACTGTTCCCCCAGCGCAGGCTCCCTACCTTTACCGCTGGGTGCCCGTCCACGTCTGGTAAGGTGCTGTCAGCAAATACATCCTCCTCCCCCTCCTCTTCCTCCACCTTTCCTTCCTCCTCCTCCTCTGCCACCTCGTTCTCACTGGTCTCCTCCTCGAACCTCCTGTGATGACAGGGAGCTCTGGTCACACCCACAGCCCTTCCCCCACTCATGGGCCCTGGACGCACTTGGGCAGGGCCACCAAGCTCTTCAGTATTAAGAGATTTATTGAAAAAGTCTCCAGCATAGGGTGGGGTTGCAGCTCAGTAGAGGAGTGCTTGTGAATCGTGCACAGGGTCCTGGGTTCGATCCCCAGCACCGCAACATAAAACCCAATTTTAGTGAGGAACAACTTACAGCAAAATGTATTTCAGCGTGTGGTCTGATGGGTTTGGACCAACGTGCTCACTTGTGTAATCACTACCACACAAGATCTAGGACACTCCGCTTCCCTGACGGGTTCCCTTGAAGCCTTTCTCGCCTAGTCTTCCCTTCCACCCCCAGGGAACATGGACTAGCTCGCTGCTGTTTGGATCAGATTTGACTTTTCTTGACTCTCACGGGGTAGGTGCTCTTTTGTTTCTGACTTATTTTTGTTGAGTGCAACGCTTTTGAAATTCACTCACTTCCTACACATATTGGCCTATTCCACTGGGTAGATCTATGGTAGCTGAGTGAGTCACTCGCCAGGTGGACACTTGGAGTGCTTCCATTTTTAGCCATTATTAATAACAAACAAAAAAAAAGCTTCGAAGAATGAACACATCTTCGTGTGTAGACAGAAGTTTTCATTCCTCTTGGCTAAGGCTGCTAAAATGAAATACCACAGGCTGGGGGGTTTCAATGACACGACTGTATTTCTCACGGCTCATGAGTCTGGTGGTCCAAGCTCAAAGTGCCAGCTGGAGCGGTTTCTCCTGAGTTCTGTGCTGGGCTTGCAGCTGGCCTCATCCTGCTGTGTCCTCACTCCATCTTTCCCTTGGACTCACACATCCCAGGTGTTTCTGTGTATTTGCGGTTCTTTTCTTTGCTTTTTTTTTTTTTTTGGCAGTACTGGGCTTGAACTCAGGGCCTTCACCTTGAGCCACTCCACCAGCCCTTTTTTGTGAAGGGTTTTTTTTTTTAGGGTCTTGTGAACTATTTGCCAGGGTTGGCTCCAAACCGTGATCCTCGTGATCTCTGCCTCCCAGGTAGCTAGGATTACAGGCATCAGCCACCGGTGACTAGGCCAGTTTGAGCTTTTCATAGCTTAAGAAAACTTTATCTTCCCCAACGTTACAAAGAACTTCCTACATTTATTTTACAGGTTTTTAGTGCTATGATCTGATCCAGATTAACTCTTGAACCTGAGGTGAAATAAGCATCAAAGTTCATTCTTTTTCACCTGAATATCCAATCATCCCAGCCTCAGTTGTTAAAGAGGCTCCACTTTCGGTGACACTCTGTAACCATCCTCTTCCCTGTGTGGGAAGGATTCTGTGAGACAGACTGCATGTGTCAGACAGTCATTTATCTCTAGCCCCATCTTGACTTCTCAAAGACCTCCACAAGTGCCAGGCTCTGACCTGTGTGAGGCAGCATCACCTCACTGAGCTGCACGTGAGTCAGCCAAGAGCAGAGTGTGAACTCTAGCTGGAGCCTCCCCCAGGTATCAACGGGGAGAACCAGACTGCCATTGGAGTTTCCCTGGACTTGGCTGGGGACCCTCGCTCTCCCTCCCTGACCCCAGCAGCTCTTCTGCCTTCTAATAATGGGGCCTAGGAAAATGAGAATTCACAGACGAATTCTGCAGGAGCCGTATGCCCCAGAACTTACTCTTGGCTGTGTAGACGCCTGGAGCCACACTGTGGCCTTGCACACTGCTGAGAGCCATCACAGCCCCTTACAGATTCAAACAGGGAGGGCAGAGGACTGCTGACTGGTACATCCCACGTTCCAACCTGGCTTTGTCCACTTCCACCAGGCACTCGGCCATGGTGAGAGTCCCTTCTGTTTGACTGAGAATCTTTTACATTTCTAGGACGTGGGAAAAAAGACCCACCTGATCTCTGTTGTAAAGAGAAAAATAATTTAACTAGACAACAGCTTTTCACCTAGTGCTCAGGCAAAAATTCTGCTCATATCCCGTCTGGCGAAGGTTTAGGACCTAGGCTTGGCCCCCCCATGGGGTAAATGAGCCCAGGCAGTTCACGCTACAAAAGTGAGTGGGCAGTATTTGTTAAAATAAAGAACTTAGTCTCGGTTGAGGATAGTATTCCGTTAAATCGAGTACCCGAGAGGGGGCAGGTTAGGATCCTCTCAGAGCGGGTGGACCCATTCACGGCTTAACAAAATCTTATTGGAAAGCTACTCTTCCATGTCTATTAAATGTGCAACACACGTGCCTGGGGACCCAGGGTGCCATGTGTCCACACCTGCCCCAGACAGACACACTGACTTCCAACGGGGCAGAAGGAGGATTTCTCACTCCTGATAATAAGAGGGTTTAAACTGCTTCTGCTGACAAGCACTGACTCCTTATTTAGACTCCGAATTAACTAAGCACAGGAGAAAGGCTTGGCATCCCTGCCTCCATTTTGCACCTGTTGTCCTTTGCTCTGAGCCACTCTCTCCCACAGCCACCTTGGAATCAAAGGACAGGAATGATCTTTATGACAAGGGCCTGAAACTAGCCTAAGGAACAGCGGAAACTTGCAGGACAGACCACCCTTCCAAATGAGGACAATTAGGGTTAGTGCAGTGGCTCAAGTGGTAAGAGTGCCTGCCTAACAAGCATGAAGCCCTGAGTTCAAACCCCAGTGCTGCCAAAAGACCAAATGAGGACAGTTACCTATGCTGATGAGGCTGCACCCTGGAGCAGGAGCAATCATGTCTTAAGAACCAGACTGCTCCCCTCAAGCGAGGACAACTTCTTCAGAACCCTCAAAGAACGAGGACTGAGATGACCAAGTAGGCCACACCTGTGACTGGGACTGTTTAACTGCACACCTTTTGTCCCCTGCCCTAATTCTTTGTCTACTTAAAACTAAAACTCTTGTCTGTAATCCAAAGATGGCTGAAGATGGGCTGAGTGCTGCCTCTGCCTCTCCCCATGACATGTCCCGGGCTGGGTGACAGATCTCTCTCTGCCTTCACCATGGCTCTTTATTTGGTGTGCAGGAGTTCAGGCCTGGGTTCCAAAGCTTGGGATTCACTGATAGGCTCCTGTGTTTGCCAATGCTTTTAGTATTGTTTGGCCTGTGGATCTTCCAGAAAAACATACAAACAAACAAAAAACCCAGGTTTCTGACTGTTTGCTGTAAAGGAAGCTAAGCAGATGCAAGGCTCACAGGACCCTGGTGTTCATGAAGGAGAGAAAATTAGACCGGAGTACTGGTGTTAGGGACACCCCAGGACCTAAAGCAGCCTCCAGCCTGGGGGAGGGGTGCAGATGGGCTGACCCTCTTTGTAAGCCGCATCTGGGGAAGTTTGAATGGCAGGGGGTGGGGAGGTGGGGGCCACAAGGGGAGCGAGAACAGAAGGCCGTTGCTAGGAGACGGCTTGCAAAGTCTCAGTGCAAACGTGGAATTCAGTGGAAACCACTGATCTTGTGCCAGCAGCAGGAAGAGAGGACCTGGGCCTATTTCTAGCCTCAGACTTTCACTTGGGTAAACTATGGCTGAGTAGTGCAGCTCAGGAGTGCTGGGGAGGGGGGAGAGAGAGAGAGAGAGAGAGAGAAAGAGTGTGGGAAAGAGGGAGAGAGATGGGGGAGAAGGGGATGGAGGGAGGGGCAGGGGGGAGAGAGGAGGAGGGGGGGGAAGAGAGAGAGAGAGAGAGAGAGAGAGAGAGAGAGAGAGAGAGAGAGAGAATCTGAGAATCTGAATGTGGTGAGCCCTGAAACAAACAAAGGAACATCCATCTCGGAGAAGTCGTCAAAGAGTAAGCAAGGCAGCAGGCAGCAGCTACCGCCTGTGGACGGAAGCCGGAAGCTGGCCTGATGCCTCTCTGGACAGTCCAACCTGTGAATGGTTTTTATGTTTGAAATGGCTGAAAATAATCAAAAGGAAAATAATAATTTGAGGCAGGTGCAAATCACATGCAGTGCAAATTTCAGTGTCCACAAATGCAGTGCCAATGGAGCACAGACATGGTCCCTGGTCACTCACTGCCCATGGGTGTGTCCACACCACAGAAGCAGATATAAGAATTATGTGACCCACAAGGCAGACATTTCTGGCCCTCTCCAGAAAACATCTGGTGACCCCTGGAGTCAAACACATATGGGAGGGCTCCTTCTGAGACCAAGTGTATAACACAAATTGGGATTATAACAACAATAACACAAAAGGGCTGGGCACCATGGTGCATGCGTGCAATCCCAGCTATTCAGGAGGTGGAGATCAGAAGGATCTGTGTTTGAGGCCAGCCAGGGTAAAACTTTAGCAAGATCCCATGTCAACCAAACATGCCTGTGATTTCAGCTATGCAGGAGGAAGGGGCAGAGGTTTTCTGAGCCCAAGCTGCTCAGGAGCCTCGCTCAGGGATCTGGGAAAATGCTGTACGATCCACAGGAAGCTGGGTGAGCAGCTATGGATCCTGTTCTGTCTGAGTTAACCCAACCTATACCTCCTCCCAAAAGACAAGACCACTGTGGTAGTTGCTTCCCAGGCAGGATTTACCCCTTTCCCTTCTAGTGGGCAGTCAGCCATGTTGCTTCTCTTTTTCTGAACACTCCTTATCATTTACCAAGCATCTACCCTGTGCTTTCACTGGCGGGCTTTCCTCGCCTTCCCCAGGAACCCTAAATAGCCATTATCATCTCCCGTGTCCAGGTGAGGCTCAGACAAGACTAGAGTGAGCAGAACACTGACGGGGAAGAAGCAAAGTGCATTCACGGTGCTGGTAAGGCTCTGCTTTCTCTTTTTTTGGTGGTGGTGCTGGGGATTGAACCCAGGGCCTCTACCAATTGAGCCGCACCTCAAGCCCAACGCTCTGCCTCCTGATTTGGGTGCTGGTTCCATGCTGAGCTGTCTATGCCTATGTGAACTTGTCTCTGTGTGTCACATTGCACCCCGTGTTTACCGCAGCACTCCGGCCAAAGGCTGACATGCAGAGTCAACCCAGGTGTGCACCACAGACAAGTATACACGAAAGTGAGGATGTGTGTGCAGAAAGACACTCATATGGAATTGAGAAACACCCAAGTTATAGAGGAGCACAGAACAGTGGTTACTAGAGGTTGGGGCATAGAGTGACTACAGTCAATATGGCGCTGCTTATGTCAAAATAGGCAGAATAGCCCAGTGCAGTGGCTCACTCCTGTAATCCTAGCTACTCAGGAGGCAGAGATCAGGAGGTCTGCAGTTCAAAGCCAGCCCAGGCAAATAGTTCCTGAAACCCTATCTCGAAAAAATCCATCACAAAAAAGGGCTGGTGGAGTGGCTCAAGGTGTAGGCCCTAAGTTCAAACCCCAGTACCAAAAGAAAAAAAAAAAAGCTAGAACAGCCAGGTGAGGTGGCTCACACCTGTAATCCTAGCCGCATGGGAGGTTGGGATTGGGAAGATAGAGGTTCGAGGTCAGTCCCCTCAAAAAGTTTGACACCATCTCAACAAACAGCTGGGTGTGGTGGCGTGCGCCCGTCATTCTAAGCTAGAGGAAGGCTGAGATGGGGAGGATCATGGTGCCAGGCTAGCCTGGGCAAGGAAGTTTGCAAAAACCAGGCTCAACAGAAAAAGCTGGGCATGGTGGCGTGTGCCTGTCACCCCGGGGATGGTGGAATGTGTAAAATAGAAGGATTGAGGTTTAGGTCAGCCTGGGAAAATCATGAGACCCTCTCCCAAAAATAACCAGAAAAAGAGGCTGGAAGAGTGGCTCAAGTGGCAGAGCACCTGCCTTGAAAGCGTGACGTCCTGAGTTCAAACCCCACTACCAAAAAAGCCACAGAAGGAGTTGGCCTGTTTCACAGGGAACAAATGTCTGAAGTGACAGCTATGCTAATTACACCGGCGTGGTCGAGACACCTTGCACACGTTGATAAAGCATGGCAACGGACCCCCAGATCAGTCATGGCAATTAAAAACACTAAAAATGCTTTGCTCAGGGTTATACAGAAACAAAACAACAGAACAGGAGGATCCGAGCCCTAGTCTATGCCATTGCTTCTTACAGTGTGCACTGAGACCTTGCTGTCCCTCTGGTGACGTCGGGGAAAGTCTTTTTGGCAGCAGCACCTCCCGCGGCACTGTGGAAACTCGTGCTGACTTTCCTTTCCATCAGGCTCAGCAAGCAACTTATCCACCAAGACTTCAATAACTGTCTTATTTTCATGGCCCTGAATTTCCCACAGCTGCCTTCTGACAGAGTGCGCTCAGGATCCACCCAAAAGCCAATCCCATCTTTTCCTCTGTACCAAAAGAAACTTCACTTTTGCACCCAAGCAGTAACCTTCATTTCCCAGGCTCCTTTGCATTTAGGTAGATCACATGGCTAAGATTGGCCAATGAGAAGCCAGCAGGAATTGCTGCCTGTGACTTTCAGAAATGCTTCTTGGTTAACAGGTGCCCAGGCACAATCATCTTTCCTCTTTCCTGACTGGAACTTGCCTGATGGAAGGTGATCCAGCAGCCACTGTGGGCCATAAGGCAGTCTCCATGATACGGGGTTCATAGAAAGTCAGCAAAGCAGACAGAGAGGAGAAGACAAAGCTCCCAGGAACACGGAGTTGAAAGGCTTGGAGTGTTTTCTCCCATACTTGTCAAGTGAGAAAGAAAGAAACCTCTTCACCTCTATTATTTCTGTGTCTGTTATCATGGCCCCTACCAGCTAATTTCAATCCTTACTGAAGACTCTTCAGTTTATGGCAGATGACACAAATTCTCCATTTATAGTACTTTCTTTAAAGGTATTCCAACCAAAATAAACATCAGTGCGTGCAGACAAGGAACAGCCTAATGTCCTTCTTATTTTTGTCATACTGGGGCTTGAACACAGGGCCTCATGCTTGCCAGGTAGGCCTTCTGCTGCTTGACCCACTCTGCCTGCTCTTTATCGTGTTGCATTTCTTTTTTTTTGAGATAGGGTGTCTTGAACTATTAGCCCAGGCTGGACTCAAACCGCGATCCCCTGAGCTCTCTCTGCCTCTCAAGTAGCTAGGATTGCAGGCGTGAGCCACTGGCACCCAGCTACTAATATTCTTCGATAATGTTCAGTGTGAAGTCACATGGGTTAGTCGTGTGACAAAATGGCAAACTGGGAAGAGGTCTTAGGAGCTGCTGTGCCAGGCCATCCCGTCTGCTGCTGCAGGGGCTCCGGGAGGAGGGAGGCTCTCCATGTGCCCAAGGTCATCCTGGTGTTTGGGGATTGCATCCCTGACCTAGGTCCAAGCCCAGTCAGCTCCCAAGGGAGAACTCGCTCCCTCACTCACTCACCAGCTGTCTTCCAGCATCTGAGAGCTTCCCCTTCCCTCCTGCCTCTTCTCCAGCTCCATCACTGTCTGTTCCAACAGGGCAGACACTGTGTCCTGCAGAGACAGAGGCTGCTTGGTCAGCGGATGACCCATGGGTGACACCCTACCTGCCAGGACCAGTGTATCTTAGAGCTGTGACCCTTCCAGGGAGCAGAGCACAGACACCAGAGACTAGAGCGGCCGATGGTCTTGTCCAAGGTCACTTATAAACTGGAAAGACAGTCCTTCGTTCCTCTAACTGGGCCTTCGGCAGAGAAACAGCCCTGTGTGTGTGGACCTACTCAGCACAGTTCTCGTGAAGCAAGAGAATGACAGATCTGACTGTAAGGAGATGAAGTGGCATGTCAACAACACAGCCACGTGGCAAGGCCTAGGGGAGAATGAAGGGCTGTGTGTGGGTACAGAGGAGCAGCAGCAAGCTTGGGGGCTGCCTTCTTGGGGGGCTTCCTGGCCAAGGAGCATCAGAACAGCATCTATAGTAAGGCTGTATGACTAGAGGGAAATATTTAACCTCTCTGAGACTCAGTTTCTTCTAATAACTACTAGAAAGGGTCGTTATGAAGATCAACTGACACGATCTATACACAGTGTGGGCCCAGCACACAATCAGCACAACACTCAGTAAACAGTGCTGTGTTCTGAGTTCAAGGTTAGCCTGCAGTGACCCTTGGTGGTGTGGGCTGGCAATTCCTGACACGATCTTAGGGGGAAGGAAAGACAGCTAAGATCACTTGAGGGCTGGTGTACGCTGGGCACTAGGACATCTCATTTAACGTGTAGCCATGCTGTTCGGTGGGGACTGCCGACCCCGGAGGGAAGGACATGGAAAAACCAGTGCATTACAGCAGTGCTCCTTGCCAAGGTCACGGTCTGGGAAGGACAGGAGCTGGTTCTCATCATCCCCATCCTGGACTTGCGCCCTAGCTGGGTTGCTCTGTGGATGTCTCCAGGAAAGTTGGCCAATCTTTCTGAGTTGTGGGGTACTGCATGTAATGCACCGGGTTGCCTGGTCCAAAAGGGTCAGAAACCGATGGTGACTGATGGACAAGAAGAAGAGGATGGGGGAACGGGAGGAGAAGATGAAGCAAGATGTCTTGCTTTCCTCCATCGTCACCTGCGTAACCCCCCCACTGGCATTTCGGGGAGTGACTGTCCAAAGGGAAGACCCATAGACTTCCAAACCCACAATCCCAAACACTCTGGATCTGGCCCTTACTGTGGTCAGGATTCCTGCCCCCCACATGCAAGGGCAACTGCACAGTGCGCTGTGTCCTGGCCAGGCTACCCGGTCAGCAGGTGTGGGCTTCCCATGGGTCTGGGAACAATTCAAGGACTTTCAGAGGCTAAAGTGCACTGCACTAAAACTAACTTTTTTTTTTTTTGGTGCACTGAGGTTTGAACTCAGGGCCTCATTGCTTGCTACGCAGGTGCTCTACTACTTGAACCACTCCACCAGTCCTTTTTCTGTTGGGTATTTTTCAAGAGAGGGTCTCTTGAACCATTTGCCCAGACTAGCCTCAAATTGCAATCCTCCTGACCTCTGCCTCCTGAGCAGGTAGGACTGCAGGCCTGAGCCACCGGTGCCCAGCTAAATAAACATATCTTTTAACCAAAGACAGGCAAATGTAAGTTTCCAGTAACTCAAACTAATAATGAGTAGTTATTATTTATCAAACCCTTACACAATGTGCTCTTTACAAGTATTTTTTGAAGTTTTGTAACAACTTTTTTTTTTTAAATTCACTAACCTTATTTATTTATTTATTTATTTATTTATGGCACACCGGGGTTTGAACTCAGGGCCGCACACCTGCTAGGCAGGTGTTCTTAGCACTTGAGCCACTCCAATGGCCACAACTTTTTACTGCCGTTGTTTGGGCCTCATTGTGTCGCCCAGGCTGGCTTCAAATCTATAACCCTACTGCTTCAGCCTCCTGAGTGCTGGGATTACAAGTGCATCACACAGATGGTTCGTTACAGCCTTTTAAGGCTCATGTTAGATGTGGAAAAAAAATGGAGGCTCAGTGAAGTGACATCCTTCCTTCTTCTGACTTCCTTTCTGGGACTTCCTGCTACCTCTTCTGTAGTTTCCATGATGGATTTGCACACAGTGGGGTTTTAAGAAAGGCTAATTTTATCCCTTCCAATTTTCTCCTTCTTTCTCCACGCCATTTTTCTTTTCTTTCCAGAGGTCAGGGGGGTGCTAGGGATGGAATCCTGGGCTTTGAACATGTTAGGCAAGTGCTTTACAACTGAACCACACCCATAGTCCTCTACTTCAATTCTTAAAAACTGTAGTTAGGTGCAGTGGCTCACACTTGTAATCCCAGCTACTAGGGAGGCAGCAATTGGGAGGGTCATGGTTCCAGGCCAGCCCCAGCAAAACTTAGTAAGACCCCATCTCAACCAACAAGCTGAGCGTGGTGGCATGAACCTGTCGCCCCAGCTACTCAGGGCGTGTAGGAAGGAGGGTCAAGGTCCGAGGCCAGCCTTGACCTTTCATGCAATCTTCTCTGAAAAATAACTAAAACAAAAGGGCTGGGGTGTAGCCTAAGTGGCAGAATACTTGCCTACCGTAAGTGAGGCCTTGAATTCAGTCCCTAGTGCTGTACTCCTCACAAATGAAAAACATTAAAGCCAGGCAGGGTGGTTCATGCTTGTAATTCCAGCTACTCAGGAGGCAGAGGCAGGAGGATTGCAAGATCAAGGCCAGCCCTGGCAAAGTTTGTGAGACCTATCTCAAACCCAAAATAAGCACAGAAAACCAAATAAACACAGAAAAAGCCGAGGGCGAGGCTCACCTGCTAGACGCGCCCCCAGCACTGGGGAGGACCTGGGCTCAGTCCCCAGTGCCACACACACACAGAGCGAGCTACGGCTTGTCAGGCAATGGACAGCAGGTAAAGCAGGAGGCCCAGGTGCAGCCCGGGCCCTGAGCGAGGACCTCCCTCCTCCCCGCCTCGGTCCCGGCTCACCGTGCTCTCTGGCCCCAGGCCTGTGGCTCTCGAGGACTTGACCTCCCTGCTTGGATCCTTCCAGCACTTGTAGCTCAGGACATTGTACCAGCGGGTTGACTTCTCCCCAGCCCGGCAGACCTCGGCCAGGCTGATCTGGGCGCCTCCCTGCAGAGCAGAGAGAAGAGCGTGAGGGGGGGGTGACACGAGTGACAAGGAGTCCTGAGAGTCAGGCCACCCGGGACAAGAGGGCGCGACAGGGGCTCCTGGGAGTAAAGAAGGGCCTGGGGTTCGCTATTTCCTAGGATCACTCATGCATTCAGCACTTACTCATTTGCTAAGGTTTTTTTTTTGAGACAGGGTCTCACTGTGTGGCCCAGACTGGCCTGGAACTCATGATCCTCCTGCCTCTGCCTCCTGAGTGCTGGGATTACAGGCGTTTGTCACCATGCACGACTCCAAGTTGTTTTTTTTTTTTTAGATGGGGCTCTACATTGCCCAGGCAGACCTCGAACCCCTAGGCTCAAATAATTCTCCTTCCTGAGCCTCCTGCAGAGCTGGGATTCCAGGCATACACCACCATGTCCATCTCTGCACATTTTTATTTGTTTGTTTTGGTGCTGAACAGTGAACCCAGGGCCTTGTGCATGCTACACCCATGTGCTACTGTGCAGCCACGTCCAAGGTCTCATTTTCCATGTTTGTACTGAGTGTCCTGTATTTTTTCCTTTTTAATTTTATTAAGCAAAAGACCACATATCATAAATTTACCTTCATCATTTTAAGTGTGCACTTCCTTGTGTTAAGTGTACTCCCCAAACTTTTCACTTTTTATGGCTGAATAATATTCCATTCCATGTATAAACACATTTTGTTTATTCACTCATCCATCCATCAATGGACACGTCAGTTACTTCTACTTCTTGTTTGGTATGAACATAAGTGCGTGCTCACCTATCTCCTGCATACCCTGCTTGCGTATATATCTAGAAGTGGGGTTGCCGAGTCCTATGGAAATTTTATTTAAATTTTCTTCCTTAGTTTTTTGAGGAAGGACCTCACCCTGTAACCCAGGCTGGTTTCAAATTCATCATCCTACCTCAACTTCCTGAGTGCTGAGATTACAGGCGTGTTCCACAGTGCCTGGCTTATTTGTAATGTTTTTTTCTTTCTTTTTTGCAGTACTGGAGTTTGAACTCAGGGCCTACATCTCGAGTCACTCCGCCAGCCCCTTTTGTGTGATGGGTTTTTCTGAGGTAGGGTCTCCCAAACTGTTTGCCCAAGCTGGCTTCGAACCGAGACTGTGCTGATCTCTGCCTCCTGAGTAGCCAGGATTACAGGCGTGAGCCACTGGCACCCCACTGTTTTTAATGTCTTGAGGAACCGTTTTCCAGAGCAGATGCAGTGTGTGATAATCTCATCAGATCTCCAATCTCTTCCCCTCTCCACCAAGACTTGCTGTTTTCCGTGTGGCGTTTTGACAGCCACCCTCCCAATGGGTACCAGTGGTGTCTCACTGAGGTTCTGACTTGCATTGCTCTGATGAGTAATGAAGTGACCGCCTTTTCATATTCACGTTAGTCACTTTCAGGTCATCTTTGGAGAAATGTCTACTTGAGTTCTTCACCTGTTTTTAATGGGGTTATTTGATTTTTTTCTTACTGGTGACTATTGGTAGTTTCTGGGAGGACAGGTTGAGTAGGAGAGGAAGCCAGCACGACGCTCACACTGTACTTGACGCTGGCTTCCTCTTCTGGAAAAAGGGAGAGCAGCTCCTTCCTCCAGGGCTATGAGGAGGGTAGCGGTCGGCCAGGGGCTAAATGCTTGGCAGATCTTGAACGCCAGAATAACGACAAATACAAATGTGGGCATCACTCATCTGTTCCTTCAGTAAATATCCCGAGTCCTTCGCAGACTCTCGTCAGACAAGCACGTAGAGCTCAGATGAGCTCAGTGGTAGTGCGCTTGTCTAGTGCACAAGGCCCCGAGTTCAAGCCCACTGCAAAAGCAAACCAAAACAAAAAAGGAATGTGTACGACCTGATTCTTCCCCAAGCGGCTAAGCGTTTCCTGGGGAGAAAGACACACTAGATACGAAGGCTATGCGTCAGGGGTAAGGGAAGGGACCACAAGGGATCAGGACATGCTTTGAGGCATGTTGCCTCCACCAGACAGGTATTAGTTCTAGCAAGATGCACTCCCTATGTGGGGCTGGGCCCCAGGGTGAATATCATTTATACTGGATATTGGATGCACTTTCAGGGCATTTGTGTCCGTCCATCCATCCATCTATCCATCAACACACAGAGTACCTCTAGGTGCCAGGCTGTGCTATAGGGGCTGAGAATTCTGTAGGATTTAAGTCACATGAAAGGCTCTGCCCCGGTGAGCTGACTTTTGGGGCCAAGTGATCAACTCTCTATTGCACCTCCCTGAAGTTATATGTTTACTTTAAGCACCACTAGGAAAGAAAAATAGTTGCTAATTAAATTATCACTGGCCATTCACAATAAACTGCACCTTGATTTCAGAGATGATTAAGTGTGAAAATAATGCATACCCTAAAATCTGTGATATACAACAAAGTGTCAAAAAACTAATTAAAAAAATAGTAATACAGGGAAAAGAGAGGGGAGGAGAAAAGGGACGGCTAAGTAGAACAGAGGGAAGACGTCTCTGAGAAGGGACACTGCGGTACAGCCCAGAAGGAGGTGACATCGGGAGAAAAGCAAATGCCACTCTGAGGACGCGGCATGCACACAGGCCTGGAGGAGGGAGTGTGTTCAAGGAATGCCAGGAAGCCAGATGTAGAGTTTTGGGACGAAACTGGAAGGAGAGGAAGGAGTGGAATCCTGTAGGGTTGTGGAAGCCAGGCAAAGGACCACGTGAGGCAAAGGAGCCAGGTGTTGACTGGAGGTGGAGACGAGTCATCCATCATAAGGTCTTGATAGAGACTTACAATGAAATAGTGTCAGCTGGCTACTGGAAAACAAGGGAAGGGAGAAAGGGACCAAGTGGGGACCAAGCCAGAGGCTGCAGCAATGATGCAGGGGTTTAGAAGTCTAACAAGATAGGGCGCAGGAGAAGTGAGGGGTTGAGCACGACTGACTGAGCAAAGACAGAATGGCATTGCTACCAGCGAGACAGGGAGGACACAGGATTTAACATCAGGACATTCTTGTGACCACTCTGGTGTGAAACACTACTGAGCCATGTGACAAGATGGAGGGCAGACAGGAGAAGTATGAGGTCAGAGGTGGGCGGAGGCCTGGGCGGACAGCACACTCTCAGGACAGGATTTGGTGCTGGAAGGAAGGCTGAGATCACTAGAAAGCAACCACAAAAGGGACAGGGGCAAGCACTGAGGGCTGAGGTCCTCTGCCATACAGAGTCAGGGACATGAAGAGTCAGCAGAGGACTCTGGGACAGGAGCCAGTGATCCGTTTACCAGTGATATAGGAGAAGCCAGGTAAGGAGAAAGGATGTGGAGGAAGATGGAGTGAACAACCACGACAAGCACAGCAGACAGGTTATGCGTGACAAGGACGGAGAAGGGGCCATGGACTTAAGCCACAAGGTCACGGATGACGGTGAGGAGGACAGAAGCCCACTTGGGTTGGCTTGCAGAGCGGGTGAACACCTCTTTCACTTTGCCTATCAAGAAAAGAGAAGAATCAATGCAGCCGGAGTTGGAGGAGGAAACGGGGTGAAACACTAAACTTGTTTGTTTTTTTGGGCTTGGAAGAAATAACAGCACATTGGTACAGTGGGAGGCTGGCTCCAGTTGGGGAGGGAAAGTTGAAGACAGGAGAGAGGAGGGGAATGAGCGGCGGGGTGCAGGGAGCCCATCCCTACACTGTGGACCGGGCAGAGCTGTGAAAGCAGACACATGTGGTTGGGAACAGTGGGTGCCCTCTCCTGATTTCTCCATTCTCCCCCTGCGAGAGAAGCTGTGTCATTGTCACCGTGCAGGCGGGACAGTAAGCGGTCCAGGGAGATGTGGTGTAATTGGTGACAGTGTTTAGGGCCTGAGGAAGCCGGTGGTCACAGCTTCACAGCTCCCAAAGAAACCAGGCAGCATGTCTGGGGCGTTTCTTGCCCAGTTGCACAGGTGGAGAGGAGGCTGTAGAGGTCACTTGGACAGCACTGGGGTTTTGCCAGGTGAAAACGGGGCAGGAAGATGTTGGAATGGCCAATTATGGACCTGGATGGCGGGCTGGACTGAGGAAGACTGAGCCAGGTTGCACTGAGCTTAGCGGTTGAGTTCCAGGCCAGCAGGATGTCACACTACGTCATTTGGCAGGACCACACACTGTGACAGAGAAGGGCCACACGCTCCCCTAAACACATCATCCAGGTCGGGGGACTGAGAGCCTGAGAAGTACAACGCACCAGCCATCACAAGGAAGCTGAATCTCTGTTCCAATTCACGTGGGTGCTTTTTTTTTTTGTGGTTGTTTTGCAGTACTAGGAATTGAACCCAGGGCCTCTGCCACTTTGTATTTGCTTTTGAGACAGGGTCTCACTATCTTTGCCCTGGCCGGCCTTAAACTCCACATCCTCCTACCCTGCCTCCTTACCAGGTGGATTACAGGCATGAGCTATCATGCCTGGCTCCAGCTGTGTCCTTGATCAAATTGTTGGATGACCTGAACAGGTGGGTTAGCTTTTCTGGGCCCTGATCCCTCCTCTGTAAAATGAAGGTCATCGGACGCTTTGTGCTGTGTACAAAATGAGACAGCACACACGAAACAGACACGCAGACACTGCTTTGTGTGGGTACCACTGCTGCTCAGCTGATTAAATGGCTTAAAATAGCCTGGGGATTCCACAGACATGGGACTCTGTGTGGGAGAAGAGAAGCCCTTTCTTCCCCATTTTTCACTTTCTTCTCCTCCAGCCACCAAAACACGACAGCCAGGCACTTCATGGCCCCACCGTGAGGGAAGGCAGGTTTCCCATTGGTCATGGACAGAGACCAGCCATGGGGACAGGAACGCTTTGGCTGCTGCCATGGTAACCAGTGATGGCCACACTTCAGTGAGGAAAGAGGAATAAAAGGCGTCCACTTGGGAGAAGAATATGGGATTGAGCCTCTCCCCATTTGGGAATGCCCGAAGCAAGGGCCCTGCTGGCAGAGCTTTCTGCTCTTCCTTCAGTGGTCACCATGCTTCAAGCCCTTGGGGCCACCATTCCTATCTGTGACCTCCAGGGAGCCCGTCCAGGCAGAGACAACACTAGGGAGCTGACAGGTGTGGACTGCAGACAAGGACCTGCTTGGGTTCAAATACATCTCTGCCACTGGGCACTTGTGTGACCTCAGGGAAAGTCGTTTAATCACTTTGTGACTTGGTTTCCCCACTGGTGCACAGTACCTATCAATAGAGCTAATGCTTGTCGGGGACTTAGTTCAGTGTCTGTACACATCAACTATATCCTGCTGACATTAGCCACTGTGTTACTGTCAGTAATAACCTTAAACGGCAGGGATGTTGTTCTGGGGCCCCGCTGAGTAGGAAAGGGATGGGAATGATGACCACTGGGTTTTTGGTGTGTTGCAGCCCCTCTGTGCATCTACGTCCTTGTTACACAAAGTGTGACTCAGGGATGTGGCTGGCATCAGCATCCTTTGGGGAACTGTCAGAAATGCAGACTCTCAGGCCTGCCCCAGAGTCACTGAACGAGCATTTTAATCACAGGATGGTAACTTGTGTGTGTGCGTGCGTTACCAATGGGGAAGCATCGCTTTAGCGGTTCACTCAGTCCTCAGTACAGCTGGAGGGCAGGCAGCACGCACTGGGGTCACAGGTCAGGGCCAAGCCTGAGAACTAAAGATTCTTAGGTGACAGGGCTGGGAAGGGCAGCCCTGGTGAGAAGGCAGCTCCACAATCCCTCAGCAGAAACAGGGTTTCCTGCCCAAGCAAACCTGGGCATAGCTGGAAAGCTACAAGACTCCCACTCTGGGCAAAGGCCCAAGGTGTCCCCGGTAGAAAGGACACCTGGCTGAGGAAAAGGCAGGGATGACCACCGCCACTCCACCATGGAGGTGAGGGACAGCTCAGAGGTGTGCACATCAGTGCCTGTCCTCTGCACATGCTCCACCCATCCACCGCCAATGCAGTCCCCATGGCAGCCTGTTCACATGTTGGCTGCAAGGGGGCTCCCGGCCTAAGTGGTTCCCATCAGGTCTCCTGCACCTAATGCAGGGTGGCACCTGACAGCCTTGCAGTAACGATCAGATCCAAGTAGAGCTACCCGCTAGGTTTGAAGGCCACATTCATGACCACAACTGAGTTATCATGACATGAAAATACAGTGCCACCACAAAGCCCTTTCCTTCTTTTCTCCTTTTTGGCAGGACTGGAGTTTGAACTCAGTGCTTCCCACTTGCAAAGCAGGCACTCTACTGCTTGAGCCACACCTCCAGTCCACTTTGCTCTGGTTATTTTGGAAATGGGAATCTCAGGAACTCTTTGCCAGGGCTGTCCTTGAGCTGCGATCCTTCTGATCTCAGCATCCCAAGTAGACAGGATTACAGGAGTGAGCCACTGCTGCCTTTCCTTCTTGTAACTCACCTGTCCATCACAGAACCCCGACACAGGCACACGCTTTCCTTTCTCAGGTGAAAAGCTTGGACAGCACCCCTGTGCACTTGGGTCTGCCTGCCTCTAAGGGCTGGGATTTCTTAGGACATAAACTCGCCCAGGGATACCTGGTGTCCAGTCCAGCTCCTGCCAATGGTGAGCACCTGAGGGACTCCGGTCCACACAGGGGACCAGCAGTGGTCTGTTCAAGGAGGACTGTGGCTCTGCCACTCGGGGAGGTGCTCTGCGGGCACTGCCTCATCAGCCTTTAGTGACCCTCAGGAGGGGTCATATGTGCATATTATCAATGAGAAAAGTGGCAATCCAAGATGCTAAATAACTTGTCTAAAGGTCACCCAGCTCGATGGCAAGTAGTAAAGGCAGGGTCTCAATGATGATGGACAGACAGACAGATGCAGCCCTCACCAGGCACTCCTCCACATGGCTCCTGTCAGTGGTACAGACGTCGACACGTAAGGTTTTCTGGTGAAGGGCTGGGTAGGACATGGACACCCAGAACGGCTCATTGAACACCAGGGTATCCGCTGCGTCCAGGGGCCGGGTCCGGAACAGGCAGGTGGTGCTTTCGGAGCAAGGAAGGATGGCCACACGGATGTTCCTAGAGAGGACAGAGCCACCGGAGAGCTGGGTCAGCTGGGGCCTGGGGTTACCACGCTGTCTTGACCACTGCTGGGCTCCCAAGGAAGATGACAAGGGACAAGAGCATGCAGAAAGCCCATGAGGGGTGAGGAAGGGCCCTAAGGTCACACGCTACTCGTCCTGTTCCCAAGTCCCCACACAAGGATGGCCGAGCACAAGCGCCAGTGGGCGGAAGGATCAGTGAGGACTGGGAGTCTCACACACCAAAGGCAAAATGCACTGACACCCCGAAGATGGGAGTTTGACCGTTCTAACAGAACTGCAGGTGAGTTTGCCCTCAGTCTGAGAGCCCTCCCTTCCCGGCACTGCACCGCAAGTATCCCCAGCAGACTCCAGCGAGGTGTGAAGGTTATTCACCGTGTTCAGCCCCGTGTGTATGGGGGAACAAACCCTGGGTCCAACCTGGTCTTCCTTCCTGTTTGTCTGCTTTCCTGTCATCTTCCTGCACACTCCCCACCCCCACAAGCTGGACGGATGTACCTCCTTGCTGCTGCCCTGTAGGCCTTGTAGTCTAGTCACGGGAGAAAACACAAGGGCAGATGAGGGTGGCTCATGCCTGTAATCCCAGCTATTTGGAAGGCAGAGGGCAAAATGATTGAGGTTCAAGACCAACCTGGCAAGAAGTTAGCACAACTTCATCTTAAGCAATAAAACTGGATATGTGGTGCACTCCTGTCATCCCAGCTATGTGGGGACTGTAAGTGGAGGTCATGGCTCACACCAGGCCCAGCAAAAATGCCAGACCTTATTTGAAAATAACTAAAATTAAAAGGGCTGGGGAGTGGCTGAAGTGGTAGAAGCAAACAAACCAGGCCATGATGGATCTGCACATAGGACAGGCAAGCCATCAGATTCCATGTAACTCCAGGCACATCCTTGCAAAAGAAGCCCAGAGGCTGGCACTGCCTCTCAAGGAGAGGCATTTGCAGTTGGAAGGGGACAGAGCAGAAGTGCGTCCCCAGGGATGACCTCGAGGGCTCCATACTCACACTTTCCGGTCCTGAGGCAGTAACAGAGCAGAGAGATTACTCAGCTGGATGATTAATATTGCGAACTTCTTATTTTTCTCATCATACCTGAAATGAGGAAGGCAGATGGAACACCTGTTAGCAACACATCTCTCTCTCCCTCTCTCTCTGTAATCACAAGACATGACTGAGGCTGGGGGCCATGGCGAGCCAGGCTGCACACACCCAGAGCTGCACTGCCACACAAGGGTGGAGGCCCAATGCTGTCTGTGGATCATCTGGAGTTTTAAAGAGATGCCAGAAGTTTGCGTGGAACTTCCTGGTATTGAAATCCTGGCAATCAATTTCTAATAGAAAAGGTATTGAAGCCCTTTCCCAGCAAGAGACTGGACCTGAGCCGAGTGGGCTGCGGTCTCCAGGAGTCAGCTTGGATCTCGATCCTTGGAACCAGGGTGGGGAAGGACGGACAAAGCCCAAAGCCTCACTGGATAGGTAGCGGCACAAGCAGGAGCCTTGGTCCTGTTATGCCTAGCTCACCGTGCCGGGTAAGTTCAAGGTTTTTCACAGCTTCCCAGTTTGCATCCGTAAAAGGGGACGCTGGGAGGGGGGAAAGGCGTTGGCACCCCCTGTACTTAGGAGCCCAACATGGTCAGCAGGTCCTGTTGGTTCTGCCCTCTCCCTGACAGTCGTGAGGGTAAAGAAGGTGCCCCTTGCAGGGCCTGCCCCCGTCCTGGCTTTCCCTGTCACTTACTTCAGGGCGATCTGCACCCGAGTGGCACCCACTGCTTCTGACTCATCACCGTCAAACGCAGCAGCTTCGACGCCCCGTCTGAAAGACACCAGGGGAGGGGCAAGTTCACCACCAGCCAAGGGTCTCGTGGTGACTGACAGACACTGAAACCTGACAGTGATACGGGAACTGCCATTCCTACTGGACATATGTCACCTACAGCAGGCTGGTCCTAGACGAGGGACACAAGAATGACATTCGTTTCTCCTCTCAGGCTCACAGCAGCTGCTTCTTACCAAGCCATCTTTTGTTTAACAGAGAATTTGGGTTCTGTAACATTAAGATGCAAGTCAACCAGGAGATTTAAAGAAAGGATGTAGAAGGGTATTGAAGAAGAGAGGTTAAAGGAAAGAGGACTTTAGGTTGAAAAAGGATTTTGTAAAAAAAAAGGTTTGTTCACAAGGCTTGTAAAAAGAAAGGATAAGAGCAAGGGCAAGCCCTTCCAGAAAGTACAGAGTAAGTCGCCATAAAAAGATGGAGTCTTTAAAGGCTTTTGTAAGTAATTGAGCTGACTGTAATCTAAGACTTATGTAAAAGATTTTCTTAAAGTCAAAATTTAACATACTGATGTTAAACTAGAACCTTATTCCCAATGTCCCTGTGGTGACCAGGAACTAAGGCGCTTTCTGGACAGGGTTCTTTCTCCCTGTGAGGTTCTGGCTGGACTCTCTGGACCCTGCCCCCGCCCTCCATCTGCTGGGGTCTGCTCTCTGGAGGGGACCTCTGTTTCCCAGTGCCTGTTTCCCCAGCGCACAGCGGGTAAGAGTCACCCAGTCCCAGCACTGTCCCCTGAGCCACTTGCATCCTGGCTGTCTGTGTTGTCACACAGCCCAGCACAGGGCTCACTGGAAATGCCCTCCTTCGTCCTCCTCACCCTCTGGGGCCTGGGCTGTATGTTCACATCTTCCATGGACACCGAGCAGGCCCTCAGCCACCCACCTTTGCACGGAAGCCTCGTACACACCACTGTCCCCAGCCACTGACTCGTCCGACACTGCAGCAGAGACACAGGACACTTTCAGGCCACACCCTGGGGCCGCATTCCCAGCTGGAGGAGAGCAAAGGAAAGAGGAAGGCAGGTTCAGAAACCAGCCTCTGTCCTTGCAGCACGGATTTTTTTGCTTCTTTTGATGGTACTGGCATTTGAACTCGGGGCCTTGTATATGCTGAGCTCATCACTTGAGTCATGCCTCCAGCCCCTTTCTGCTTTGTTTTCCAGATACTATCTTGCATTTTTGCCTGGGACCAGCTTCAGACATTGACCCTTCTGCCTATGCCTCCGTTGAGATTATAGATGTGTCCTCCTATATGTGTTTTTTGTTTTGTTTTGTTTTTTTGCAGTACAGGGGCTTGAACTCAGGGCCTACACCTTGAGCCACTCCACCAGTCCTTTTTTGTGATGGGTTTTTTTGAGATAGGGTCTCTTGAACTATTTGCCTAGGCTGGCTTCAAACCACGATCCTCCTGATCTCTCCCTCCTGAGTAGCAGGGATTACAGACATGAGCCACTGGTGCCCAGCTACCCAGCTTTTTTGTTGAGATGGGAACTTGCTAACTTTTTGCCTGATCTCGTCTCAACCTCCATCTTTCCAATCTCTGCCTCCCAAGTAAGCTGGGATCACAGGTGGGAGCCACTGTGCCTGACATGCAGAACAGTTTTGATCCACCCTCTGACATAAGATGGTCCCATGAACTCCAGCCATTTCTGAATTGAAGCAGTCTAGTTCTGCTTTGGGTGATGGAAGAGGGAGGCATGGTTCAATGTTTAACACCCCAGGACCTTAAGGCAAACTGCCTGGGCCCGAACATGGCTGCACCACTTTACTGCTTTCTGACCTTGGGACCCTGACCTCATCCTGTAAGCCTCAGATTCCTCATTGGTGAATTGGACAGGAAATAAGACAGGACAGGGACGTCTTTAGTGCAGACACTGGCATAGGGAAAAGCCCCCTCAAAATGCACCATGTTCTTAAAGTCACGGTTGTTTTTCTCACAAGATCACGCCTTCTAGATCCATCCCTTCTAATTCTGCCCCTTCTCTTCCCAGGTGTCCTTGAAGTCATAACCAGGACTGCTGCGCATGGCAGGCATCCCTTCCCTGCACAAGTAATAAGCACCTATGTCCAGTTCAGAGTGACACAGGTGAGTAGGACAGTGGATGGTACCTGTCCTACATAGGTCCAGGTCTTGCAACCCCAGATCAACTTTCCTGAGCACTCCTGTGTGCCAGGCACTGGGGACAGATGGACAACACCAGGGGCTCTCAGCATGAAGGTGCAAGAGGGAAGGGGGGAGGAATGGCAGGCCAGGGACAGGGTCAGGTGGTGAGGAAAGCCTGGGAGATGGCATGTGGCTTTCCCAGCCTCATCCTACGCCTCCTGAGCCCACAGAGACCGCCTGCCTCCATCCACTCGTCTCCACCCTCTGCTAAACCACTTAAGGAGATTAATTTGTCTGTTGATCGCACAGCGGCACTAATCACACAACCTGCTTGGTGTCTGCGCTCGGCCTGGCACAGCTTGCGGTGGGGGAGTCACCAAGGAGGTGTGCCCGGCCCTGGGTGCCGAGAGGAGAGAGAGGTCACTTCTCAGGACCCAGCTGGGGCCTCAGCATCCTGGCACCAAGAGCCACGTCCTCAGGCTCGTTGGAGGCTCCACCTGTACCCGTCCTCTCTAGGGGACAATTTGCTGCAGCTGCCACCTGCTGTAGCAGGAGGCTTGTTTTGATTTTCATTTGAGAGCACTCAGCAAGACTCCCTTCCTGAGGAGGGAACCCTGGGATTCACAGCTCCTCTTTACAGATCCTGCTGTCACTCAGAGCCTTTGCTCAGCCAGGAAATCCCATCACCTCCTGGCTCCCATGGGCCCTGGCACACGAATGCCCAATTCTGGGCACAGGAGGGCACTCAGTCCATTCTTAGAGTTGGGAGGCGGACAGGGAGCCTCATGAGAAGTCTGGAACACGAGCCCTTTGCAGAGGGAGCTGGGCACCTGTATTAACGTGGGCTCCCGGCAGGTGACCCTGGTGCCAATCCCGACACTGTTGCTTCACTGCTGTGGCACTAACCTCAGACCGCTGTCTTTTTTTTTTTTTTTAACCTGGAAAATGGGGACAAAGACCACTCCTGCTTCACAGAGTTGGGAGCCTGACATGAGTACACACGCATAGGGGAACCTGAATCTTGTGTACTGTTTATCCATCAGGTCAAGGCCACAGCAGGTGCTGGGGTTGGAGGATGGGGTGCCAGGAACACTGAGGAGCCCCAGCGAGTCTACTAAGCAACCTCCTCTATAATGATCCCCATGTCCAGAGCCAGGTGGGCTTGGTGAGGCCAGCGAGCCCCAGGAGTGTCACCCAGCTGCCTCCTACCCTCGGGGTAGGGGGGCGTGACAAGAAAGGGGGTGGAACTTGATGTCAGAAAGACCTGAATTCCATCCCTGCTTCCACATCGTTTGCCCTCTGCTCACCCAGGGAAAGCAATGCTACCTCTTCGAACCTCAGTTTCCTTATCCGTGAAATGGACAGAAAAGTTACCTATTTTTTCTAGCACTTAAAATGTCTCTGATAAAGGTTGAGCATTAGTTTTTTTATGTGACTGTTGCCACAGAGACAGATGTACTCCTCACAAATCTTGTCATTGTCACCCATTCTGAAGACACTGGAATGTTCTTTCTGATCCTGTGCACAAGGACAGTCAGATCAGATCACTCCCTGGCTTTCAAAGTTCACCTGGGTCTTTGCTACAGTTAGGATAAAATCCAAACTCCTTGTCACTGCCAGCCAGGCCTCCCGCGATGGGGCTCTCCTGAATCCTCCAGCCCCACTGGTGACCCCGACCTTGGACTCACAGCCGCCTGGCCCCTCCCTGAGCGTCTTGCTGCGACTCCAGGGATTTCCATCTCCACTCCAAGGCCACCTTCCTTTACAACCCAGCCTGAACCACAGTCCCCCTTCCAACTCGAATGCCTTACACAGCACGCCCTGCTGGGTTTGCCTCACCATGCTCTTGCCCGTTTGCACGGTCATTATCTCTGCCTCCAAATCAACAGGGGACCACGCCTGTCCTCAACACTGACCCCTTAGTGACTCACCCAGGGTTTGGCACATGGCCTACCTGAATGTGTGGGCATGTATACCCATTAGCCCAGGACGGAGCATTCAGTTTTAATAGCTACTAAGTATCTGCTGAGTGAATAAAATCCACCACGAATATCGAGCATCCTGCATGAATTAATGTCTATTGAATGGATAAGTAACCTGCCCTGCAAAGAGCCAGCACGGAGGAAGTGGTCAGAAACCATCCCGGGGAGTCCCTGAGCACAAAGCATCACTGGCGCTCTTCCTGATTCCCAGTGTCTGGACATGGCGTGCTCTACCTTGGCCCAGCGCCTTGCCCTCGGGTCCCGGTTCCTCCAGTCGGTATCTTTCCTGCCTGCCACCGCCAAGGCTCAGCTCACAGAGACTGGCACTCAGTTCCGGATCTTCAAACTCCAGAGGCATCAGGAAGGTGTCTCCCGCCAGGAGCGGGTCAGCGATGAGCGGAGAGCAGGGAGGGGACGGGGAGGAGAGAGAGGAGCGTGGGGACAGGGAGGTCAAGGACTTCGGGGTGCCGGACAGGGAGCGCAGGGCTTGCAGGCGTCCGCCCCCCTCTGCCCTCTGAGTCTTGGCCACCTCGTCTTCATGGATGGTGGTGATGCAGCCCGAGGGCCGGAAGCCCGTGGCTCCCTCCAGGAGCAGGAGCTCCACCCTGCTCTGGAGCTCCGAGCCCAGCTGCTCGAAGGGGTCATAGTAGAGGTCAGTGAAGCTGGCCGAGGTGGATGAGTCCAGGCTGGAGGCGGCCAGGGAGCCCCGGCTGGATGTCAGGGACCCAGGGCTGCTGCCGGAGGACAGGGACTGCATGCTGCTGGAAAGGCTGGGCAGGGGGGAGGGGGAGAAAAAGAGAGAGGGAGAAAGGGGAGAGAAAGGAAGAGAGAGAGAAGTAGAGGGGGAGAAGAAGACAGAGAGAGATGGGAAAGGGGACGGGGAGAGGGGGAGAAAATGAGAACACAGAGTTAGGCAGCCAATGGGGACCCTGCCTCGCTGGCACTTGGGACACATGAGCTCCCAGGATCCACTGGGCCATGCACCCCCATTTCACTGAAGAGCAACAGACCCCACGAAATGGCCCTGTGCCCAGAAGGTGGCAGAGCTGGGATGCAAACCCAGTCAGCTGCCTTACAAATCTGTTTCCATTGAGCCCTGACTAGCCAAGAACTTGGGATCCTTCTGCCTCCTCTGCCTCCCCAGTGCTGGGATTACAAGCGTGCACCAGCACACCTGGTACCACGTTTTCCTTCTAGCTCTATTTCTCACACGTTCACTGGCCAGATGGCGCTTTCACAATACTGTGCCATATGAGTCCAGCCTGAAATATTTCTTAATGTCTTTCTTGAAATGGACTCACTTTTCTATATTTGAAAATATTTCTTTTAAAAGGGAACCTGATGTCCTAAGTGTTATTCAAAAAGCAGTTATCACCTGCTGTGTTGCAGAAGGAAACCATTAAAAGAAAACAAAATGCTGGCAGGAAGTCCCTGTGATGCCCTGTTGCCCCAGGCAGCCTGAGGTCTGCCCACTGTCTCTGCACTGTGCAAGTGGCCAGCGGGGCAGGACACTCGAGCACCTGCCCGGGGCCTCTCCAGTGTGAGTGGTCCAGGGGGTGGAGGACCTGTTCCCTGCCCCATCAGGTCAAGCCCACGTCTGTTAGACCCAGCACCTTCTACGCCTCGAAACACTCACACTCAAGTCCTGGGAGGGCAAGTAAAGGGCAGAACTGGGTTTGGCCACCTGCTGGCCATCCTGAGGCCAGTCACCGGCACCCACCACTCACCTCTTCAGCTGGGAGTGCAGAGTTGCTACCTGCCGGGTGGCTTCCTCCAGCTCCCGCACCAGCTGCTTCCTCTTGCTGTTCAGCTTTAACCTGAAGGGAGAAGGCAAACGCCATGCTCTCCATCTCCCCTCTGGATCCCCCAAAAGGAAGAACGGGCCTGTGCTCTTACAGATGGCACAGGTGCAAAGACAAAGGGACAAGAACTTTCTAGATGCTTCTAGAAAGCTCTTTGGGAAATACAGCCTCTGAATACACTATAATCCTATAGCAATTGTACTGGTCACCTATGGTATACCAGGCACTGTGCTAGGAACCCTGAGACGCTGCCTTAAGTTAGCCACACGATGACACTAGTGTGGTAAGAATGACTTTTGCTATTTTACATGTGAGGAAATTGAGGCTCTTAGAGACACAGAATTTACTTAGAACTACAGGATTAGTGGTAGAATTTTGTCACCCGACCATTCCTTCCTCCCTCCCTTCAGCTTCTTCCTTCCCTTCCTCCCTCCCTTCACTTCATGAGCCTCTCGGTCCTACTGGATGTCACCCCTTGGCACTGGGAACAAACAGCATGCAAACTGCAACTTGTTTATGTCCTTGCAATGCTTATTTTCTACTAGGGAGGGTAGAGAGCAACAGATAATGAAGAATATTCAAATATCTAATTAACCGAGGGATGACAAAGGTCATGGGGAAGAAGGAAAGAACACAGGAGAGGACACCTGATTTAGACTTTGAGCAGGTGGCTTTGTGGCAGAGACTGGTGCTGCTCACCCTTGTCTGTGCCCTCCTCAGTCCCTGGGTTCATGGCTGGACCATCTTCCCAGCATCCCTTGCATCTGGGTGGTTGGCGCCCATGACCAAGTTATAGCCAATGGGATGCAAGCAGAATTAATGTGCGCCTGGGGCTGAAGAGTTAGGGAAGCAGAGCCCTCACTGCCTCTGGGGGTCAAGGGAGAGGTGCCACAGGTAGAAAGGGCATGGCCTCTGAATGACCACAGGGGGGGCCGCCGGTGCTGGAAACAGCAGATTAGATACTGTATGGGTAAGAAATACACTTCTGCCGGGTTGATCCACAGACATTTGGGGGCCATTTCTTGTAGCAGGTGGATCCCCAACTAGTAGTGACACCAAAGGTGACATGACAGATGGTATGATAGGAGTTGGTGAGGAAAAGGTACTTTTTTCCCAGATGAAACAGGCAAAGATCATTTGCTCTGTGGGACACATTTGTCATGGCATGTGTCCACTGCGGTCATTCTCCTGGGAAGGATCGACTGGCCTGTTGCTGTGTGGACTTGGGAGTGCACCTTAAGCCGGGGTCTGGGAGAGAGGGCTTGTTTCTGTGGAAACCAAAACACACCATCCTTTCACCAACACACGGCCTGCAAGAAGGCCAGAGGTGGCTCTGGACACAACTGCCAAGTTGGGGGACACTGGCTGGGCTTGTTATTGGGAAGATGAGTCTACGAAGTTACAGAAAAGGCAAGGGACGCCGTGGGCAGCGTGGTCTTGGCAGGATTGTTAGTCAACTCCATCCTGGGAGCTGTTCTTCCAGGTTTTTGCCCGGGCCTGGTGGGGCACACAGGGGCTGGCAGGTGGAGCCTGTAATGAACAAAACCCAGAACTCTCAGTGGTTTCCACTCAGTGGGTTCCTCAGAGCACGAGGCTCTGGAATTCCCTGTCCCCTCCAGAAGAGCAAAGCTCAGAAAGGGTGAGGTCTGGGGTCAAGAGGTGAGGCTCACAGATTCTACAGAACAAGCCAGAGATGCATGTTTTGGGATAAATGCAGGTCCCCACAGGACCTGGAAGGGATGGGTTGGGATCCGGGACTCAGCTGCCTTGACTTCCTGAGCACAGCTGGGAAGCCACTGGCAGAAAGGCACAGGTGCAGGGCCACCTCCCAGCATGAGTGGGCTTAGCAGACCAGATGGCACATGTGTGATGCCCGGTACCTACTAGAGGCCAAGAACACATCAAGTGTGGAAGCAGACAGAAGATCCAGAAGGTCACTGGAAGTCCCCCAAGCTGGGGCTCTGTACCTGGAGTGCTGGTTAAAAATGCAAGAGCCTGGGCTGCATCTCAGTCTGGAAAAGTGGTCCCTGAGTGGGGGTGGGGAGCCCTCGCTCTAGCAAGCTCCCTGCATGACAGCACACCAGCTCTGATGAGTAAGTGCTGGCGAGGGCCCAAGGGACGGGAGGGTGGGGCAGGAGGTAACATGAGGGATGTTAGGGATTCCAGTGGATTTGTGACTGGGGGTTGGCAGGTCCTTGGTCGATCCTTCCTGTCCTTGAGGTCTCCTTGAATGGCAGTGCCCAGTGTATGAAGGGAAGCTCAAAGTAATGTAAGTTTGAGAGAGAAAGAGAAAGAGTGTGACGAGAGGAGGGGAGAGAGGAAAGGAAGAAACACACACACACACACAGACTTACAGAGGAGGAGTCGGGACTCCCACGGCAGACAGCCATACAGCTGGAAGCAGCTGTAGTTCTAGCAGCACCATCCCCACCATTCCTGTGGGTTCCCTCCTTGGACACCTCCTAGGGTACACATGGCTCCTTGCCCTTGTGCCTTCCTCCTTCTAAACTACCACATTTCCTTCCAAGGACCTGGGCCCCCCCAGGACCTCCATGTTGTGTGCTGGGCAGCTGCAGGAGGGGGGCAGGTGCAGGTTTGGGCCTCCCTGCACTGGCTGTGTGGACCTCCGGCCCCAGGGCAGCTGCCAGGGCTCTGAAAGCTGGCATCCTGAGTGGGCAGCAGCCTAGAGCACCATGGGCTTTGGGACCCAGAAGGCTGGAGGCTTCCAATCCCAACTCTGCTACTCAGTGATGCCAGGTGAGTCTCAGTTTCCCCATCTGTAAAGTGAGGGTTGTCCTCAGAGTACCGGGAGGTTTAACTGGAACAGGATGCATAGTCTGTCACATAACAGAAGCTTTTACATGCAGTCTGCTGTAGTTTCTGAGTCCCTAAGAAAACTCCTACTTTCAGGAAATATAAGCTTTCATAGCAGGGAAGAGCCTCCATTCACAATCTGGTCCAGCACCTGCCTTGGATGCACAGGTATTGAATGGAAGTGAATTTTCCATATGGGGCAACTGAAGCCCATATGACCAACAGGTGAGACACTGCTCCTTCTGACCCAAAAGGAGTAAGGCTGGCATGAGTGTGTTCCTTCCAGCTACTGGCTGTGACAATGATAACAGCCAGGGCTTCCCGGGGGCAGTTACAGGGTCTAGGAGCAGATGGTGACTTGGGACTGGTGCAGAGGACAGAGCAGGCACGTGGAGGGGCTCAGGGCCTATCCTGCTCAGCTTCCCATTTGTTTTTTTCAGCAAACACTAAAGATACAAGGACATACCGGCACAGGCCTTGTCTCCAAGTGTGTGCTCCCAGGAAAACCAGGCAGAGGCTGACCAGCTTGGTCCATCTGGCACAGGACCATGTGCAAACAGCTTCCTTAGTTGCTAGGGTATTGTTGCAAGCTGGGGACCTTTGAGTTCAAGGTCTGTACCAGGGTAATGCAGAGAGCACACAGGTACCTAGACCTCCTGGGCTGCTTCACCTGGGGCACAGGCATGTTTTCCTGCTTTACAAGCTAGGCTATTTTTCTGACATCACCAAAAAAAGGCATTCTTTTTCTTTTGGCAGTACCAGGGTTTGAACTCAGGGCCTTGTTCTTGCTAAGCAGGTCCTCCACCAGTTGAGCCACTGCACCAACCCACAAAAGCAATTCTTTTGTTTATCCCTGGCCCTAAACACACACACACACACACACACACACACACACACACAGAGGAATATTATTCAGCCATAAAAAGGATGGAATGCTGTCATTTGGGGCAATATGGATGAACCCGGAGGACATGGTGTTAAATGAAGTAAGGCAGACACAGGATAAATGTCACAGGTTCTCACTCAATTGCAGGAGCTACAAAAACCAATCTCTAGAAGCACAGAGTAGGACAGTGGGCCCTGGAGGCTAGGTGGTAGATAGGGATTGGCTGGATAACAGGTCCCAAAATTTCCATAGGAGGAATTGGTATTCCATATTACAGTAAGGAACTATAGTCTACAACACAGGGCGTACTGCAAAATAACCAGAAGAGTCTAAAGTTTCCAGTACAGAAAGGAAAAATATTTGAGGAGATGGAAATCCCAATTATCCTGACTTGTTATGTACAAATATTACCTATTAATTACAAAAAGAAAAAGAAAAACCACTAGCTTCTATGCCCCTTAAAGGCAGGGACCTTGCTCAAGGAAAAGTGAAAATGATCAGAACTGATTTGAAGGTCATGGGTTGGTGTCGCGGGTCAAGTGGGCAGAGCGCCTGCCTAGCAAGAGCAAAGTCCTGAGTTCAAACTCCAGTATCGCAAGGAAGATTTGAAGGTTATCAGATGAGGGAATCCACACTGTCACTCCTGCATCCTCCAAAGTGCTATGTACACAGAACGTGTGCAAGAATCTTGTTAACGAAATGAAAGACTGACTGATGGATGGAATGAAATGAATGAAGCTGGTAGGGCTGTGAACGCAGCCGTTCGCTCTGCAAGGTGGGTGTGGAGTTTGGTGCAGACATTAAAGAAACACACAAAGACCAAGGCTGGAGAATGGTGTAAACTAGAGAACGTGAATGAATGGCTTTCAGGTGTGATCAAGCTCACAGGTGAGGCTGATACACTAATTTTTTTTTAATTTGGAATAGTTGCCAACATGTAAAAATTAAAAATCCAAATAATTATGTGAACTTGTGCTTGGAGTGTGGCTCAGTGGTAGAACTCTTGTCTGGCTCTACCAGGGTGAGGCCCTGGGTTCGACCTCCATCACCACAGAGAATGAAAGGATGAAATACAGGGATGCTGAGCAGCCCACTGCCTGTGCTCCACTCACCATGGCGGGGAGGTCACCGCTTTAGACAGCGGGGTCTGCTGCTGGGTGGCCTCCAGCAATTCCTGATACCCACTTGGCCCTTAGAAGCCTGCTGGTTTGCAGCCCTCATCCACAGGAGTGGTCTTCCAACTGCAACCCCTTAGGATGTGGTGAAACCAATGTGGGGGGTCGTGAACAGCGTGAAGCATGAAAAGAATCAAAGGTGTCCCTCAGGAGCCAGGGGCGTGGGTTTCCAGGTGCCTCTGTGGATACCAAAGTCTACAAGACCCTTACGAGTGATGTAGCATTTCCTTTAATTTTTCTCTAGATGACTTGAAATACCTAATATAAAATAACACTTTATGAAAGCTTGTTACGCTGCATTGTGTATTTGGAGTTTTGTTGTTATTCGTTTTTTCTGCAAACATTTTCTATCTGTGGTTGGCTGAATCTGTGAAAGTGGAACCGTCTAGTGCTGAGGACTGACTGCCTGATCGAAGACAGAAAACACCAGAGGATGCCACAGGAGTGCACAAACCACTGTGTAAAACCTGCACCTTGAGGTCACAACACAGAACACGGGACCCAGTCACAAAAGTGGGAAATGATGGCCTTTTTTCGGTAAGGATTTTTTGGGTGAGAATTGTTTTTGGTTTGAAACAGGAGGTACACTTCTGCTTCACTTTGTTCTTTGCAGGAGTGGGGTGGGACCCTGGGCCAACCTCATGCTAGGCAAGTGCCCTCCTCCTAAGCTACATCCCTACCCTGGAGAAGATGTCCTTGTGTGGCCTTCTTGGTGGCATCAATGGCTCCCGTGCAAAGTGGCTGGGTATTGGAGCACCGGGTGGGCACTGCCTTCCTGACGTGCTGCTCTACAGGCTGCCAGATCCCCAAGGGTCCTCCTGCCCCGTGGCCCCCACTGGGCCTAAAGGACAGGCCAGCCTGCCTCCCTACCCCCACTCCAGGCCCCCAGGACACACATGGCCCTCCGGCCCCACCTCTCGGTCAGCGCCTTGCTCTGGGTGTCCCGGGCTGCCTGCAGGTCCTTCTCCAGCCGCCTCCGCGCCATCTCCAGCTGCTCCACCTCGCCCTGCGTCCACTTCCTGGGGCTGACAAATCGCATCTCCTTCAGCAGCTCCTCCTTCTCACTGATGAGGATCAGACGGTCCCTCTCCGAGTCCAGCACCCCGGGCCAGGCCTCGCTGTCAAGCTTGGCCAGCTGGATCTTTAGGTTGGCGATCCTGGGGACCAAGAGTGTGACCAGTGTGAACCACAGCACTGCAGAAAAAGAAGGACAGACTTCGCTTCTAAGGACAGAGGGAGCCAGGATGTCTTTGGAGCAGTCTTTGTCAGTGACCGTCCTTTGGTCAGCATCTTGTCACTAAGGAACATGTTTTTTCTGTTTGTTTGGTTGTTTGTTTTTCTGTGGGACTAGAGTTTGAACTCAGGGCCTCACGCTTACCAGGCAGGCACTCTACCACTTGAGCCACTCCGCCAGCCCTTTTTTATGTTGGGTATTTTAGAGATGGGGGTCTTGTGAACTATTTGCCTGGGTGCTCTCAAACAGTGATCCTCCTGATCTCTGCCTCCTGAGTAGCTGGGATTACAGGCGTGAGTCACTGGCACCTGGCTAAGGAACGTGTTTTTATCTAACAAACACAGTCAGTGTTGATCGTGTGCCAACACAAAATTGGCTCTGCAGGAATGGGGTACAGACATGAAGGAGGTCACGTCTAAGCCTGGTGTGAAACAGACCAGGGAAATACCAGGCAATGACTTCTCACCACGGGCTGTGTGACCCTGGGCGGCCATGTGACCTTGGATGAGGTGCTCCTCTCCCTGAAGAAAAGCTCCTTCCTCCTGGGGTTGTGTTTGAAGGTTTTATGACACAGTCTATAATCTCTCAAAGCACAGCACAGGGGATGTAGTGAGCCCTCCATAAATGTTTCTAGGGCTACTGTTGCCATTACCTGGCCGGACCACTTGGCAGTCATGTGACACTCTCTGAGCCTGGAAGATGAGAGGGACAAGCGCTCACCCTTCAGAGCCGTTGTGATTTGAAAATCAGTGATAACCCACACAGCGTGCCCAGTGTATAACTGACCCTGACAGATGTCAGAGGTGGGTCGCAGGACTACGATGACAAACTGTGTGTCCTTAGCTCAGAGTGGGGGTAGCACTGTTAACAGCTATAGACTTGGGGTTCAGAGGCCTTGAGCTGGAGTACAGGCTCTGGTCCTCAGGATAGCAGGGATGATTTCTTTAAAAATCCTTTTGGAGGTTGGAGGTGTAGCTCAGTGGTAGAACATGCATCTCGCATGCACAAAGCCCTGGGTTTGAGTCCCAGCAACAACGAAAGGTCATTTTGGTATCACAAGCTTGTAGCACAGAGCCTGGTGTATTGCAGGTACTTGCTGAGTGTTGAGGGAAGGAGCAGTGGCCCTGCCACTTAGCGTCTCAGTGTCTCTAAGACAGTGTTCTTATCTCTAAGGTGGTGACAATGACGGTACGCAGTGAAGGCTTATGAGGACCAGATGGAAAAGTGGCAAAATTGCTCTTTATGCTTTGCCAAGTGTTATGGAGACATTAGGGACTGATGTAACAACTAACAGGACTGCTGCAAATATCTAAAAGCAATTATGAGGGCCTGGCGTGGTGGCCCATGCCTGTAATCCCAGTTACTTAAGAATGGAGATTGGGAGGGTCATGACTCATGACCATAGTGGGCAAAAGATTAGCAAGGTCCACCTCAAAAAACAAGCCAGGCATGGTGGCCTGTACCTGTGATCCTAGTTACATGGGTGGCCTTTGGTAGGAGGATCACGGGGCAGAGGATACCAGGCTCCATCTAAAAAAAATGACTAAAGCCAAAAAGGACTGGGGCTATCACTCAGGTGATAGAAAATCTGCTTAGTAAGAATGAGGCCCTGAGTTCAAATTCCAGTACTGCCCAAACAAACAAAAAACAAAATTAAAGCAATCATGCTTTGATTCTTTAGGGTGCGGCCCCTGCAAAATGCCTTTGGCTTTCATGCCTTGGGCCTACCCCATCCTGAAGGATGAGAAGGGGCTTGTCACCCGCATTGGACAGGTGCCTGGGGCTCACCTATGTAAGCCATGTCCTGATATGCATGGCATTTAGACAGAAAAGCCGGCAGGACCTGCTCTAACCATCTGACTTCATGCTCAAGTACACAGCCTTCCTCGAGAGTCAGTGACCACCAGTGCTGGGAGGCTGGAACGGTACAATACGGCCTTGCAGGGACTCAGCTACCATTGTGACACTGAGGAGTGGTCCAGTCCTTCCTGGGTGTCCTTCTAGGGTGCTTCCCCACGCCCCTGCTCCCTAAACCTCGGGTCACTTGGACTTTGGAGAATGATGGAAACTACTGATCTCTCCCTCAGAAATGCACGTGACGAAAGTGCCTGTGACAACATGTTAGCGCCTTCTCCTTCCCTCCTGATTCCCATCTGGCAGGTGCTCTGTCCTTTGCCTCAAGTCCTACTTTGGGGAGAGGAAGCAAGAAGATGGCTGAAGCCTAAGGAGCCGGGAAGCCCCGTGATGAAGTCTTTTTGGTTTTTTGGGTATCTTTGGCAGTACCAGGGTTTGAACTCAGGGCCTCATGCTTGCTAGGCAGGCGATTGAGCACCTGGGCACTGGTTATTTTTGAGACAGGGTCTTACTTTATGTCCAGGCTGACATAGACTGCAACCTCTATTTGTGCTTCCCTGGGTAGTGGGGATGACAGTCACATGCCACAGTGCCCAGTCACTGGTTGAGATGGGGTTTTGCTAACTTTCTGCTCAGGCTGGCCTTGAACTGTGATCCTTCCCAAGGATCTCACCTCCCAAGTAGCTAGGGTTACAGGCTTAAGCCGCCGTGCCTGGCTAACATGGGGAGAGGTTTGGTGGCTCAACCCCAGGGGAACATTTCAGCCCTGCAGGATCTCCAGAGTGACCATCGTGATGGTCACTGCTGCAGCAGGAATAGATCCAAGTTCAGAGTGGCCCCCTTCAGGGAAATGAGAGGTTCAAACACACTCATTCTGCTATTTTGCTCAACCCCTGGGAGAGCTGAAGCCGTGCGGGGGCATCTGTTTCTCCCTGACTGTTATCTACGACCTCATGCTTTTGTCAATACCCCATTTGTCTTTTGGAAATCATTCCTCCCGTTATGTTCAAGTCACTTGGTTTCCACAAAGCTGACCTCAGTCTCCTTCCCGACACGAACAGGTGACACACCTGGACTTTCAGAGAGTTCTAATCCCCTCTCCCTGCCTTCTACTGGCCCTGCAACCATGACTGTTTTATCCCAAAATGCCAGTGAATCTCAGACCCAAGACCTGTCAAAACTGTTGGGAAACTGAGGTAGGAGGAGTGTGAGTTCAAGGCCAGCTGTGGACTACACAGCAAGACCTTATCTAAACAACAGAAAAAGAGGCCAGGTATGATATCTCACACCTGTAATCTCAGCTACTTGGGAAGCAGAGACCAGGAGGATCATGGTTTGAGGTTAGCCCAGGGGAAAAAGTTAGCAATACCACATCTCAACCAATAAACTGGGCAAGGTGGTGTATGTCTGTAATCCCAGCTACACAGGAGGTATAAATAGGAGGGCGGACCAGGGTCCAGGCTGGCCTGGGCAAAAACCCAAGACCTTATTTGAAAAATAACTAAAGCAAAAAAGGACTGTGGCTATAGTTCTAGTGGTAGAGTGTCAGCCTAGCCAGTGTAAGGCCCCAAGATCAAACCCCAGGATTGTCCAAAAAGAAAAAAAGAGAGAGAGAGAGAAAGAAGGAAACCTGATTGATGGTAAAGTTAGGTCCTTTTTCTTGGGGTTGCTAACCTGGCAGGGTGTAAGCAGACAGTCCTGGTGTCATCCTGCCACTCTGACAGGAAAGCCTGCCTGAGAACACAGACAACACAAAGGCAAGCAGGGAGGAGAAAGGAGAGACTGACCCCATGTGAGACCATTTGAGTCCCTGGATCCAGCTAAGCCTGAAGCCAGGTCCTAGGATTTTAGGGCTAACTAAGCCAATAAATGCCCCGTGTTGCTTCTTCCTCTGAATCCTACTACATTTCGGTCATTGCTGCAATGTCTGCCGCTCACATAGGGTTGGCAGAGCAGGTGGCTGAGCAGGTGCACGAGTCAGGCAACTTAGAGAAGAATGGATGCAGCTGGACTCACTCACCACCATAATGCCCAATGGTTTCCTGACCAGCAAGGCTGCACAGAAGCCATGAACTTGGAGCCCAAGCACCTGGTTCAAATGCTGGTTCTACCACCTAGCGTTTCTCCTCTAACACAGAGACATAGTTAGATGGAAGCTATGCTATGAGGCTGTTTTTAAGATTCGGTAAGATGAGCCATGTACCCACGTGTTGGTAGAATAAGCAATCTATGTTTATTAGCTGGTGTGCTAAAAATGCCAGCTTCGATTATTATTTTATTTGTCTTGGTAGAGCCCAACTACTTAGGATTCTACAAAGCCCCAGACTGGTCGAAAAGCAGCAAGGTGCTGAGGTGGGTGGTGTCCGTAGTCAGTTTTGTTGTTTTTGTTTGTTTGGTCACTGTTTTGTTTTGATTTGTTTGGCAGTAGAGACGGAACCCAGCGTGCAAATAAGCCTAGAGCTCCTTCCAACCAAACTGCCTCCGTGAACACGAGGAGACACTGACTACAGGAACCAACACAGGCAGGGAGAACGAAAACTAAACCTGAAGCTTGAACAGACTGGGGTTTGCAACAGCCCCACTCTACCTAGCGCAGTGTCCTGGGCGGTCGTTTCCTCTCTGAAGTCCAGAGAGGCTTAAAACACAAAGATGACAAATCTACCCGCATAATCTTTGTGAAGATTAAACAAGATGAGGGGTGTAGACAGCAGGGCCCAGAGGGGACACCCACCATCGCAGGTATGGATGTGGAACCCTTCCCCCCCGCCTGTCCCCCTCCCCCCAACTACCTTCTCTTAGCCTCTTCATATCGAAGGCGTAATCTGACCTTCTCAGCCAATTGATTGTTGCTGCTGGTGCCAAACTAGAGGACAAGGACAAAGTCAAGAATTAGTGGCCGGTGCTGACCAGGTTCCAAGAGCTCATGAGTGACCTGACAGCTTGCATGGGCAGAGCCAAGAATAGTCCTCCAGTGACTGGGCTGGCTGTGCCTATCGCAGGAAGGCTGGTTAAGCAAAATGTTTCCCTTCCTTCAGGCCATGGGGCCAGCCGCAAACTCGGACATCTGCCACTTCTGCGAACGGCCCATGATGTCATCTTGCAGTCCCAGAAGGTCAGAGCCAAAGCAGGCCACAGAAGCATGGAGGACAGCAGGTGAGAAGGAAAGACGGGTGGTCAATACCCAAGAAAGCCAATATGGCAGTTCTGGGAAGGGGGTCACCAGAACAATCAGCAGGCCGCAGTCAGGAGTGAAACCCTGGTGAGCGGGAGAAGGTTCTAGAATGTAGCAGATGCATACTTCCTTCATAAATACTCTGGCTTGCAGGTGGCTTGCAGCTGGAAACATGGACAGAGGGAGGGACAGCTCTGTTCCCACACTGGTCAGTGGAGACTGGCAAAAATCTCCAAGCATAGCGGATTACACGTGGGCACAGCTTTCTTCGCTAGTGGGAGACCAGCCCCAGAAGTCAAATAGCAGGCTGGGAGGCAGATCAACTCAGTGTCGTGTGCTCCGGCAAAACAGAAGCTCTCCAAAAGTGCCAGCTGTGTGGGCTGGTTGCCTCTACACCTGGCCAGTCTTTTCACCACCCATGACTAGGACTTGGGGACCCCCCAGGCTGGCCTCTCCTGTGCCATCGGGTCACATCTCCTGGGGCCAGGAAGTCTGTAAGACATGGAGCTCCAGGGACCAAGTGAGCAGCCAGTCCCACCCAGAGGTACCAGCCAGCTCTACAAGTGACCAAGAAGGCAGCCACCGTTAGTAAGGGAGGCCTCCCATATGTCGCCACTTGGGGCCCCAACTGCAAGCCCTGCCGACTCACGCTGCCTGAGATGTCCGTCTGTGAGCTCACGTCCAGGTACTGCTTGGGCAGCGGGAAACCCGAGCTCTCCAGGGAACTGCTGCTGGACCACAGGTCAGAGTGCGAGCCTCTGTCGGTTCGGAAGCCATCCTTCAGCATGGCGAGGCTCTGCAGAGAGGGAGAGGGACCGGGTCGGTCACTGGTGCACCTTCCTGGGAGGGGCTGTGTCTGCCACACTGTGTTTTCCTCTCTGTTCTCCCTAGTCTAGGAGTCTGTGCACGCCACACATCCTACTTAAGGCTGTGACCAAGAGCTAGCGGTAAGGGGTACTTACGGTGTGCCAGGCCCTTTCCACAGAAGAAACCAGTGTACACGCCAGCCCAGCCCGTGGTGCAGCCCTTGTTCTGCTGCTTCCTGGCTGTGTGAGCTGAGCTAGCTGACTAACCACTCTGTGCCTCAACTTTCTGTCCTGTAAGATGGGAATAACCACAAGCCCTGCCTCACAGGTGTCATACTGATTAAACAAAATGACGACATAGAGCACTCATTCAGCTGGTACTCAGTACCTGTTAGCTTCTCCCTGATCTTATTGGATACTGACAACAAACAGTTCATGCTGGAATGGCGTGTGATGGTCCCAATCTCATTAATCAGACTTGCAGGTCTGAGCTCCCATCTGCCTGTCGCCCACAAGCACCCTGTCTAAATGTTTTGCTGGGCAGGAGCCTCAAGACCGTTCCACTCGCACAGAGCCTGCAGCTTCCTTCGTGAGTCACTGACAGCATCTCTGATCTGCCTGCTGGTGGGAACCACAATTAAGCATCTCGAGAGGAGGATGGGTGTATACAGAGGTGAAGCAAATGGGGTTTTGAGTCAGATGTTGGAGGGTGTAGACCATGGTTCTGTCCACTACTCTGAGTCACAGAGTCCTCATCTGCAGAATGGAGATAAAGCAGAGCTGGTGGTAGAGATCAGCAAGGCAGGACTTGGCACCTGGCACTCCTGCCTGGCACGTTAAAGAAGGGCTGTTCTGATTGGTTCAGCTTCCAGCTGAGTGAGATCGCAAAAGCACAGCTTTCAAGACACTATGTTTTCACGTTCAGGTTAACTGCGCTAAAACCATCTCCTTCCATTTGGCCCATGAAAAATAAGCCAGATGGAGAGAACGAGTGTCAAGATACAGCCTTGAAAGTGCACCAAACGGCTTCCGGGCCAGCTCTGCTGACCCTGCTGTGTGGCCTTAGGTGAGCCACCCAGCGCTTCTGACCTTCATGCAGGAGAGATCCTCTCTAAAATGGGCCCAGGTCACTGGAAGACCAGTACAGGCTGATTAGCCCTTATCCACAATGCCTGGGAGCAAAACTGTTTCAGATTTGACACATTTTTGGATTTTAGACTTTCTGCATACACACAATGCGAGATGACAGGGGTGATGCAGAAACGTAAACACAATTAGGTTTCATGTACACCTTACATGCATAGCCAGAGGTAACTGTATACCATATTTTTGGTGCTCTGAGTCTTGACTCATGTTGCACATGAGGTCAGGTGTGCACTTTTCAATCAGTTTAAGACTGGGAGGAGGCATTTTAGAGTTGAGTGCCCTGAATGAGGGGTGCCCATCCTATGGGAAGAGCTCTGTGGCACCTGGAAGCAGCTGCCCAAGTCCTGGCACTCGGGCGTGCAGGAAAACCTGAGCTGGGGTCCGTGTCACCAGGACTTTACCCACCTTAATCAGATCTTGTTTCTCCTTCTCGCCACAGGTGATGGCCTTCTTGATGGCTTTCGTTTCTCTCAGGACAGCCTGAGCCTCATCCAGTTTGTAGCTTCCCTGGCTGTCAGACATTTTCTTATCGATTCTAGGAGACGGAATGGGAAAGGTGAGATACAGGTGAGATACAGGAGGGGCAGGGGTTTTCCTGGGGGAAAAGCACAGGCCACAGGGGTTTGGTCCCTCCAGAAGCCTGCTCTTTCTGTCCTGCAGAGCCTTCCTCTCAGGTCCCACCTGTGGCCTAAGAGCAAAAGGTCACTGTTAAATGGCAAATGACTGCAGTGTGTGACTGCCTACGTCCCTCATCCTCTAAGCTGGGCAGGTGGCTCCCACAAATGTGACACTGCACACTGCTCTGTGACAACTTACATTTCATGCAGCAGTATCCTGGGTTGACTCTGGTAGGTGTGGGAACAGAGCCTATCTGGCATAGAATAGTCCTCCATTTGTGTCCCTCAGTTTCCACACTTGATGTGTGGGGCGGGACCACTCTTTGTAGTGTGTGTGGGAAGCGGGTGGGGGGTGTCCTGTGCAATATAGGATGTTTAGAAGCCGCCCTGGCCTGGAACAACAAAATGCTCATCACACCTCAGCTATGAATTACCCAGAGAGCTTACTGGCATCCCTTGGCTCTACATGAAGGTTCATTTCGATGGGGGGAAGGTCTTTCCCCACAAAATCCAAGGGTCTGCTGAAGTACCAAGGTGAAACCCCCTTGGACCATCAATATACACTTAATAAAAAAAAAATGAGAGAAGGGCAGGAGGGAAAAATAAATCTCTTCCGGGGTGGATACCTGTGGAAGGTGGTGGCACAAAGAAAGGGGGAATGAGGTGAATATGGTGGACGTGTTTTGTATCCATATATGAAACCTGTTGAAATTGTCCTAAGAAGGGGGAGGGGGAAGAGGGAGAACGATGGAGGGGGTAGATCCAACTTATATTTTAAACATATATGTAAACATTACAATGTACCCCCCTGTACAAATTTTATAGGCTAATAAAATGATACAAAAATATAAAGCCAAGGGCCCTTTAACTCTTTGCAGTGCTGGGGATTAAACCCTGGGGATTAAACCCAGTGCTCCCCCTGAGCACTTTTTTTTTCCCTTTTTTTTTTTTGGGTGAGACTAGGGTTTGAGCTCAGGGCTTTGGGCTGCAAAGCAGGTGCTATACCGCTTGAGCCACACCTCCAGTCCATTCTGCTGTGGTTACTTTGGACATGAGGTCTAACAAAGTATTTGCCCTCGATCGTTTTGATCTCAAGTAGCTAGGATTACGGGTGTGAGTCACTGGCACTTGGCCCCAAGGGTTTTGATACAGTTTCTGAAGGTCAACCCAAAGCACAGATGTGTGTGGTGTGTATGTAGAGGGTTCCTGAGCCTCTGAGGCAGGAGGGCTGGGCCGTGGAGAAGGTTCTGAGGGCTAATCTATTTTTCACTGCTTTGCACTTGCATCAAAGGCTGGCTGCAGGCTTGGGGGGAAGGTTTCCAGTCGAGGGGACAACCCAAGGCCATCATTTCAGGATGAGGAGCCTCACTTCTCACGGCCAGTCCTGTCTGATTTCCTGCTACAGGCCAAACTGTCCTGGGTTAAAGCTAGCCTGAGCAGGGCCCCACCGTGCATGTGTGGGAGCAGGTTTTCATTGTGCCCAAGAGGGCATGGTCCCCACAGCCTCTCCCTCTGGTTGCTTCAGCCTCTGTGGAGGGAACACAAAGCCCCATTTGTGTCTTCCACTAAGAACAGCTTGGCTATTCCTTTCGAGGACTTGGACCTGGGGAAGGCTGTCAGGTCGGCTAAGACGACTCAGATGTAGTCACAAAAATTCATCTAAGGACAACTTCCCAGCACATCTACCAAAGATGCCCTGTGGAAAAGTCCCCAGAGCAAATGACCTGGATGGGAGGTAGTCCTGGCTTGGACAGGCAGGGGTGAGTAGTGCAGAGGAGGGTCTGCTCGAACATGTCCGAGGCGGGGATTGGGTGGGGGCTGTGCCCGCTATCCTCTGCCAGCAGGGCGAGTGTGGCTATGAATTACAGAAGGACAGGACAGAAGTGGTTTGTCTGTTGGGCTGCAATGAGCTGCTACCTGATTTCTTCGAGGGCCTTAGCAACCCGGCTCTGGAATTTGGCTCCAGAGAGAAGCTGGGAGAGGAACACTCAGGGATGAAGCTGGGGTGGGGAGCGGGGAAGGCAGAACAAAGGGTCACCATTATGCACTCAGTGAATGAATCTTTTTTCTTGTAAAGGGAAAGAAAAGTGGTGTGTGTGTTTGGGGGCGGGGGTGCATGTGTTTTAGGATTTCCAAATTGTATAGCTGTCCTTCCTCTAGGGCCTTCAGAGAGTCACATGCCACTGGGTAGCCCCAGAAACTGGGCCCAGGCTTTGTCAGCAGCTGACTCCTCAAGGTCCTGTGCAGGCAGCTCTCTCCCACCTGGGCATGGCAGCTCCTGTGATGTGCAGGAAGTTGCTACCTTGCCCTCCTCTTGCACAGGCAAATTTCTAAGTCCAGTTCTCTACTGAACTCTACCCAGGGCAGCTTGTGACAGGCCAAAGCCCCATGTTTTCATTTGTTTGATTTTTCTTCTGCGTTCTCCTCTGAGGTTTCCTGAAGTCTTCCTCAACCTTCCCTTTTCTCTATTTCTTTGGAAAGTATGAACTAAACCCCTGGGTTCGTAGTGCAGGTGACTAACTGCTCACCCAACCTGAGCTGGTACAGTCACCACCACGACAGCAAGCACAAGTGCTCAGGAGACATCACAGCTGTCTCTCATCTAGCTACAAGTCAGCTTCTGAACGTGACAATGACTTTGGTCAAAGTCGTTCTGGAAGCTCCCTAAGCTACCCCTGCAGGATGCACTGCACCTTCGCCAGGCACAGCCAATAAGGGAGACTAAGAAATGGGAGACCCTGAAGAGACCAGGAGGCAGGGGAGACAGAAGGAGCCTTACGTTTTCTGGGTACAGGGAGGGGGTGTCTGGAATGATGCCCAGAACAGATGCAGTGAGACCTGACCTTTGAAATCCAAATCCTCCCAGCACTGCAAAAATAAAAATAAAAAATAATCCAATCGTCCTGGGTACGACTGCGGTTCCATGGTAATGTGTGTGCTCAGCATGAATGAGGCCCTGGGTTTGATCCCCAACACCAAAAAATAAAGATAAAGGGCTGGAGGTGTATCTCAGTGGTAGAGTGCTTGCCTGGCATGTGCAAGGTCCTGGGTTCAATTCTAGCAACACACACACACACAAAATTAAACACCTTAAGATAAATAAATCCCAATAATCCTGGGTTCCAGTTCTAGCTGTCATCCTGGTTAGCTGGGTAGAATGAAAACTGCTCTTATTGAGGTAAAGAGAGTGAAAAGAGAGTGAAATGAGGTGGCTAAGGTAAAAGAGCTTCCCTGGCCTGGTGGCTGGCCCAGGGTAGAGGCAGAGTCCATTTGGTCCCCTTGAAGTCCAAGAGGACAACTAGCTGGAAGTCACTGTCTCCTCCAGCTCTGCTTGCACGATAGGTTCTGTTATGCACTGGACAGGGATTTTCCAATTCAATCCCCACAACCACAAAATTTTCAAATTAAAAAAAAAAAGCAAAGCGCAGAAGGGTCAAAGTCACATTTTCAAGGTTCCAGGGAAGTGGGATTTGAACCCAGGCCCTCCCCCTCTTGAGCACACATTCCTGACCCTGTCTGGCAGGGTGTACATAAAAGCAGACGCCTTCCTCCAACACTGGACGAAGAGCCAGGCTTCCGGCTGAGGACTGTGGGCAGCCAGAGCTGAGAAGGAGTCTTATCTGGGCCAGGAATCAAACACCAGGCAGAGGGAGGGTAAAGAAGACTTGTCTTTGGGGTTTCAGCTGTCAGCTTGCCAAGGGACAAGCAGTTTCAATGCTGCTACAAGGCACAAAGTGGTAGCACAGGTTTGTGAAGGCTGCTGGAGAATAATGGAAAGTGTTGTAACCAGCAGCTCTCCAGGAGGGAGAGAACATTCTGGAAGACGATGTGAGAAAGAACAGCCCAGAAGCTGCTGGCCTGGAAAGAGGGCAGAGGAGACCGCTTTCAGAAGCCGAGACAGGAATTCTCGAAGCTCACACAGTTGCTCTCCATCGAGCCTGTGCTTAACAAAGGTCAGCAAGAAGCACCAACCATGACCCCTGACCTAGTGAGCTTAGAATCTGCTTTGAGAGACAGGATTGGCATATATGAACCACACACACACACGACACACAGAAACAGACATATAAAGTCATAATTTATCATTTGAAAAAGAAAACGTACACGCTTTTCTAAGAGTCATAGTTCTTGCTCTTTTTCTTCATGTGTGCTTGTCAAGTGCTGTAGCACTGAGCTATGCTATGTCCTTTGCGTTGGGCTGGACTCACGGTGGCCCCCAGACAGTGGGGAACTGTGAAGTGGGGGTCTACACAAGAACCAGATGGCCCTTTAACACAGTTCAACCTGTCAACAGGACTTGCACAGAGTTTGGGGCTGGGCTGCCGAGTGGAGAGGGTAGATTGGTCAAGGAAAGAGAAGCAGGTGACTGCAGACACAGTGTCCATCTGGGTACATCCTCCAGGGGCTATAACCAATATGTCTGGTGATCTGGTGCATGGGTGAGAGCCACCAGGCCACCTTCGTAATGATCCCCAGTGAGCCCATCAGATGCCACGCAAGTAAGTCTCAGTTACGTGTTGTGGCTAATAACAGGAATAAGCTAACCCTTACTGACTTGATATGTGACTCAGTTTCCCCATCTATATAATGGGGTAACCTAGAAGAATGTGCCTCATAGAGAGGCTGTGAGGATTAAGCGTGTGTACCCATTCAGTAACACTCGAGAGACGGAAGAGCTGTGTCTCTTACTTGACTGAAAGCTCTCAGAGACGGCGGAAGTCCTGAGGCCACGCATAGAGGATCAGGTGTGTGACGGTGTACACACCTCTCTAGCAACATGTCCCTTGCTGGAGGAGCAGTCGGTGAAGCAGTGGCTCACTTCTAGGGGCCACGGAAATAAAGGGTCTGTCTGTTGGTGTGCAGTAAGACTCTCGTGACCTATGAGAGGTGAGACGTGCGCCCAGCAACGCTGGCTTCTGGGACTGGGACAGTAAGACTCAGCTGAACGGAGCAGACCCGAGCAGCTTCAGGAGTTGAGAGGGTGGGAGCATCGAGCTCTCAAAGGAGCAGCCTTACCTCCAACCTTGATTAGAATGACTAGAGAGCCACACTTAGGAGAGGGTGGAAAGGGACTAGTGGAGAGGCAGAGGACAGCGGGGGAGCTGGGGTGGGGCAGGCTCTGCACGCAGGTGAACTTACTTCTTCAGGGTCTGAAAGCCACGCTCTTTGAACTGGAGTTCATGCTGCAGGTGAACCATCTCCCTCTTGAGCTTGCTGACCTGGGTGGCAGAAGACCATGCACAGGGCTGATTAGAGGAGGACATGAGGGGAATGGGGCAACCCAGAGTCCCCTGCTGCTCCTGTGTAATGACTGGAGCCAGCAGCTCTGGGCCACCTTGGTCACAACCCCCTCCACTCATCCACAGGGGTCATGAACCCTGCAGCTGCCCATTCAGTCAGCATCCCAGCTGGTGTCCCATAGGTCCTACCCAGCCAGTTCTGGCTCCAGGGAAACAGGAAGTAGACAGGAGCAGACTGACTGGGGTCCTCCCACTTCTTAGCTGTGGGATCTCTCTCCAGCCTGGGCCATTCTGCCTGCCCCCTTCCTGTTCTGATGGAAGGGACAATGGCAATTACCTAGGGCCAGCGTAACTTAGAGCAGTTGTGGATATGAGGGTGCTCTGCATGCAGGAGAGAAGCAATGCAGTAACATCAGAGGCCAAGCAGCAAGGTCAGAGGTCATGCAGCAAGGTGAGAGGTCATGGAGCAAGGTCAGAGACCAGGGACGAAGATCAGAGATCATGGAGGAAGGTCAGAAGCTGTGATATAAGGTCAGAGAAATGGGGGAAAGGACAGAGGTCATGAAGCAAGGTCAGAGGCCATAGGGCAGTGTCAGAGGCCATAAGAAAGGTCAGGTCACAGGCCATGAAGCAATGTCAGAAGCTAGCCATGCTTGACAGCCAGTCACCCGAAGCGAGGCTCGTTCAGCCTGCGCGGTACAGCAACTTTCCAAATGAGTAGCACCAATCACGTGCCCAGGTTCCATACCATAGCGGCCTCTTCCTTTCTAAAGACACCTGCGGATCTGGCAACACCAGCCAGCATTCCAGCATGGGTACAAGAGTCTCGAGTGCAAACTCACTCACCCCTTAGCCAGGACACAGGTCTCTAGGGTGACAGTCCCCATGGCTGCCTTACCCCCAACCCACTTCTCCAATTTATGTCTTCTTGCAGGCATCTGAGCCGTAGAAACTGCTTTGAGTATTCAAGACGATCACCTTATCATGAGCAAGTCACTTCGCCACTGTGCCTCAGTTTCCATATCAGTTAAGATGGGCATACTACTACTTAAACCCTAAGGAACATAAGATTAAACAGAACAGGCAGGAGCGAGGAAGACAGTGCTCCATGCTAAGGCCTTTGGCTGAAGATGAGTCTCCGTGGCGGTGGGCCAGGTTCTCGGCTCTTTTAAGCCTCTGCTTGCTCTCCTTTCAAACACACGTCATGACAGTAACTACTTCCTGGGTGGCAGTCACCAATGCGTCTGTCCATGATGAGCGCCCGTGACACGGCAGCTGTTACTACCACGATTGACCCTACAACTCCAGCTACTGCTGTTATGACTGGGGACCGTCTAGTCGGGACTGGCTGCCCTTGGCTTGCGGCAGCATCAGTCTGGCCTTGAGGCAGCTAGAGACCTAAGACGTCAGAGGTGAAGAGGCCCTACCCGGGATTTTGCAGTGGCAATCTCGGCTTTCAGGATCTCAGGGTCGTACTTCGAGTTGGATGACAAGTCGGAGACTACTGCAAGGGAGAAAGAAAGAAACGAATTTCAGTAGAAGAACCACACTGCAGCCTCACTGGCTTATTGGGCCATCTAAATAAGTTGGAAAGACAGGACTAAAAATGAGTAGACTAAGTGTCCAATGAAGGGGGATTTGTCAAATAAATATAGTGCATGCAAGAAATGGGGTCTCTGAACTTACATAATTAAAAATGATAATGTAGAAAACTCCCGAATGAAACTTAACTGTTACATGAAAACCAGCTTTCAAAGAAAGTATTAAAGAATAATTCGAATCTGGAAAGCCTACTATTTATAAACATATACACACCTGCATCCAAAGAGACTGCGTGCTGGGTATACAGCTCAGTGGTAAACCCTGGGTTCTATCCCTAGCACCACTACAAAAGGGTACTTTTGGCGGCACTGGGGGTTGAACTCAGGGACTCGCACTTGCTAGGCAGGTGCTCTACCACTTGAGCCACTCCCCAGCTCTTTATGCTTTAGTTTATTGATCTATTTCAAATAAGGTCTCTCTTTTATGCCCCTGGACTGTGACCCTCCTGCTCATACTTCCCAAAAGTCTGCAGTGACAGGTGCACACCACCACAGTCAGCTTTTTACTGGTCAAGTTAGGTCTCATGGACTTTTTCCCTGGGCCTCATCAGGCTATGACCCTCCTGACGGCTACCTTCCAAGTAGCTGGGACTTAAGTGTGAGCTGCCACACCCACCCCTTAGGTACATTTTTTATTGAAGTAAAAAACACATTCATGAATACACAAATGACGTGTACAGCTCGATCAATTTCCACAAAAGAAATTCAAGTAATGGGCTTTCTACTTTTGTGCCTGCTTTTCGTTCCAAAGTGGCACTGATGACTGGTGTGCCTCCCTCCCTCACCTTCCCTACCTCCCTCCTTCCCTCTCTCTCTCTCTTCTTCCCTCCCTCCCGTATGTTCCCTCCTTCCTTCCCTCCCTTACCTTCCCTCCTTCTCTCCCTTTCCTTCCCTTCCCTTCCCTTCCCTTTCCCTCCCCTCCCCTTCCCTTTCCGTCCTTCCTTCCTTCCTTCCTTCCCTCCCTCTCTCCCTCTTACCTTCCCTTCCCCCTCCCTCCCTCCCTTCATCCTTCCTTCCCGGCCAATGCTAGGGATAGATGCCAGGGCGTCATGCATGAAGCCCTCCACACTGAGCCACACCTCCAGTCTTCCATCAGTCCCATGGATGGCACCCTCTATGTGTCCAACAACACGCATGCATCACTGCTTCTTGCTCCTTTCCTCACTTCTCCCTCTGGAGGATTGGGACTTGGCTTTGATTCCTTCCTCTCCCGCCTCTGTCCTCCTAATGACAGCACGCGGTGAAAGCATCTTCAGTGTTGTGCTGGTTTAGTCTCTGCACACTGTTGAGGACAGTCAGCCTGCTAACCCTGTTCATCCTTCCTTTCTCTGTAGAGTTAGTAATCATCATTTTCACGTTTGTTCAGTTTCTACAGATTTAGGCCAGTGATCTAAGTGGTGTCCTGCCATTCTCCCCCCATGCCTTGGTGGCAGCTGGCTGCTTGTCGTGCACAGCTGGCATTGAGACCCGTGCTGTTACTCTGGTGTCTTTCTTGACTTTCCTCTTTCCTGTAGCCTATGGCTCCTTCTTTCTGATGTACCCCTCATCTTGGTAGAACATTCTACTAGCTTCCTGAGAAAGGAAAAAAGAAAGGAAATAAACTTGGAAACCCTGCATGTCTCAAAATATCTTTATTCTCCCCTACACTTGAAGGTAGTTTTGCTGGATATAGAATTCGAGGTTAGAAGTGGTTTTCCTCACAAGTTTAAAGGCTTCGCACCAGTATCTTTTAGGTTTCATGTGGAGCTTTTCTGAGTCCTGTTCATTTCTGGGTGACCTGATTCTTCTCCCTGGAAGCCTGATATTAAATTGTGCCCAGGGTTTGAAGCCTGACAATGATCACCAGGGTGTGCGATGACTTTTTTCCATCGTGTTGGGAACCCAGTGAGCCCTTTCCATCTAAGAACCCTCCCCGTTCACTGGTGGGAAGTCATGGGAACTATTTCACGGTGCTTCTTCCTCTGTTCGGTCTGCTATGTGTTTTTTATCTTAGACAGCAGATTTCCAGAGCCAGGGCTCTTTCTTCCTTTTATTTGCATTTTTCTCGTTTGCCCTGTCTCTCAGATGTCCTGGGTTTTAGGCTCCAGTCGTCCTATGAGGTTTTCATTCCTGTGATACATTTTAATTTCCAAAGTCTCACATTGGAAAGACTTTGTCTAAGACGCAGTGCCCTGCTCCTGCCTCCCGGTTTCATGGCTTCTGTAGGTTTTCTTCCCCAGCGCACACCTTGCTCCCTGAGGCCTCCCCTTCGCCATGTTACGGGACATCTGGAGTTGGACTGTCTGTCCATGATTCAGAGCGAGGGTTCATCGACTGACTACAGCACAGTTCGCTGGCTCTGAGCTGCACACGACAGGATGTGACTGGCTGTTTCACCCTGGAATCCTCCATGCCTGGGGCTGCAGCCTTTTCTCCTGACATCTCCCTTCTGGTCAGCGTTTTCAGTCTCTTCTCCTGTCACCCTGGAGGGCAATGACCTGCCACTGCTTTGGGTGCTAAGTGGAATGTGAGGCCTCAGAAGCCCGTGTCTTTGTGTTCCCATAATCGCTGCATTTCAGCATGGCGCGCCTTGGCTTTGAACTTGCATTGTATCCTCTGGTCTAGAGACTCGGTTTTACCACCTCCAAAAATACTCTACGGTCCTTTGCCAGGGGGGAGATGGGTGGGAACCTGGCTGTACCAGTTTGGGGATGGGATCTGATGGTCCATCTCAGAAACAGCCTTCATCCAGTCCTCTTGACCCCTAGCCCCGGGCGGAGCACAGAGAACGCTCAGCTTCCTCACTGTCAGCCATTTTGCCTTCTCTCAGGCCTCCTGAGGGTTCACACCATCCTGCAGCCCTTTCTTCTCCAACTGTCTCTGTCCTTGGGTGTATGTTCCTTTCAAAACTGTCTTATCTATTTTCTTAATTTCAGGAGTGAATGAAACCCTGTCGGTGATTCAACGACATTTTTAAGCACGAGGTTCCCAGTGATTTGTTTTTCAAATAGGAAACCAAAGCCTAGTGAGGGGAGGGAGCATGGTGAGGTCCCAGAGAACCCAATTCTCCCACGGCTGTGGCCTTTTCAGGCAGGAGGTGGCACGTGAGCCCAGGAGTCACAGCATGAGGCAGGCAGGCCTGGGTTCAATGAAAAGAATTAAGGTTCAGGGTCAGACACACCTGGTGTAAAGGTGAGCTGTGCCCCTTTTTACCAGGAGGCCTCATGCCCTTCCTGGACCTCAATGTCCTTGTCTGTAGGAAGGGGACAACACTGTCATCAGGACCATAAGTGGGGAGTACTGGCCTTCTGCTCTCTATGCAAACAGTGGGTGCATATTAAACGTCAGTCCCCTTCGCCTTTCCCATGGGGACAGAACTTACACCAGACAACTGATAAGAGCACCTCCATCTCAGGGCAGAGCCCCATCTGTGAATGAGCCCCACAGCAGCCAAGGCAGGTGGTGCAATCCTCACAAGCCCCAGCAGGCCGCCTGAGTTAGAGGACAGGCATGTGACCCCACCGGTCTGTCACTCCAGGAAGCCTAACTTGTAAAGCCTACAGAAAGATCATGATGAGGCTTTGTTTACACCTCATTTACTGGGATAATCAGGGGACTCCCCAATTCCCGTTGGGTTTATACCTCAGATCTAGTCACCTGAAATGACCCCAGTCCCCTTGCATAGATTGTTTTTCCTTTCAGCACTGGGGTTTGAACTCAGGGCTTTGTGCTTGCTAGGCAGGCACTCTACCACTTGAGCCATGAGCCATGCCACCAACCCTTTTTAGTTTTGGGTGTTTTCAAGATAGGGACTCATGAACTATTTGCCCAGGTTGCCTTTGCACCTCAATCCTCCTGATCTGCCTCCAGACTAGCTGGGATTACAGGCGTGAGCCACCGGCACCTGACTGGAAGATGAAGAACTGGGTCATCTTCTACTCCTCACCTCGGGGCACGTATTTCCAGGTCAAGTATCGCTATCTGAAATGCGTGGGACGAGAAGCACTTCGGAATTCAGATTTTTTTCGGATTTTGACTCATGTGCACAAACACAGTGAGATGTCTTAGGAATGGGACCCAAAACAAGAAAGGAAGCTTGTTTATGTGTCACGTACACTTCACGCACACAGCGTGAAGGTCATTTACAGGGTGTTTTTAATAACTCTGTGCCTGATTCACGTTCATGGTGGGGAGCCTCTCACTTGTGCCATCATGTCGGTGCTCAAAAGCTCCAGAGTTAGGAGGATTTTACTTTTGGATTAGGGAGGCTCAGCCTATATTCTCGGTTGATTCCAGGGATCTGTTAAATTCCCTGTTGCTGACTATGCCGATGAGTTAGGAATAACTGTCACTATTTATTGAGAACCTAAGCATGTGACGTGTGCTACTGCAAGTACTTCGTTGACTAATTTAAGAACCATGACCTCTATGAAAGTGAGACTTTGGGTCTTTTTTTTTTTTTGACGGTACTAGGGATTGAACTTGGGGTCTTGCACTTGCTGGGCTGGCACTCTATCACTTGAGCCACTGCCCCAGCCCTGAGACTCTTATCAGAACAACTGTAAACATGAAGAAAAAACTGAGGCACAAAAGTGGCATAATTTGTACCAGGTCACACAGTCACTCGTTTACACATCCCGGACTTGAACCCAGTCTGGCACCTGCACTCCCACAGTATTCTGTATTAAGTTCTGTCTGTGAGAATATTTGCTGGGCCCTCCATGTCCACGTGCTGGGTGTCCTCCTCACACCAGTGGTTTTAGAATGGTGCCAATTTTGCCTCTCAGGCACAGCTGGTGACATCTGGAAACATGGCCCATCACAGCTTGGTGTGGGGTGCCACGGCATCCGGTGGGTACAGACCAGGGGTCCCCTAATCATCTTCCCCGAGGAAGACTTGCCCAGCCCCAAAGGTCAACGGGGCTGTGGCTGAGAGCCTGGGCACAGGCCTGGCAGCTGAAGGTGCTGTTAACATCTCCACAGCTGAACGTAAGGGTTCCAAGACCTGAAGGGGTGGCGCCTGTCCCCAGGAGGACGTGGTTCGTGTTGCTGGAGTGGACACTCGGGCCCTGGCCTCCACAGTGGTGTTTCTCACGGGGATAAGGTCCTTGGAGCATCTGGATGTGTGACCTTCAAGTCTGTAAACGACGTCCACATAAAATTGGAGAGTGATAGAAGGAATACTGATTCGTTCTTCACCTACATTCACGAGGTTTTTAGTTTATTATTTTTACTTTTTGCCATCCTGGGGATCAAACCCAGGGGCATGTGCATGCCAGGCAAGGACTCCATCACTGAGCTACATCCTCCGTCCCTTGTTGAAATTTAATTTTGCTAAATTGCCTGGGTTGGCCTTGAACTTGTGATCCTCCTGCCTCAGCCTCTCAAGCCACTGGGATCGGGAGGCATGCGCCACCACGGCCGCTAGACCAGCTTGCACTGTGCTTCCTCATCTGTTCTATCCCTCCCCCCCCCAGTCTTTCTCAGTAGGGTGTCTGGTTCGCAGTAAGCCTTGAACACGTGACGGCTAGAAATGGCAACAAACGATGAACGCCTACACCACGGCAAAGCCTTCGGCGTCTATCTGCTGATAGGCTCCGATGGCGTGACACGGTAGGTTTCTTCCCTTTCCTTTTCTGTTCCCCCGCTGGATCTTTTTGGGACGAGTTGCAAACGGAGTGGCAAATAACGTAAGGACATTCTCCGCTCTCCCAGTGTCTTGTGGGTGTTCCTGCCAGCGCAGGAAGCGTGTCGCTTGGTTCCTAGCGTCCTCAGGCTTTGAAAACCCATCCTGTAGACTGTCCTTCTCGCTCACGATTAGGTCCAGGTCAGACATCGTGTGAAGGTGTCTCTGTGAGGCCCGACTGCACAGCTCAGAGGGCACTGACGTCACCGAGTCCTGTGCTGGCCGCACAGCTCTCGGCCACCAAAGTACACTTCCCCTCTGAAATGAGTGATTTGTGAGACCATATAAACATCTGTCCCAGCAGGAAGGAAGGCCTGTTTTCACATTATTATTTGCTACGTTTTCATTTGTAGAGCTTTAGAGAGAGAAGGAAAAAGGACTTCACCTCTTTGAACCTGAGTTTCACCAGGGACAATAATTCTGTCTGGTGAGGACAGTGGTGATGACACTACGCACTGAATCACACCTGCCCCCGGATCCTTAGTTAAAGCCTAACCCCCGAAATGATGGGATCTGGAGTAGATAACGGGGTTAGATGATGTCATGAGGGAAAGCTGTCCCTCGGGATTAGGGATTTTACAGGAAAAGGTGTGAGAAAGCTTTTGGCACCTCTTTCTCCGCCAGGTGAAGGCTGCCACTGCCAGCCAAAGCAGAGACCTCACTGAAATCTCACCACACCTGTACTTGTTTTGTTTTTTGGCAATGCTGGGGCTTGAACTCAGGGCCCTGTGCTTGCTGGGCAGGTGCTCTACCACTTGAGCCACGCCCATAGCCCCATTCCTGCTCTGGGACTCTGCGGGTTTTCCAAGTTGCCAAGGACAAGGGCAGGGCTGGGACAGTGAGTGACCCAACAGGCTCTGTCCCTACTCGCCAAGGCAAAGTGAGGGCTTCACAGGGGAAGTGTCCGGGGACCAAGCAAGCCACAACTGCCCTGACACCATGACATCTCTCACCAGCTGTGAGACCCTGACCACGCTGTGGACCAGAACCTGTTCAAGTACAATTCTTTGAACTTGAATTCAAAATATTTAGATTGCAGCAGAGTGCTGGTGTGGGCCCTGCACTCAAACACGGGAAGACTTAACAGTAAAAGACAAAAGCCCCTGGCACGCTGAAGAAGGTCAGTGTAGACCTTGACGACTGGTGATCTGTCACTTCCCAGCCCTGGGAAAAGGGGACAAGGGACGGGTAGGCCTGCTCCCATGGATACCAGTGTGAATAAGGCCGGAGGAGTCCTGTCCTTAGACCCATCATGAACTTACCGTGTATGTGACGTGCTGTGATGTGTGCAGTGACAGCCAGGACTGGGGCTATGCTGGGGAGGGGGCTTTGGGCGGAGCAGCCTCTCAGAGGTACTCGGCGAGGCCACTGTGGGGGGGACACTGGCGCTGGCGGGGAGGTACTCACAGCTGACCTGGGAGCCCAGCCTATGCTCCCAGACGGCGTGCAGTTGCTGATACTCCTGCTGTGCAAGCTCCAAGCGCTGCTGCTTCACCTGGTAGATCTCCTTCTGTGCGCTCAGGGCCTCCTGGGCCATCACCAGGTAGTCCTTCAGCATGTGCTCCTGCTCCCGCCGCCATTGTACCCGGGGATCCTCGATCTGCGTGGTTTCTGGAACAGACCCCAGAGATTCTATGTGTCTCTTGGGTTGGAGACTTTGGGATCCACTAGCAGAACACAAGCACGGTGCGTAGAAACTCACAATAAATGTCAATGGGTTAAACTCACTCATTAAACGGAAGAGACTCCCCATCTGGATTAGTCTAAATAAATAAATAAATAAAAACAACTCAGCCATAAGGAATAAGGACATGTGGTTTGGGGGTAAATGGATGCAACCAGAGGACATCATGTTAAGTGAAGTAAGCCAGGCTCTCGAAGACAAGGCTGCATGTTTTCTCTCATGCATGGAAGACGAATACAAAAGATACTCACGTACACGAAAACAAGCATGATCAGATATGAACACATACATAGAACATGGAACTCCTCTATGGAACTCAGGGAAGGAGGGAAAGGAAAAGGGAATGACAGAGCATCAACAATATCGTAAAACATCACATCTGTGAAGGTGGAGGATGTAAGGATGTCTATTGAAAGCTGCTGAAAAATGGGAGGTGGGAGGTAAATGGGTGAGGGAGAGTAGTGGAAGGGGTTGAACGGACCATGTAAAGCACATCCACAGTGGGGACACATTCAGAAACCCCTCTGAACATCAACTTAAATATTAACCACGGAAACCAGGAGTGTAAAATAGGTACAGTGTGTGGGGGAGTACTTATGAGAGGGGGGAGGGTAAAGGAAGGAGATTAAGGGGAGGGAATATGGCAGATGGACTTCATATACTTACATGAAATAGAACAAAGAAATCCCTTGCAATTGCTTTAAGTGGGGTGAGCAGGGCTTGAGGGGGAGAGACGGTGGGGGTGATCTGACCAATGTACAATATAAGCCTGTGTGGAATTGTCACAATGAGTCCCCCTGAACAATGAATACATCCTAATTAAAAAAAAATGTTAAAAAAAAAAAAACCAACAAAAAATAGACCAGGGTCAAGTTCCAAATGGAATGCCAACCTCTATCTGAGAACGGCCTCTCTAGACAAAAGGGCTCAAGGGCATTACAGATTCTCCAGGTCATCTGATTTGGTGAAGAATAAAGGAGAGAGAAACAGGTATTAAATATCCTGTTAGCACATAAATGACAACAGCCTTAGTGGCCAATACCCCTCCCCAGTAATTCTTCATATAGAAATTTATCATAAAAAGTAATTCAAAAATTCAAAGACAGGTTTGTATAAAACCATGATAATTATAATAAAAAGCCCATGTTTAATGTTGGCTCTGTGCTCCGTATCTTTCTAAGTACTCTGTTTGTACTTACTTCTTCATTCTAACCCTCACCTTGCAGTGGACTCTGTCCCTGTGCCCATCACATGAGAGAAAGCTTAGCTACAACACGCTAAGCACCATGCTCAGTGCCGTGGGGAATCAGCTGCTGGAGTAACTGTGCTACATTTCCATGATGAAGTATTATGCAGTCTTTGAAGAAAAGATGACCAAAATGGAAAGATGCTTATAATATGAAAATGGAGTCTGGCGTGGTGGTGCGCACCTGTAATCCCTGCATTCAGGAGGCCAAGGCAGGTGGATCATGATTTTGAGGTCAGCCTGGGTGACACAGTGAGACCCTATTTCAGAAAAAAACACAAAACCAAAAAACCCAACCAAAAGTTATTAAAATAAATTCTCAAAAAGACCAGGAGGAAACAGCTAAATATTAACAACCAACTGGGTAGTAGGATATGTTTCTTCATCCTTTTTTATTTGTTTTCAAAATTATGTGTAAAATAAACATATATGATGATAATAATAACAATAATAAAAAAGATGGACTTTTTAAGAATGCAGCTGAGCAAAAGGGGCAAAGAAATATCAAAGAACCAGTTCTGGTGAATGGTGAACTCCTGGGTCACCCTGGCTGTTGGGTGGGGCTGGAGGTGGACAAACTGGAAATTGTGCTGTGTAGCCATAGTGAATGCAGCCTGAACACTGGGCTTCACTTAGCCCAAAAAGGTGGGGTTTTCATTGCTGTTTTTTTTTCTTTTTGGTGGGTGGCACTGGGATTTGAACTCAAAGCCTTGGCAAGCGCCCTACCACTTGAGCCAGGTCTGCAACCCTTTTTGCTTTAGGTTATTTTTCAGATAGAATCACAAGCTTTTTGTCCAGAGCTGGCCTTGGACCACTGCCTCCCAAGTAGGTGGGATACAGGTGTGTACCACCATGCCCAGCTAGTCCAAGGAGTTTTTTTTTTTTTTTTTTAATTACTAAAAGGTTTTGCCAATTTCTATCCTCAAAACCAGCTTACCAGAGCAAAATTGCTGGGGCAGAGGGGGAGGGGAGGAGTTTTCACCCAGTGATTTTGGGTCTTCCCTGAGGATTAGTGTTAGTCAAGGTGTCTACAGCAGCCATAGCACCATGGGTGCGCCCGATCTTGTCTGATCTTGGAAGCTAGGCAGGGTTGGGCCCGGTTAGAACTTGGAAGGGAGAATTAGCTAAAGAGCTTCAGGAAAACCAAAACTAGGCCTGAGGCCTGCCGCAAACACTTTAGGCAGAATTTCCAGGAGGGGGGGCACAGATATAGGGAGTTTTAAAAACCTCTCCAGGGCAGGAGGTGTAGCTCAGGGGAGCAGCACTTGTCAGCGAGAGCAAGACCCTGGGTTCCAGCCTCAGCATGGAGGAGGAGCGGGGAGGACGAAGGAGGATGAAAAGAGAAGGTGCTTCCACCATTTTGGGTGACCCCACGCTGTCATTCACAGTATAAAAAAATATGAATGGAGAGGGTCAAAGACAGACAAACTCAACACAGACAGACACACACACACTCCAGAACACGATTTTCATGCTGGAATTCCTAGATTTCCATACAACAGGTCTGCAGTGTGAAATGGGCATCCATGTTATCTGAAATCCACTCTGTTTTTGGTGGGACTGGGGTTTGAACTCAGGCGCTCCACTGCTTCAGCCTCTGAAATCCACTTGGTTAAGGCAGAGTTTAAACAGTGAAGTGCCGCCATGCCAAGTGCAGCTCAGGCACACTGTCATAAGCCACCGTCAATCACTGGTGGAGTCCTCTGACCCAGTGCTTCCTGTGCTTTCAGGAAGTCCTGCCCTCCACCCCCCTTCCCTCCCAGAATGCATGTGGAATCATTGTCATCCGTGTCCTCTGAATCTTCTTCCACTCAGCATAAGGATTTTGACACTCACACATGTCGTTCATTTCTTCTTTTTTTCAGTGGCACTAGGTAGGCTTTGAACTCAGGGCTTCCAGCTTACCAGAGAAAGGCGCCCTATCATCTGACCCAAGTCCCCAGCCACCAGTTGTCCATTTCTGGTTATTGCTGAATTGTATGTTCAATGTATGAATATATAACAATTCACCTTATTTTATTTTTTTCCTTTTCTTTTGACTTGAGTGGCAGGGTGTCGGGTTGAGACAGGGTCTTTATGTAGCTCAGGCTGGCCTAGAACTCACCATCCTCCTGCCTCAGCTTCCCAACTTACCCATGGACACAGTTTGAAGTTTAGCACACTACAAACTTTTTTTCCTGAAACATCACTCTCCCCTTTTCTCCCTCAAATGCAGCCCTCCCAACAAACTGGTGCAGTTCAGGCTTCCTTGAGAGCCACTCACACCTCGACCCAGTGCTTCAGATCCCTATCCACGCACTCACTCCACACACCTCCACGCACACAGGACCACCACATTCAGCCCTACACACCCCACCTCCTTCCCACACCGGCCTCACACCTGCCTGCCACCCCACCCCACCCCACGGCTCGCCCCTGGAAAGGCAACAGAACCATACTGTCCAACTGTTGTAACAGCAAAAGCAACTGTCTTAAAAACAGCTGAACATCTGGAGTGCATGTGGCATTGCTACCATGCAAATGACTTCATATTAAAACCAGTGAAGTAGGACTGGTGGCATGGCTCAAATGGTAGAGCACCTGTCTAGTGAGCTTGATGAGGCCCTGAGTTCAAATCCCAGTACTGCAAAACAGTCTAAACCTATCATAAATTGACTAAAAACCAAAAGAAATGAAAATAGCCTGATGCTGATGGAGGTATTAGGATATCAGTATCCTATGGTTTGGGGCAATACAGTCTGACACAGACTTTTGGGAATGCTCATCAATCTAGGAATATACACTAAAAGTCCCCAAAGTGTTCACTTCCTTTGACTTAATGATCCCATACAGTTGTCCTTCGGTATCCATGGAGGACTGGTTCCAGGATGACCCACAGATGCAAAATCTGCAGATACTCAAGTCCCCTGTGTAAAATGACATCATATTTGTAACTAACCTACAATTACCTTTCCATGAATCTGAAATTGTCTGCAGGTACCTACAATACCTGATAAATGCACCTGCTGGGTAAGTAGTCTCACCGTATTGTTTGGGAGATAATGACAATGTTTAGCACAGATGTACTTATTTTTTTAAACAAATATTTTCAATCCGAGGTTGGCTGAAGCTACAGGTGTGGAACCCCTGATACAGAGGACTGATTCTTTACAAATGCATCTTTATCTTTCTTATCACGAAGAACAAGTCTAAAGATGTCCCTGTGGGACAGGAAAAGAGAACGACAATAATAGAGAATGAAGGATATTGAAATTCACGTGCATGTGACGAATGTGTGACAGGACAGGACGCACCGAAAGCTGTTGAAAAGCAGGGAGCAGGGCTGAGGCAGGAGGATGTTGAGTTCAAAGCCAGTCTGGGTTACACAGTGGGTCCAGGTCAGCCTGAGCTGTGTAGTGAGACCCTGTCTCAAATAAGGAAGAAGGGGAGGGAAGGGAGAGGCAGAAGAAAGGAAGGAAGGAAACCTATATGCTAACATCCCCAAATACAGACCTTCAGCTCAGATCTTTCTCCCAAAGCCCACATTCCTACACGAAACTGGTCCCCAACCCCTCTCGGCTGTGCAATCTAGATAAGCCCTGTTTCTCCTTCCTCAACCCACTGCTCCTGTCTGTTCTCCACTCAGGGGTGGCAACCCCACCCCTCCCATGGCTCAGGCCCAAACAGGGTCCTTTTTTCCCACCCTGCATGCAAGCAGATGTGCTGGGTATGTGAAGGGAAGACAGTGGTCATATTATTGTCATATGAAATCTGATGGCCTTCTCCGTCTTCCTGCACACGCACCCCCATGACCACCCCTTAGCATTCTGCTCCTTTGGGCTCTCTGCTCCCTGGCCTCTGTCAAGTCTTAGCTCCAATCTCATTGTCCCCAAGGCCTCATTCCCTGAAGACCTGGTTTGACAGTCACTGCCTCTGCCCTTCCCTCACTACCTGCAGACTCACCCAGCACGCCTTTCCCTCTCTCTCTGGACATTTTGCTAACATACTACACAATCTACAGTTCAGCTTATTTTCTCTCTCTCTCCTGCCAAAATAAAACCTATGGAAGGGCAAGGATCTTACCATTTTTCACTTCTGTCATCTCAGCCTCCTGAGCGGTAGTCAAGGAGATTTGTGATTGATTATGAGCAAACTGCTGTCCAACTTTATCTGGTCTGTAACTTTCCTTCCCTGTTTTATTATTTTTGAGACAGGGCCTTGCTATGTAGTCCAGCTGACCTTGAATTTGTGACCCTCCCACCGTAGCTTCCTACATTCTGAGATTAAAGGTATTCCTCTTTAGAGAGGAATTTCAGTCCACGAACACGGAGGGTTGGTTCAGGTCCATGGCTCTGAATGTTTAGGTGTCCACAGTCACTGTCACATATTTGCATCAATGGTCCCATTTGCACAGATGGCATCCTCTATCCAGTAAGGGTAACCAAGAGCCTGATTGCTGGCAAAGGTACCAGACAGAGCTCTTCTTGTCGTGGCTTCATTCAATCAACACCCCCCAACCTACACACACAGATAACCCACTTCTGCCATCATCCCCTGGGGAATAAACTCTTCCTCAGCCTGCTATTCCTTTCCCTGCTTCTCCAGCCACTCCCAGATACACCTGAAAACTCCACTCCTGCCATGAGCTTTTGCTAAGGGTGATGAGCCTGGTGACCAGACAGGAAAGAACCAACTGTTGCTTCTGCACGTAGGTGTCCAGGCTGGCTTTCCACACTGTCCTCCACATTCCCCTTGTCCCCCACCACACACTCAAGTAGGCATATTTGTTTCTCATTATGTAGGATGCAATCACAAGTGCTAATAAAAACCTCCACTACCCCAACAATACAACTGGTACTGTTCTTTTTCAGAAACCACGACCCTCTGCGTCAACAGCAGCCCACTCACTTGTGCACTTTCGCGTGCATTCATGCCCGTATGCCCTTCTCTGTTCAGCACAGGTTAAGTGTGCACCTACTGTGTGCTCATCAGGCAAAGACCTGGTAACCAGAGAGGTGAGCAGACACAGTCACTGCTGCAGAAGAACTTGACACGACAGGAAGATGGAAGATGGTACTAGTTTGAATTCCGGCTCAGCCATGGCTTTTTGTTCTTCTTTTGCTTGTGTTTTTGGAGACAGTCTCACACATGCAGCTCAGGTTGGCCTGGAATTCCCTATCCTCCTGCCCTGGGCTCCTGAATTTTGGGATTACAGGCATGCATCACCACGCCTGGCTTCAGCCATGTTTTAGTGCTGAGTCTTGAGAAATGACAACCTCTAAGTCTCATTTATAAGATGAGGGCAGCTGGGAGGGTTAAAGAAGGTACTGCCTATTAAACCCCTGCCGCAGCCCAGGTCACAGAGTGCGCTCAGCAAGCAGGAGCAGCCGGTGTCCTACAGTCGGGAGACAGAGGAAGACAGGAAATTCCTTTCCCTCTGTACACATGGACAAACAGAGAGGCAAATTTTAGAGCCCAGGAACAGTCTTGACCAAGCCAAATGCCATCACCTCTCCCCAGCTGGGGACCCCTCCCTAGGTTCCTCCACCTGTCAGACATTATGCTTCTGCCCTTCCCAACTGATTCCTCCTCCACAGCCCCGGAGACAGAGAAACCAGGAGTCTTCATACCGATTGGAACACTGGGATCCAAGATACTAGTGAGACATGTTCATGCCGATCTACTAAGAAGATGTGTGGGTAAGTGTGGCTGGGGGCTCCGGGGCTCTGGCTGCCCCCAGTGGTCTGGCAATGACAACAACCTATTTCCGTTCTTATAGGAAGAAAAGTCCTATGTGAACAGGAATCAACACATTTAAAAAGAATGAAAGCTATTGAAAAACAGGGGGTGGGAGGCAAAGGGGTAAGGGAGAGCAATGAAAGGAGTTAAATGGGCCAAAATAAAGTAGACCCAAGTGGGAGTGCATTGAGACGCCCCTTTGAACGAACACCAACTTAATATTAATAACCAAAACCAGGACTGTAAAACAGGTGCAGTGTGTGGGGGGAGGGGGGTTGTAAGGGGAGGGGGAGGATGAACTAAGGAGATTAAATGAGGGAATATGGTTGATGGACTTTATATGCTTATATGGAATAGAACAAAGAAACCTCTTGCAATTGCTTTAAGTGGGTCAGAGAGGGGAGAGACGGTGGGGGTGATCTGACCACTGTATAATATAAGCTCATGTGGAATTGTCACAATGAGTCCCCTGTACGATGGATATACCCTAATAAAAAAACTTTAAAAAAATCTGCACATACATACATACACACACAGTTGAGAAATGCCTGAAAAGACACAAGAAACCATGAAAAATGTTGCTGCTGTAAAATTGAGGGTGGATGGCAAGAGGAGTTTCAGATTCTATCAAAACCCCTAAGTGTTATTTTTACAACAGCACACCTAAGTCTCTATCTGCACTGACATGCCTATGTAAGTCGATGATGTAAAACAAAACACCTCCACACAGGAGGGAGGGTGGGCACGGGGAGGAACTGGGACAAGGTCAGGGGTCAGAGGAGGGAGGATGGCCAGGAACTTACTGGTGTTGTGGTCTATGAAGTAATCCCCAACCTGCGGGTCGTACGCCTCTTCCCATCCCAGCGGTAACTCATCACTGATGCAGTCCGCAAAGGTGAGTGGCTTGGTGTACCTGGTGAGGGGACAAGAGACACTGTCAGCCCCGCAACAGGCTGCCCAACAGATCCAGAAGGTGTGCACTGCAGCCCAGCTCTGCTGACCCCCTGTGCCCCTGGGAATGGAAAGGCACTGGGTGGCAGTTTCAGGATGGAGGTGAGGAAGCCAGGCACCTTCCTCCCCTGGGCCTCACCTCTGTGTCTTTCATTGAGGGTTTGCAGAGCAAGGCTCTCGGGCCAAGTCTTGGCTCCATGACTTGGCCTCCAGGAGCCCCGTTAGGCTTCTCCACCTGCAGCCCCCCAGCCCACTGCCCCTCCCATCTTTATCCTGGCTCTATTCTGTGTGTGACTTGCCCTTTGGAAAGCTGGCCTCCTGCGACAGCGAGAGCAAATGCTGCAGCCCTGGGAGTCTAGCCAGGGAGAATTTACTTGCTCATTGAGTCGGTTTCCAAACGCTGTCACCTACTGCTGTCCTTCCCCACACAGTCCTGGCCAGACTCATCTTTTGGCAAGAACCACTCTTAAGTCCCCATCCTGGGGGGCATAAAGCAGTGATAAACACCAAGTCTCAGTGGCTAAAAAGTAATCAAACCACCCTGGTAAAGCAGCAAAGGTTGTCAAGGCTAGGAAAGTGTTCCAGACCACGCATCCAGTATTCCAGCCAGAGCGAGTGTGTGGGGAGCCAGGGAGCCAGGCCATGGACTCGGTCAGAGTGGCTTCTTCAGTTCTGTCTCCACTCCAACTACCCAAATGAATATTCCCCTCTCCTGTTCCAATTCTGGGAGCCCAGAAGTTGGCTTCACCCCTGTCTAGACTGGTAAACTGAGGCACAATGGGACAGAAGGGGAGATGTCTGGGAGAGGGTCTAGCATTTCTGATGGAGGGATCCCTTAACCACAGGAAACGACCTTCTTCCTCATCTGGCGCAACCTCCTTCCCTGTTAAACTTCTGCCATAGTTTGGGTCTGGAATGGCCTCGAAGGGCCAGGTGCTGGAGGCTTGGTCAGTGGCTCAGTGCTATGGCAGGTGAGGAGTCATCAGGAGGTAGGGCCTAGTGGGAGGTCTTCCAGTCACTAGCTGAGGCCCTTGCTCTTCTTCTCTTTCACTTCTCTCATGAGGTGAGCAGTTTTGCTCCTCTATGTGCTCCTGCCATGGTGTGCCATCTCACCACAGAGCCAAAGCAAGCGGCTACATGATCACAGGCTGGAATCTCCAAAACCATGAGCCAAAATAAACCTTTTCTCCCTTTCAGTTGACTGGCTCAAGTATTTGTTAGAGTGATGGGAAGCTGACAAAGCTAGTCCAAATCAAACAGAAAAATACATGGGGACAGGACAAAAGAGACACGGGAGAGCCCCTGGTGGAGAGGACCCTGGTGCTGTTACAGCCTCTGGTAAGTAATAGTAATGACTAATGTGTTTGAGTGCTCATTCACTCTGACATTTGTAATAAATGTTTAATTCACAAATAAGGCCTTATTTAAGCTACCCAGCAACAATCTGTACAATCTGTATTCCATTGTACAGATTAAAATTCTAAGGCTCTGATTGGCCTAAGGTGCACACCTCACACAGCCAATAATCGAAGTTTGTTGAATCCTTATTGGACAGTGTTTCTTGTTCGTAACACTGAACAGGAGCACTGGGACAGGGGAAGGCTGTACATAACATGCTCTGTGAGTCTATATTTAACCATCATTAAATAGTTCACCGTGGTTTATATAGGAACACCACAGCAAATGTAGTTTTAAAAAAAAGCAGAAAATGAAAAGAAAGAATTAAAATTACACTGAAGTCCTCATACTCAGGTAACATTTTAATGTGTCTTTCCAGTTGCACACACACTCCCGCCTCAGGCAAAATATCAGCCTATGA